ATCAGGGATATGATTTAGGTCATACCTGAGTGGCCTAGTGCTTTTCCCTACTTTCTTCAATTTAAGCCTAAATTTTGCAACAAGAAGCTCATTATCTGAGCCACAGTCAGCTAACACTAGCACTGCAGTACCTTTGGATCTTAACCTATATATTTTATTTTGTTTTTTAAAGGGAAACCCTTAGCTTAACTATATCTTCTGCCAACCACAGCTGCTGGGAAAAACCCTTGCCCTGTGAAAGGTCCCTTCAGTCCTACCACTCACAGTTGCTAGAAAGATGCATTATTTACCCTTTTCCCATAAAATTTCTCATCTCCATCCTATTGCAAGATAACGTAAAGTGCTACATTAACAGTATAAAGCATCAGCTGTGGATAATGGACAGAAGTGAGGTTACACACCTGCTGCATCACAACTTACTCCTCCAGGACTTTCTGAGTGAAAAATGCTGTGCTACAGTTGTGATGGAAGTTCCTGAAAATATTACAAATGAGCAGTTTTAAAACACAGGATGGCACCTTGAGAAAATCTAGGAAAGCAGCAGTTTGACAGGCCAGGCTTGTGTGCGGCAGGATAGAGACAAAAGTAGTGGGCAGGTGGTGGGGAAGAGGGAGACACACCCAGCAGTGATGGAAGGGAGACAGATGTGGGGGAGAGGGGCAGGAGCAATGTCTGCCAACTGTGGCACTTGTGCTCTCCATCCTCAGAAAGCAGCAGAATTTGCACCAGTGCTATATCCCCCACTCAGCAGGAACTCCTGACTCACTTTGGGGGAAGGAGTGGAGTTGAAGAGGCTGCTCCAGGAAGAAACAGAACACACCTACATCTGGACACAATCCAAAGGGAATTGAATTTGGCTAGATTGTGGTTTCCATGTATGGTTCATATGGCAACATAGCTCTATCTCATCAGTATGTAAATACTGAAGTGAGAAGATTTAACTAGCATTACAATCAGCTGTACCCTATAGAAGCCTCTTCAGGAATCATGCAGGGTGCACCAGTGAAGTCCAGACCATTTCTGCAGTAGAGGCCAGGTGGAGGCCTTCTTTTTATTCCTGGAAGTGGACCAGAATGGAAAGCTCCTATCTCAGATCCACACCCACAGATCTGCCCCACATTGCTGCCCCACAGCAATGCTGACTGGCTCCCAAGCTCACTTCACATTGTACAGCAGTCTAGATGAATTGAGTAGCTCAGAGATGAAGCACCCATTAGTTTCCCATGACCTCGATAGGGACTAGAGCTCCAAATATATTTCATATGGCAGCATTTTTGTAGCTCATCCATTTGTAAATACTTTATTAATAAGGATTGACCAGTATTACCATCAGTTTTATTCTACAGAATCTTTTCAGGAATCATGCAATAATAAATATATACATATTTAGATTGAAGCTGGTGAATTCCTAGATGAAGAGGATGATGATGAAGAAGAAGATGATATTGAAGCTATTCTTGAAGAAGAGTTCCCAAAAGACGATGAGGAGGAGGAAGATGAGGAAGAGGAGCAGGAGGCTGATGCAATTGAGCGCATGAAAAATGAAATTGCAGAGAGATATGAAGCAGATATTGCTAATATGCAAACTGTACAGGTGCTTTCCATATTCTTTAATTATTTCATTCTGCTTTAACATGGGACTAAAGGAGGTTGGTTTTACAAAGTTTGGGGACTAAATGGTTCATTCCCCCACCATTCAAGTGAGGAATGGTGGGAGAATGTTTATTTGATGCTTTTACTGAATCTTTCAGCAGCTTATGATACTCTCACGCTAGGACTCTTCTTCAGTCAACTTTGTGAGACATTCTTTGGTGCTTCTGGTCCTGTCTGTAGGGTCAGTCTCTGAGAGTAGTTTCAGCAGAAAGCTCATTGGCCCTCTAGTGTGTTTAGGTTGTGAGATGTCACAGCACACTATTTCACCAATGCTTTTCAACATCTGTATCAGGGATACAGAACCTCTTTCAGTCTGAGGGCTGAATTCCATTTCAGAGAAGTTTTGGGGGATTACCTGCAATGATGAGTGGGGTCATATGCAAACAGGACTAGAAATACCAGCATATTATAGCATAGAGTTCATGCTGCCAATAACTAAGCCTTAGGAAAAACATTTTGGGATTTTAGAATGGGGGAGAAAACTGCAGAGTCTGGGGAACCACCAGATGATTGGTGGCTAGGGGAATGGGGTGGGGCTATCTAGAGAATCCCAAAGAAGGCCAGATTTGGACACCAGGCCTGCCAGAGTTTCCTATACCTATTTGAGGCAGGTTAGAACAGTCATTGGAGAATTTGGAGCAAGGTGCTTCTGGTATGCTGATGACACTCAGGTTTATTTCCCTGTAATATTTGAATTGGAGGGCTGTGCAAGCCTTGCACCAATGCCTGGACACAGTGGTGGGCTGGATGAAGGCCAATAAACTGAATCTAAATCCTGGCAAAATGGAGGCTCTGGGTGACTGACTCCCATTTGCAGGAACTTATTCATTTGTCTGTTTTAGATGGGCAACATTCTCCTTGAAGGACCAAATGTGTGATCTGGAAGTGCTCATGGATCCCACACTGTCAATGGAAGCATGGGTGTCTTCAATGGCCAGGGGTGCCTTTTACTGACTCCAGCACATTAGATGCCTTTTTTGAACAGGGATAGTTTGAGCACTGCGATACATGCATTGATAACCTCACTGCACTGTGTTTCGTGTAGGGTTGCCCTTCCAATTTGCCTGGAAGCTGCAGTTGTTGCAGAATGCTGCAGCCAGGTTGGTAATGGGAGTGACTTATTGCTAGCATGTCACACCTATGTCAAAGGAACTGTACTGACTGCCTGCATACTACCAGACCATGTTTGGTAGTATGCAGGCTGGTAGCCCTGAACAACTCAGGACCAGAGTACTTAAGAGATTGCCTAATCCTTTACCTGTAGTCATCTACCTTTAACTCTACAAATATCCTGAATAAATTAGTGGCTAACTTGCATGTTAAGTAGTGACCTACTTAATGGTTCATATTACCCATTTCACATATGGATGCTAGGTTTCATTGGCAACCCTTGCCCAGAGTTTGTTTTGTCATGCAGACTAGTGAGCATGGGTTACACAAGGGTTGAACAATCCTCAGATAACTCATGTCATCCAAGTCACAAAATATGACAACCCACAAGTTAGACAGCTGCATATTCAGACTGACAGCTGCATGTACAACCTCAGCTTTGGTTAAAAAACCCATAGTGGGCTGCCATGTCATCAAACACCTCCAGCGTGTGTGTGCCTTACTTTTGGCCTTGCCATGCAAATTGGCTTTTGGTTGTGTGACTGCTGCAGAAGCCAGTATAACGGATATTAGGTTGGATCCAACTACTTTTGTGTCAGCAGAAGCATTCTGAGCATCAAGGGGTGGGGGAGGCAATCTCTGTCAATCTTCTCTGTTCTTGCATCCCACAGTGCCACTTCCCCCACTAGTGTGGAGGATTCCACAAACTTCTGTAGTAAATTTTGTGGTGAGGAGTGATAGGGTAAGGTGGTAAGGAGTGATAGGCTCCTCCACTGATTTACTACCAGAAATACTCTGTTCAGTCAGTCAGAAGCCTTCTTCAGAGGAAGGTCTTGAAGGGAGATGCTGGATCTAGGTACATGATTCCAACTACCATAAGAAAAGTTGTAATGTTTGTTTTTCAAAATAGGATAGACTGAGAAAATGTATTAAAATGTATTTAAAATAGTGCAATGTTGATACTTAAGTTATAATTCCAGACCACATAAGGACTCCTGTTTGGTAGTAGTTAACTGATACATCCCTAGAATAGCCTCACAGTTTGCTGCTTGTTGGATAAATGGCTTGCCAGATTCACAGCTGGAGCTGCCATATGACATGTAGGTACAAGAAGGTTGCTAAGTCTTTTAGTGAATATGTTGCTTTATCTTCAAGGCTGTACTTAGGATGATTATTTCTAGTAACATTTCACATTATTAATGATATCTGCCATGTTCTCCTTTGTACTCAGGAGGAATTTGAAAAATTATTGATACCCCAAATAACAATTAGTTGCAAGCGAAAACCTCGCATTGTGTGCTACCAGTTGTATAAAAAGCTGAAGGACATAGTAGAAACCCGGGAAAGCATTTTTGAGAAATGTTATCCAATAAGTTTGTCACTTGCACGCAAGATGATCGCTCTTTCCTACAAACATCCAAGCAATTTTGGTCAGTGGGATCCAATCAAGGTAATGAGCCATCACTGTTTTTAAAACTAATTTCTTAAGGCTAATATGGTGAAGTCATATACATAATAGCAATATGCAATTGCAATAGCAATATGTTATTGTTACAGATGTGTACCCTAGAGTTGATTATTAAGGCCTAGATTCAATCAATGCTTATTGTTGAGACAATTCAATAGTTGGGGTGCAAGGAATGTGGGGTTCGAGAGTTGAGACACTCTTTCTGCCTTTCTGTTTCTTCCCTTACCAGCAGTTGTTTGCAGCAGATGTAGTGTCAGCTTTCTGAGAAGTTCAGAGGACTCTGGCATGGCCAGTGGAACATACCAAAAACAATTTGGATCCACACTGACCTTGACAGAATTCTCTTTTGCTGGCTGGAGAGAGCTGGCAGCTGGCAGCTGTTACCTCATATGGCAACTACACATAACCAGCAGGAAGATGGAAGGGTCCTGAGGAATGCAGCACAATGACCCAAGAACTCTGATGCAGAAACAAAATTGCCCTGTGTTGCCTCCTTTACAAGAGTGTTTCTGACTAAAAGAGCAGGATATAAATCTAATCAATCAATAAATAAAACTGTGCCTGCTCCTTTCCACCATGGCTTGGGCCTGTAGTTTCCATATGTCTTCTCATGCTGGAAACTAGCGTGGATTTGATGTATATGAGTAGTCAGTAAGACTAGATTTAAATCATGGTTTTGCATGCATGTCTGACTTTGCTGTAAGCAGAGGAGCTTCATTAAAATATTCCCAAACTAGGACTCTTTTATGGCCTGCTGCCATTTTAGGTTTTTGCCTCCAGGAAAAGAATAATACGATAAACCTCAGGCAATACAAAAAAAGACCCAAGTTCTTCTGGAGTGTTCAGCATGACAAGATTCACTTTTGGGCCCACCTGTTTGCCTACTGGAATGTGCCCCCCCCCAAAAAAAAAGGTTTTTCCAAAATGGAATTTAGCCCACAGGCTGAAAGACCTCCATCACCCATGTTAGGGGCTTAAACAGACTGCCTCTCTGCCCATTCTCCATTTTTCTGTTTCCCTCAGTGATACTCAGGCATTCTGTGTCTTAACATCTCTTAAGCATAAACAAAATGGTCAGACTTGCAGTTTGGCAGACTTGTGTTTCCTTTAACCTTCATCTTTTACACCCCCTGGTGAAAATTAGAGCTTCCCATAGAAAATAATGGATTTTTGCAGAACTCTGTTGGGAAGTCCTGTATCTTCTCCAAATAAGAGTAGCAAAGACAGGAGCTATTGCCCTTGGCTTTCAGTATAAATCCAGAATTTCCTCTCCAGAGTATTTAATTTCCAGAACTGTTACTCTACCCTGCTTAAATTTTCTTATTTGTATAGCTTCAACCCTAAAACAGGTCCTTTTTGAGCCATTTCGGTGGGTGGGTGTGATCTGTGTGTGGGGAGGTTGTCTTTGCTTTAATTCCCTTAATTTACAGATTCCTACTTCTACATACCATGGGAAACTTGCAAGTGTATAGGAACTACTGCCATAGATGGCCCCACTTCATTTCCAAACTTCTAAGTATTTGACTACCCATGTTCACTATTAAAAAGAATTAGTAATTTATTACATTAACACTGTTCTTAGTCCTGTAATAGGTTTCAAGCAAACGTATTCACTAAAAGAGTTCCATACTTTAATGATATATGCAGTTGCAATTGTGGCTGTCAGTTTTTCCTCAATCATTATCTGTGCTAGCTGAAAGTAATTTAACTGAAGGAAGGAGGAACCTTGCTAAGTTCTTACAAACTAAAGGTTTGTGGTAGAATTTAGATGTACATTTTCCACAATTGTTCTGGACATCAATAACACTGTTTTTATTACAGCTAAGTGAAGGAGATGCAATCAAACCCTTTCAAAGTGAAGATACTCCAAGCTTTCCGGTTATTCATCGAAACTGTGTTTATTTCTTTACAAGCAAGGAAAATAGAGAAACATTTATGAAAAATCCTATTCATTATCTCCGCCAGCCTAAACCTAAACCCACTGTGCCAGTGAAAATTGCAATTGTAGGGCCTCCAAAATCTGGGAAGACAACAGGTAGAGTTTTTCCTCTCCTATGTTTGCAGACTTTTAAGTCATAAATGGGTATATTGCTTATATTGCAGTGATGTGTTCAAATGTTTCTTATCTGTAACAAATGTTTTGCAGTGGCCAAAAGGTTTGCAAGTACATATGGATTAATGCGCCTTTCAATGGGAGATGCCATACGTTCAGTATTAAACAATCAGCCCGAGACTGAATTAGCACTTGTGCTGAAGTGGCACCTTCATAAAGGACTGACTGCTCCTGATGAACTTGCCGTCAGGGCTCTAGATACTGCATTGATGGATACTGCATGTAACACTTCAGGGTGAGAAATGTTCATTTTCGTGAAATGTTCATTTCACCAGCACAAAACAGGTTCCAACAAATACTGCAGGCAGTTGTGTTTCTCTGTCCCATTTCCCTCAAAGAAATCTTACAGTGTTTTTGCTAGCTTCAAGTTGCCTGCCTGCCTGCCTGCCTGCCTGCCTGCCTGCCTTCCTCCCTAAAGGTTTTCTGGCACAGCAGCTTCCTAAACTAATAGCATAGCCATGTATATGGCCACAGCAATGCAGTACAATGAAACAGAGAAGCAAGGTGTCCCTTTGTGTTAAAACTTTAGCACAAAACCCTATCCTTTGACATGGTACTGAAGAACATGGGATTGAAATATGTAGTATGACAACAGCAAATATTTTAGTCCCTTCTTACTAATTTTTGGAACTCAAATTTTACAAAGAGCCTGTTCAACAACAAACCCTTTGTTTCCTGTGTATTTCCTAAAATTAATATCCATAACTCTGTTCTTCCACCTTGCTTGCTTTTTAGCTCTTGCCCCCAGATTTTCTCATTCATTTTTTTCTTTCTATGAGTCTTCAGTCCTTTTGTGAATGATTTATTCTCTCCCCATGTTTTTGGTTTCACTGGTTCTTTGTGTAAATTCCAGCCTTGCCCCATTCTCTGACCTCACCCTTGCCTACAATATTTGTGTGTCTTTTAGTTACTTGTTTAGCTTTAGATGGCAGTTAAGTGTCGCTACAGAAGGAGTAGTATGAATGCATCTCCTTCCTCACGCATATAATTTGTTAGTGCAGCCTGCCATGGCCTCGGTGGGTGCAGATTCTCCAGAAGCACTAATCCAGGAACAGAACTGATAACAATATCTGGAGCATGAGTTAGGGTTGCTCTAGATATATAATTGCACATATTTTCTTCTCCTCCTCTGTGTCATAAACAAAATGCACCTATATATGAGAATATAAAAGGAGCTGTGCTGGCCTGTGTTTTATTGTTCCTGTTGACCTATTTTATATGCCTTATTAGCAATAGTCAACAATACTGGAACTGATATTGTACAAAAATAAATATAACTCCAAATCCGTATTTTGTTCATTTCCCTCTGACCCACAGATTTGTAATTGATGGGTACCCTGTAACAAGAAAACAAGTAGGCCTCTTGGAAGACATGAAAATAATTCCAGTAAAAATATTTGAGTTGGATATTGATGTGAAAGAAGTTTTCAGAAGAGCACTGTTGGATAAACAAAGCCCTGAAAGGTAGCAAAACCAGTGAGGATATAAACTAATAACCCCCGTAAAATGATTCTTATAGTAATGTAAATCTTTTAAAGTTGAATATATTTCAGATTTTTTACAACAAAACAATCACTCTCTCTGAATACTTGTTCTTATGTAATGATTGTAGAATGGATGAAAACTCCTGAATTTGCTCCTTTAATTGCCTGCCTGTATCCCTCAATAATAATAGGATCCAGGGACTTGGATGTCTTTATTACTTTATTAGATCATATTGACAATTAATATATACCAATATGATATGTAGTAGAATTGTTTTTCAAAGGTAGTCTAGTTAAGCTTTATATTAATAATGCACGTTAAATTGTCTTCTCAGACCTCCTTATCCAATGCACGACAGCTCCCATATCCTTTCTGTCAAGAATTCATGTTACAGAGCACAAACGGAAGAAATCAGACCTTACTATGAGGAGCAGCACCAGAACTGGTATGTGATCGATGCATCCCATAGCAAGTGGTGGATCTGGGACAAAGTGCTGGAGGAAACTCAAACTCAAACCAAAAAAATCCAGACATATCTGGAAAAAATCCGACAAGGCAAGTAAAAAAATGGGGGAGGTGTATTAATATATTACTGTATTTTACCTGAAAATAACAAAAGTAATTTTGAAGCTTGAAAATAGTAGCTCAGATCTTTCACAGGAAATTAATAACCTCTTATATTTTACTTACCAAAGAGAACTATCATATTTAGTTATAACTTAACAAGAAAAATTACCAAGATCTGACTGTGTATGTCCTTTCCCCTCATACCTGGTTAAAAATAAATAAAAACTTCTCTGATGTACCAGAATTTTAAAACAGTGATTTCTCCCTGATGCCATCTTGGGCATGTGCATGTGTGCACATGCACACGCATGCACAGACTACACACAGTGGTAGAGAGATATACTTTAAATAATCATCAATATACAAAACAGCTGGAATGTCACATCAGCCTCTGAAGCACTGCATTTTGGCTAAGTGTTTTGCAAAGGGAGGAGAGTGTGAAACTAGGTAAGTAAACTTCCTGGGGGTGGGGGGCATACCTGGCCCCTACATTTTACTCTTTCCGGTGGCAGGTAAAGACCTTATTTTCCCAGGAATTTTATTTTCATGTATTTTAAATTCTGTATTATATATCTTTGCACGGCTGCCAGGTTTTACAGTGTTACCTCAGCTCACGAACGCCTCAGTTCATGACCAAATCAGGTCGCGAACAGAAATTTCATAAAAATTTTGCTGCAGGTTGCGAACTCTACATCGGGTGGCGATCATGAGTGCACCTGCCTTCCCTCCACGGGGAGGGGGGGGAGATGTCTGTGATCTTTGTTGTTCTTTGTCACTTTACTTCAAATTTTTGTGAGTAAACAAAATAGTTGCAGAACAGATTAACCTTATTTACATTGACCCTTATGGGGAAATTTGACTTGGCTCACAATCAATTTGGGTCACAAACAGAGTCCTGGAACGGATTAAGTTCATGAGCCAAGGTACTACTGTACTTTACTTTTCACTTTTATGTTTTAAAAGTGTTTAAAACACTCCAGGGCTTCTCCCATTCTTTGTAGGCATTATAACATATGTTTGCTTTTCCTAATAAGGAAAGTTTGGTAGTTCCTTGGATGGAAGCATAAAAGACTATTTGTGCAATTCTGCTATATCACAGTGCCATCTAGTAGTAGCTTAATAAAATATACTGAAAGTCATAGAAAGGAAACATCCCCCCTACCCCCATCCCAAAAAAAAAAACACACCTGTAAAGGATTCTATCTTGGTCCCACAGAAGATGTAGAAACAGAAGCCCTGGTAAAATGGTGGCTTAAAAGCCTCATCTAGAAAAGTCTTAAGGGTGCTTCTAGACCAGGGGTCTCAAACTCGCGGCCCACAGGCCAATTGCCGGGACGGGCAGGGCATGGGGGAGGGGCTCTGTGGCCTTCAAAGCGCTGGCAGCGCCCGGGCCGGCCGCGGGATGAGCGGCCCACCACCACCGCCGTGGTGGAATACTTGATGCGGCCCAGCCTCACCTGGACTCTACTTCCAGCGGCCCCCAGGTAAGTTGAGTTTGAGACCCCTGTTCTAGACAAAGATTTATTGTGAAATCCTGCTGCTTCATTCCTGAAAGCTTATAGGGGTCCCATTAATATTGTCTTTCATTTGAAACCTTTCCATGTTTTCCTACTGCACCTTCTCTCTCCCTCTCTCTCCCCCCCCCTTTTTGCACACAAAAAAGAAAAATCCATTGAAAAGAAAAAATTCATCTGCATAGCGTCTTCTAATTAGTAGCACTAGAAGTTTTCTGTCTAGAAACTCAGGCTTTTAATACTCAGTAAAGTACAACTGATTTTATGCTCTCTTTATATATACATATATCAGATTTTATAGTTTTAAATTTGTTTTATGGATTAACGTTGATTGTTTTTCACCTTTACTGTGAACTACTCAGAAGGTCTTTGGTCTATGGGGCAGCATACAAATGTTTTCTATATATATATAATTACTTATTGAACCTAGACATAAGACGATGGGTGTACCCCAGATTTGGTTTTTTAGCTGAAGTTAAACACAGAATTTTGTCAAAACTTAGGTATAACTTAGTGACCTTGATAAATAATTAATTTAGCAAATAGAACTCTTCAGCACCTAATGAAAGATTATACTGCTGGTATAACTAACTTGTGCAGAGCATGCCAATAAATTAATCATGTCTGGGAGCCCTTTATATTCTATGGGGGGGTTGCTTCAAAAAGGCCAGAATCAATTAGAAATAACATTCTAACCTTCTAATATCTGCACAAGTTCATCAGATTAACCTACTGATAACTTATTTGTAAATGCAATTTGCTGTTGCTATTTGTTTCATATAGCTGTTGCATTTCATGTGTTTGTAGAACAAGTATAATCTTCCAGATACAGTGTTGCAACTGAAACATATCAGCATTGTACCCAATTTTTAACAGGAAAAGCATCCAGCATTGCTGATTTGTGTATCATGCCCCAAGAACTGCTATCTCGTCTGGGAGAGTTTGGGCAATACTGTCCTGTCAGCCTTGCAGAAAAGGGAGAGCTAGTTGATTGTTCTGTGTCTCCTTCTCTGCAATTTGCAGCAGAATTTCGAGGACATTACTACAAAATGGCAGGGCAGGAGGAATTGGACGTAAGTATCAAAATAAGTAAAGTCCATACATAATGGATTTGGAAAGCAAACAGGTGCTGGCACAGGGAATATTGAAGCAAAGTACTAAAAAATGGTGTCTTGTAATAATTAAGAGTGTGAGCTCAGAAGTTTTTGTTGGAATCTCATTTCTGCCATGAACTCTCTTAAGGTGCAATTCTTTACATGTGTAGTCAGGAAAATGTCCTACTATAGCTCCCTGGAAAGCCATCCTAGCTGGGGAATGCAGGGAGTTTTAGGACTTTTTTCCTGTCTAACCAGACATAATATTGTGCCCTTAGTGGATTTAGACTAGCCACTTTCTTTCAATCTCACTGTTTATTGAGATAAGGTTCTCTGAAGCTCTGGGATAGATTGTAAAGCATTGTCTAAAATGCTAAAAATTGTCATACAGAAACTGATTGCTAGCAATGTGTTACAATGATGTTTTAGCTTTGTTTTGTGCTATAACTGTATTTTTTTACTAATCTTTGTTGTCCAAATGATACCAGGTGAAAGGGCATTCTTCTTGTAATTTAATCGTTCCAATTCAAATCTTTGCACTCCTTTTCAAACCACCCCATCAGCACTTCAAAAAGTAGTAAACAATGAAGATGATTTTGAGGAAGGATGGTGATACCTAATCATGTGTGTTAGCTTCAAATCACCGTCCTGCCCTCAAAGTTTCCCTTCACTAAAAGCAATTATGAACATGATGCCATCCTCCTTTTTCCCTTGCTAATTGGATCCTGTTCACCAAAGAGAAACATTTATGTCTCTGTTCTGCAGAGCACCTAATACACATTAATATGTATATGATATATTATTCTATAGAAAAGGGGAAAAGTCAGTTCCAATAACTTTGTGAGCATTTTGTTAATCAATTGAACTATATTCCCATAAACATGGTTTCTTTTAATGCAGAAATTCCTGGATGCTCCAGAATTATATGTTCCGCCATTAGCACCACATCCTCTTCCACTGCCAAATAAGCTGCCAAAGAAACTGACTGTAGCAGATGTGAAGGCTTTATTCCCTATGCAAGCCGAAATACAAGGATACTGTCCAGTCACTTATCTAGATGGGAAGCAAAGGTAAACGCTAAATATTTCTATTAAAACAGAATGTTGAAAAATGCGGTATGCAATAATAATATTATTTTTCCAAACTGGGAAACTATAATGCCTTTTCTTATTCTTTGAGCTTTTTGGGTGGTGGTGGAGGGTGACTTTTCAAACATTACCTTTTCGCAACTCATAATAATAGTAGAAGATATGTATCTGTCTGTTCACCTATTGGCACTAATGTATCAAGACTATCAGAGTTTTGAAACCTGGCATGAGTACTAAGAGGACCCTAAGAGTATGCATCTAGAGGTTATTTTGTTTTCAGAACGCATTAATTTATCTCAATATGTCCATGTCGTTGAAGCCTGCTGTAACATCTCCTTTAAACCTTAAATGACTTAGGACCAGCCTACCTAAAGAACTGTCTCCTTTCACAAGCTGAAATAAAAAGGAAAGGTGTTAACATAGTCGTGGTAGTGATAATTATGTCTTTGTTTCACTATCTCTTTTGAGGTATGAAGCACTAGTACCTGGGAATATTGAATATGCTGTACTTTATCGCAAAAAGCTATACATTTTTGAATGTGAAGACAAACTTCAGAAGTTTATGAGGTACTGAATATATTGCCATTAGTACTACTTTTAAATATCACTTTGTGCTTGTGTTGTAAACACGTACTTTTTGTATTCTTAGACTTCCAGAAAAATACTGGAATCAGACACTTCCACATAAACTTCCCCCAGTAAAAGAGCCAATATTACTGACAGCTCTTCCTTTGACTGGATACCTTGAGCAGGTTATTATGTGTTATTATTAAAGATATTCAAACATAAAACTATTTCTGAAATGGTGTGATTATATTGGCCCACTAACATTAATAATATATTTATATTTATAGGGCGTGGCAACAGCTCTGATAAAAGCAATGAATGAAGTAGGCTGTTTAAAGCCTAAATTTCCATTCCTAAGTGTGAAAAGGACTGCTCTTCTCTTCATAGCCTACCATTTAAAAGGTACAAGTAAAATAAGTACTGTAATAGGATGAGCTAAGTAAATAATATATTAATTTCAGTATATGAGCTTGTTAATTTAATTATTTTATCCACATAGATACTGATACAATATTTACTTATACTGAAATCTATGTCAAAGAGGCAGGTATATATTAACTCTGGCAAACATATCACATTCTAGTATTTGGGACTAGAACACATCAGCACAAATGTCAGGGGCCAGATCATTCAAGAATATATGGATTTGTAAAAGAGCTAAAATGCAAGCAAGGATGATAAATGCAGCATCATTCCTGATGCAAAAATACTGCTGCTGCTGCCCGATCTAATTTGATTATAAGTCTGGTTGTACAACATCTGATAAGATATACGTAATAAACATTAATCTGTACAGCTTTTATTTTAGACCATAACAATTTCCCTGGAATGAAGGGAAAGGCTGACTTTAGATGAATGAAAGCAAATATATGTTTACTACTGTGAATCTTGATATTATAAAATCCTCAGTGTTTCATAATTGCTGATATTAACTGTTTAACAAATACAGCAGGGCATGTTTGGTCTGCTAGTCTCCTAACTGGCCATTAGTGAGCAAATTTATCTTTGTGGAACTGAAGAGAATCTTTTGGTCATCTTTTAGGGAGCCTAGAGAGTAGTTGCAGTAAGAACTCTACTTGAAAGATACTCTGAAACTTTGATACTTTTCTGTTCAGCTGATGACTCCTTTATTGAGCTAGGTAGCTAAATGCCTTTATCTTAAATGCAAATAGGGAAGTAGACAGTAAAATATCCCCATCTAAGCTTATCTGTATTCTGTGTATTTTATTATATTTGTATCAAAGGATATGGGTTTAGAGCTGTAATAAATTTATCCGTTCCTAATACAGGCTGAACCAGAGGTCCTCAACATGATGCCCACAGAACGTCTAACGATACCAGCATGGTTTTCCTTCCCTGCACCTTAAAAATGTTGTAAGAAAAACCTTGGAAAATGTTAGGGTAGTCTGTCTCCCAGTTTAGCCTTGCTTTTTGTTTCCACTGTGTCACACTTGACTTGCTATTTCTTCTCCTTCCCTTCCAGCTTCTAACCTCATGATTTCTCACCCCTCACATACACCTGTTTAGTTCCCTTTTGACTAACCAGGCCTTATAACAGCCATTATATGGTAAGCCACAACCACTTGAGTGTCATTTTTGGTGGTACCCACAGCAATTTCTCAAGTCCCCAGATGTGCTAACAGAACCAAAATCACTGTGAATAATGATGCCAAATAATAGTGATAGGCCATATCGTTAAACATGGGTCTATCCAATTAATGTGCAAAGTATTGGCAAATGCAGTTTATTTGTTTAATACATTTCTGTACTGCCACATTAGCCCACAGGGCTCTCTGGTGGGTTACAATAGGTAAAACCAGTTTAAAATGAATAAAACATCATAGTAAAAAACCAATATAATGGATTTGACAACAATAATATCTGTCATAACTCAGGGCACCATGAGTGCTTGAGCAGGGGACTGCTGAGCCCTGCCTTTATCCAGTAGTCTTAATGCTTCAGTTCATCCCTCCAGGCACTGTTCTTACGATACCAGAAGAAATCCCAGTTGGGAAAAAAGTGCTTGAAGACTCAGGGCTGCAGAAGGTTCTGCATCCTGTGGCTATGAGAACAATGTAGTATCTCTTGCCTGTGTATCCCTTTGGTCCTGCAAATTGCACCCCCACTTGAACTGTTTTGAACTTGATGGCTGTCAACTTCGCCAACTTTAAAAGAAGAAATACATGAAGGAAAAAGCTAGCCGTCATGATCAAAGGCTAGCAATCCTGATCACTAAGTATTACTTCTGTATCCCAATTGCCTGAAATACAAGTAAGAGGATGCTATTTTATTTGTGTTCTGTTGTGGGCTTCTCATAGGCATCTAGTTTGTCACAATACAAACAGAATGCTACCTTAAATAGGCCAGGATCCCCTACCGTTTTTGGACCTGTGAGCACATTTAGGAACTCAAGAAATTTCACATAATGTCTCTCATGGTAGATGTAGCTGGCTGCTGTGGGGGTCTGGCCAATCAAAAGTGATGAGAGGAAAAAATCGCAAGGTTCCAAGCTGAAAAAGAGGGGGAAATAGCAAGGCAAAGTAATAGAGGCTATAAAGAGAAAGAAGATTGCCCTAGCATTTTCCAAGGTTTAAGTGGGCAGCTAAGGGAGAATTTCCTAGGTGCCACTGGAGGTTTCGGAAGATGCCATGTTGGACCTCTGAGATAAGCCTTTGGTCTGATCCAACATGGGTCTTTATGTTCACCTCTCCTCTTGTTTGTACACAGATGGAGTGATCATATGTTCATAAACAAAGATCTACCACCATCATGTGTAGTTTGGACCATGGATTATAATAGGATAAAGGAGTGAAGCACTGTAACTAAAATATAAATTTGTAACAACAGTGTAAATATGAATCCAGTGACTGGATTTGGTAGGCCCTTACCATTTTTGTAAATCATTCCAAAATGCATTAGTTGGTATCATGACCATAGCAGTACGGGATACAGGTGGTATGAAACAATCAATGCTATTTATTTTTCTGCAGCATATAACCCTAAGAGCTCTGACTACATACGGAAGAAGTACAAGAATAAGTTGGAACGGTTCATAGATTATTGTGAACTCATCCCGTACCTGGGAATCAAAATGACACAGAAATACAAAGAGCCTCAAAATCGACCTATTGACTTTGATCACAAACTACAGACTTTTTTGTCTCTCAAAGATGTGGACCCAATTTCTCATTAGTTTGGAATAACACATGATGAAAAGAATCATATATTCATAACTGAGTGATGAAATGGTTAGATAAAATGGCTAGATAAAATGGTTTATTTGAAGATCTTACAGAAAATGGTAGATCAAGTTAATTTAGACTATAACTCTCAGCAACATGAAGAAGACACAGTACTGTGGTTTCATGCATTTGCACTTTTTGACAAATGCCATTTATTATATCAACATCAATATCTAACCCATGTATTTGCAAGATTTCTGAATCGCTGTGTTTCTTGACCACAGTAGACCCTAATTCATTAACAGATTGGGATCATATTCAGATACCATTTTTCAACCAGTGGTAAAATGAATGCATGAATCATTTTTAATTATTTTAAGCTGTCGCTGGAAAATGCATCTTCAAGTCTAAAATTTGTTTTATATTGCTGTTAAACACTATATTTGTTTTTATTTAGATGTAATTTATTTCATTAAATCGCTTTTGATGTAATGATTTTGTTGTTAGTAGTTTTAATCTGTTCCTTAATCTGAACAAAATATAAAATACCTAAATTTACTTGAAACAATCTTTGTTTTTATTGCTTTTTCTGTTTACCATTTCTAAATAATTAATAATCTATGTGGATTATTATTATTATTCATTTTATTACATTTCTATACTACCCAATAGCTGAAGTTCTCTGTATATAGTGTGGTAATTTTACACCTGCAAATTTAGATCTTTTCAACAGTTCCATGGAGCTGTTTCATGTGTAACATCTAAGGAATGCAGCCAACTGCACCTGCCTATTGTGCTCACACATGGTGAAACAGATATACAAATATGCTCTGAAAGTGCTGTTCTTAAAGCACTCATCAGTTGCTTTTGTATGCTTCTCCCACTTCATACAATGAAGTAGAATTACTGTGTAATTAGATGGTAGTGTTGAGAGCTGGTATCTTTTGCTCTACCCACAATTAGCTTGCCTTCTCACTTAGATGGACAAATAAGTGTCTGGACTATACCACTTCAGCAGGTGGACTGAATAGCCTTCCATTAAAAATTGGAATTCTGCACACATAATCCTGCCAAGTACACCTAGCGTCTTCCCTAAGGTATCAGTAGAATCTGGCAAATTAGCATGTGTAGTATGGTCCAAAGACACATTTATTCTAAACTATAATAGAATAAGCAGGGTTTTGGGGTGGGGTCAATCAGTGGAATATATCATTATGGAAATGCTAGTGCAGTAGCACCACTTTTGGAAAGAGAAACACACAGGGATGCTGCTCAGTACAAGGGTTTAACTCACAATTTGTCCTATGGGAATATTCTGCCAAGGTCAGACAGCTGTTGACTCTGAGAATATGCCTTGTGGAACAGGAAAGGAATGGTGTTTACTTCAGCATTGGAAAGGAGCCAACTGGTATTACAGTGGAATTTCAGGGAAAGTTGTGGGTGAATTGTAGTCTCCCTGGAGTGAGTAAGCATGGAAGTTGAAAAGGCTGTATTTTACCATATATTAATGCACACTTGCAAGTTAGTAATGTCTCCTGCAGGCCCTGGATTTTGTATGGTGGTGGGGGAGAGTCCTCTTGAAGATGGTTGAGGCAAGGAATCATCTTACTCTAGGACAGTGATGGCAAACCTTTTAGGAACCGAGTGCCAAATTGTGACATAAAACCCACTTATTTATCACAAACAAATTAAGCCTAAAAACTGAGGGTTTAGTTTAGAAAAAACATCTCACACACAGTCCAAGCAAATATATATAACCTTGGCAGCGCACTGACCAGCCATGTGAAAGCTCGGACGAGTCACGGCTAATGAGTCACAGCTTGTGATGTCATCACCTGGCGCCGCTACTCCTTTCCAAGCATGTGCATGGCCCCTCTGTGTGCTGTTAGCCAATGCTTGGCTGCTGGGGTGATGCTGGGGTGACCTGGCTCGCGTGCTGAGAGGGCAGTGTGCCCACTGTGGCATGCATGCCATAAGTTCCCCACCACTGCTCTAGGGGAACAGCCAGCTTCTCCTCCAAAACAACCTGTACCTGAGTCACTGCTTCCAGAGGTGCTTCAACAGTTGTGGGGAACAGGCTCCTCTCTCTGACAACCTGAATTTTCCCATCAATGTCCTCTTCAGCATCCCTCCTGGTCAATTACTGATTAATGTGGTATGTGATTTGACAGCGCTTTTGGAGGTGGCTCTCCATAAAAACACTGAAGATTCACGTTTGTGTCTTGTGAATGCAAAGTAAAGCATATAATTTGACTTTAATGGCAATTTGACAGGACAATGGTAATTCCTGACAGTGTTGCTGGGCCCAACCTGTGCTATTCAGAGAAAGGGCTATTGAGAAATGGGCAGAGACAAAAGTGCAACTTCCTCTTGCCTTCCTCACTATTGCTGCCCCACCATCTCCTCAGGTGGTGGAGAAAGAATAACCCCAACTCCAGAACGGACAGTTGAACGACTTGGAAGGCAGAGCACCAGCTTGGAACCATCTTTGTGGAGGGCTCTTGCCCAGTGGTTGAGCCGATGCTTGGAACACTATAGGCCCCTTGCTCAATCCCTCGCATCTCTGGCTAGGGCTGGGAAAAACTCCTGTCTGAAACTCTCAATAGCGGCTACCAGTCATCGTCATCCAGAATGAGGCACTTTCCTATGTTCCTAGTAGACAATGTACGTCCTGCTTAGAGTAGACCCACTAAAATAAATGGGGTTTAGGTGAGTCTAACCTTCCGCACCTTACGCCCAGGGGAAGAGGGGGCAGCCCACCCGCCAGGGGGTGGGGAAGTACATTCTGTCAAGGAACGTCTATGCTGCTCGTGGCGCCCGTTACAGCGCAAAGCTGGTCACGGATCCGCGCCACCCGGCGCTCCTGCGGACAAGCCAGACCGGCTCACGACCAGAGCAAGTCAGCGACGCCCTCAAACACTCCCGCTCCTTCCCGCCGCCGCCGCCGCCGAGCCCGGCCCCGCCCGCGCCGCGTTTGTGACCCGCTTCCTCCCCCACGCGGCGTCACTTCCGGGATGCGCGGGGAGGGTGGTCGGCCTGCGCGTTTGCCCAGCTCGGACGCCTGTCACGGGGCTCGCTTCTCGCATGGTAAGTCGCTCTTCCTTGCTGTGGGAAATACTTGGCAGCGGAGGAGGACCCTTCCCTTTCTTGGATCTGTGTGCATCCCGAGACTGCCAAACGAAGGACAGAAGCTTTCTTAACTTCTCCCCCGCTCTTTCTCTGATTCTCTTCTTATCTAACTACCACAGTTGACAGCAAAATTTAATCTACTAGCTTAGGCATCCGCTATTTTTTCTTTTCTCCTTTTTCCCTTGGCAACACTCCTGTACTTACACGGTTGCTTAAGAGACAGAAATTCAGGAGGTGAGACCTTTTGTAAATAAAATGCAATGAAGGCAAAAGCATCACCTGTTGAATTTTTGCTCCTTGTGCAGTACTTAAAGGCGCAGGAGCCCTGCCAGAAGGAAAAGAAAATGCAACCCTACTCCGTTTCGCATATCATGCCCTTCCCTTGTTGCTTTTGTATATCCCTTTTGTGTTTTATCTCTGGCACTGTATTCTTCAGTTTTTTATTTTTCTCCTTTGATTGCAGATGGTTCTGATCCCTTCAGGTGGGTGGATTTTAAACACTATCCACAAATTGTTTCACTTAGTAATGTTTTCCTCTGTTATTTCTCTGGGGACTCTTATTTCAGTGTTTGCTTTAATCTCATAGTCCAGTACTGAGAAGGCAAACAATCTAAGCAGAAGAATATTTGGCCAATCTAGATAGTTCTCTTAGATTTCTTTAAGGATCTGACTATACCTTTCCATTTTCTGGATTTCCCAATAGATGAGAGCTGGCCAAGGAAGAAATAAGCTAACCTTGAATATCTTGACCATTGCTTTGTTTTTGTTTCATAACTAAATTGCAGTCATAAATGGTAATCCATAAATTGGTAATGGTAAATTTAATATTGTCTTCCTAGCTAGAATTTAGAGAAGTTTTTAAAGTATGAAATATTTTTGTTTCCAGAAGGATCACAGAAGTTATGTTACTTATAAGAGATTGTAATTTCTCAGCTGTTTTTCCAGTAATGTGAGTTTCTTTTGTTTGTACACAGTATTGTTGAGAGCTACTTCCTTGTCGGGATCAAATTACTTATTGTGCCATGCAGAAGTACATAGTAGCAGCTTTTTGTATGCCTTTGCCTTGGTGTATGTCATCCTGTTGGTACCACCTGCATAAATCATAGTCTAGTTAACTTTCTGGAGTTGTACACAAAATAGCTGTTAGAAAAGCAACAGTTGGGAAGATCAACTGATAGCTGGGTTATAGATTTATCCCCAGCATCACCAACTGATCAGGGCTATTGCCAGTTATCTGACAAGGCATATATAAGTAGAAGAACATGGGGAAAGCTTTGTTGTTCACCATAATCAATGGTTTTTCTTTTACCAGAGCAAGATGCTTTGGTTCAGCAGAGTGAGGGAATTCATGGAAAATTTGTTATTCTGCTCCCTCTCCCGCCCTCCACACACATATACACACATGTATACACACACACACACACACAGAGCGAGCGAGCGAGCATGGTTAAGCCATTACATGCTCTCAGTGCAGTAGGTTAAATAGGTTTTTTTAAAGTCTGGAATATCATCCCCCAAAAAGCATTTCTTGTCTTTCTCAAAAAAGAATCTTTTTCATTGTAGAAATCAGTAAGCATTTTTAAATAATATATAAAAGGAAACCATGTATATACTTTGTTTAAAATTAACAAGTAATACCAAAAGATCTGCCTGTCTCAGGAGCTTAGTAGTAGGTTTTGTTGTACCTTTACAGAAGTCAACAGCAGAATTCCTATTTGATTTAAATGCAGCTAAACTGCAGTCAGTGGGGGAGCCTGTTGTTCTAAACATGGAAGGAAGTGAACAGAAGTGAATTAGAACCCATGGGGTCCCCTTCTTTTTTAAGTCGATACTTTAATAGAGAGAAAGGAAAGAGAAAGTTTTCACTGTTTGCCCCTTCCTGCTGCAGCCCCCCACACCAACTGCTTTGGAAGGTCCTCATACCTGCCAGAGCAGATTTTTGTGGGAAGGGAAAAAAGGTGAATTTTGGGTTCTCATAGTTCAGCCTCCAGGAGCATCTGTTCATGAAATTTTGTTCTGTGCAGTTCTGGGTCTAACCTAATCTCTGTATTTAGCTTTTCTGTTAATTTAGCTATGCCATCCAGTAGTCCAAATGTTGCCCATGCTTAGGACACCTGATTCCAAATCATAATAATGATTTATGTGTGCGTTCTCCTCTGCATATGTACATTCTTCATGGGGTGGCATGTTCTAGGACCTTCTTCCCATTGCTGCCCTATGAAAAAGCATAGACAAACACAAAAACAAAAACAACTTTGAAGTTTAGGGACCCCATTGAGTAACATTTCATGCTCTTTGCAGGGATTTGTAAACCTCCTGTGTACATGCAAAACAGCACATTCTATTCACCCAGGATCTTTGAATCCCAGCCAATGTATTTCTACCTTTTCTCCCTCTATATCCAGCAACAATGGATGAAGCAGGACCTGATGCTTCTGAGAAGCTTATAGTCATCCACTCAAAGGTTCACAGAGATACTATTCTGGCTAACTTTGAAGACCAGAGAAGAAAAGATTTTTTGTGTGATATCACTTTAATTGTAGAAGATGTTCACTTTAGAGCACACAAAGCTTTACTTGCTGCCAGCAGTGAATATTTTTCCATGATGTTTGTGGATGAGGGAGAAATAGGCCAGTCTATCTATATGCTGGAAGGGATGGTGGCAGATGCTTTTGGTGCACTGTTGGAATTTATTTACACGGGCTATCTCCAAGCTAGTGAAAAAAGTACAGAGCAAATTTTAGCCACTGCTCATCTCCTTCAAGTAAATGACTTAGTAAAGGCATACAAGGAACAACAGCCAAATTGTGGTTTGAATACTACGTTACCCACCATTCCTAATGCTGAAACCACAATACCTGTATTGACAAACAAGAAAAGTGAAGATCCACCAAAACGAAAACGTGGAAGGCCAAGAAAAGTGAAGAACACTCCAGAGGAAAAACTGGGGACATCTACTGAAGATGCACAATTAAAAGAAAACAACTCAGTTCATAATGAGCAAAATTTTATAAAGAAAGATTCTGTGGCAGAAGACAGAAATTCCAATGAGCGGATTCCTGTAAGTGGAGAATCAGGGGAAACTGAACATGCCTGTAGTTCAGATGCTGTGGTGAACATCTCCACAGAAAAAGATGAAAACTATGACCCTAAAAGCCAAAGTACACAGCCCAGTCAGAGTCGTTACAGCAAACGCAGGATACGGCGGTCAATCAAGCTAAGAGATTATAAACTTATTGGTGATGAAGAAGATGGTGGACTAAAAAAGAGGACTAATGGGAGGAGAAAACGTGCCAGTTCTGAGGTTGAATGTAAAGACTGTGGTAAACTTTTTAAATATAATCATTTTTTAGCTATTCATCGAAGAAGTCATACAGGTGGGTACTGGACAGTAGTTTATTTTATTTAATGTCATGGTGCAAATATGCAATTTGAATGATGTTGTTGAATAAAATATTTTAACTACCTTTTAAGGTATAATACAATTTATTTGCATGATTATAGGTTAATTATTAAATTGTTGTATAAAATAAATTACATAAACCTACAAAAATCAAATTATGTAGTGGTTAAAATAATTAACATTTCATTATGTAGATAATATCCTTTGGCTTAAATAAAAACGCCCATGTTAAATTTATAACTGAAAATTAAAATGGCAGTGCAATTTGTTACAAGTTTACTGAGAAGTAAGTCTCACTGTGTTTAATTCCACTTACTCTTAATGGGAGTATAACATTAATTATGAATCAACTGAGATGCAGGCAATGTGATGCACATAATGCAGGATTCCAAACAATCAATTGCCATCAATAGCATTCCCAATTTATGAATTTTCTCTCACTTTAAAATTTGTATTTTAAAAACTATAGATTAAAATTAGAAGTTTTAAATTATTATAAAATGGATATAGCAAATATGTCACCTTGCAAATAACTGAGCCCTTATCAGAATTTTAAAATGTTTCTGAGACATTTAGCTTTCAAAAGAATTAAATATCTATCAGAACTTCCTTCAGCATAGATTAAAATAAAGAATGTCCCAAATCATTATGTAAGATTATTTCTTTATGTTTCTTCTAAAATAGCAGTTGGTAACTGTTAGAGTCTTGCTATTATCAGTTTCACTTCATTTTTTAATCAAGATTTATGCATTAGCAAGTTCTGGTCCAAAGTTGAACTTAGATGCAATCTGCAGTTGAACTGCATACATTTCTAAGCTTGCAACATGATTTGCAGAGCAAAAAGCATGTTAGCAGCTTGCATATATATGAAAAATGTATGTTTCTGAAAAAAGCACTCAGATCCACTTGAGAATTAATAGAAGACTGCATCCATATACATACATTGGGAAAAAATAAGCACAAAATATACACATATTTTCATAGAAAACTAAAAAAAAAGGTTGCAATCTGATAGGACTCAAATTGGAATAAGTTTCAAGATGAAATTTTGAAAATGTCAGCAAATTTGAGTACTACCATGTATGTTTTTCTAAGAGGATATTTGTTTCATAGAAATAAGTTTCATAACTGTTTTAAATAGTTCAATTTGGCATACTACATTTCGAATTATTTCAAACTACAAAATTTTTTCAGTACAATTTTTACATAGATCTTTGGCTGTTTCATAGGTTCCAGGAGATGAATGTTCACAATGATAATTCCTCCAGGTCCCCCCACCCACCACTGTTTTTTCTGTTGAATGCAGTGATGGCCAACTGGTCAGATGCAAGTGGAAGCAGATCCACTGTGCCACAGTGCCAGCATTGGCTGGGTTCAGATATCACAACTAGCAGCCCTGCATGATTTCCAAAGTGCTTTTGTTTGTTTTGGCTTAGATATGCCTAACGGTCAAGTTACAGTGGTACCCTGGCTCACGAACTTAATCCGTTCCAGGACTCTGGTCGTGACCCAAAATGGTTGTGAGCCAAGTTAAATTTCCCCATAAGGTTCAGTGTAAATAAGGTTAATCCGTTCTGTAACTATTTTTTTTAATCAGAAAAATGTGAAGCAAAGTGACAAAGAACAACGAAGATCGTGGCCATCTCCTCCAACCTCCAGCACGAGCATGGCCATGTCCCCCCCACCCCAGCACACCTGCGGTCGAGCCGTCATCCCTGCACACGCCTGTCATCCCAATGGGGAGAGGGGCGTGAACACAGGCACGCTGGGGAGGGGGAGACAGGCACGATCGTGCTGTGGTGGGGAAATGGCCAAGATCGCAGTTGCACTCCTGCAGGAAAGAGGGGCACAATCATGGGCGTGCTCATGCAGGAAAGACAGGCATGATCTCGGCCATCTCCCCCCCGCCCCCAGCACGATCACAGCCATCTCCCCACTCGGGGGGGGGGGGGGTTGGGAGACGGCTGCAATCATGGCCACCACCCAATACGGAGTTCGCGACCTGAGTTGAAATGTTTATGAAATTTTTGTTCGCGACCCAATTTGGTCGTGAACCAAATTGTTTGTGAGCCGAGATACCACTGTATTTCTATGCTAGCATCATTTCCATTCTCCTCACTCAGCCCTCCTATTGTTGACACTTTTACCATCAGCCAGTCCTCCTGAAATCCAGTCATATGCTGGATGGCTGGAGCAGCTCCTACAGCTGCTGCTTTTTCCCAGGGGCTCTGTGGTTGGTGCATACAAGGACCCTGGAATCTGCAATGTTCAGCTGATCAGGGAAATCAAACCATAGACTAGACTCCTGCTGCTTACTGTGTTTTTTGAAAACCAAATGTACAATGCTGAAATACAGTGACAGATTTCATATGAGACAACAGACCTGCACAAGAAACCACTTGTTGTATCATGCAAACTCGCCCATTGTGTCTGTGCATGCTGGGAAAGGACCAGTATTGTTGGTTGAAAAGTATAGTGAGCACCCTTCTGATGTGAAAAAAAAAAGATTAATGCTTCTGCATCACTTATGATATAATCAATTGGTATATAGCATTTAGTTACTTCTACTAAATTTATACTGATCTATGTTAATATTTTAAGGAATTCATATTATCATATCAGCCCTTACAATAAGTTGTCTAACTATGCATTATAAATCCTTAGCCATAGATTCAGTAGGTGGTTTTAGGAAAGGAACTGTTTTTTCTGTTATCAGTAAGAAATGAAGATAAACTAAAACAAACATATGAAACTAAAGATAAAATGAAAGAAAAAATACTTGAGTGGTAACAACCTCATTCAGTAGTTCCATCATAAACATATGTTAATTTTTAAAGTATTATTTATTATGAAATTATTCAATAACATTTGATTAATTAACCATGTTCTTTCAAATGAATGAAAACAAAAACAAGTACGTAAGAGTGAATGCAATCCATTTATCATTCAAAAAAGTTAAAGACAGACTAGTTGAGTTAGATCATTCTCTGCTAGCTGCATGGGATGCCATGCAAGTGTTGGTTTTCACCATTACAGCCTTAAATGGTTTGGGTCAGCTTATTTGAAGGGTCACCTACATTCATATAAACCTGACCATATGTTAAGATCATTGTTGGAGACCCTAATGACTTCCCCATCATTATGATCTGTAAAATTGGTGGGAAAGAGAGAGAGGGTTTTCTTCATGTTGGCCCCTTCCCTCTGGAACCCTCCACCCCCAGCAAAATATGACTGGATCTTTCTGTTTCTAACAGGATTTATAACACATCCTTATTTTCATTGGCTTTTACTTGAATGTTTTTTCTTATATATGCCACTTTGGCTACTGATTCGTTTTAAAAATAAATTGATGATGTAATGTGCTTGAGTCTAATTTTAGACTCTAAATGAGTCTAAAATAGAATCTTTTATAAGCTGCCTTGGGAAGACTACAGAAAAGTGTATGGAATAAATAAATTTTATACATACATTTTCAAACAGTGACTTTTCCCTACCTCAAATATAGCAAGGAACTATTCTTCAGCCTTGCCCCTCCATTAGCAATATAGTGATGATAATACTATGGTTGCGGAAGAAGTACTTATTAGGTATTAATGATTCTTTTACAGCAAATAATAGCATCTTTGTTTTTCTCACAGTAACACATTATTTGTTCTTCTGTAGTATCAAAAAAGTTTGGTTTTTCTGTTTTAAATTATATGGTTTGAAGCAACTTTCTGTCAGCTTGAAATGTCTAACTATTTGCTATTCACAGACCTGGTACCTTGTTTTTAGGGGAGCGCCCATTTAAGTGCAGTGAATGTGGTAAAGGCTTTTCCCAGAAACATTCTCTTCAAGTTCATGAGCGGATGCATACCGGAGAACGGCCATACACTTGTACTGTTTGCAATAAGGCTTTAACAACAAAACACTCACTCCTGGAACACATGAGCCTCCATACAGGTACAGTCATAAGCAATCTAGTTGTGCTAAGAATGTAAAGATTTTATAATCTGGCTGCCTGACTGGATGTGGCCCAGATCAATTAAGGGCAGCATCATCTCCAACAACCGGAAGTGTGATGCCTCTGGGCCCTCACAAAGAGGGCATGAAGGGGATGGCTATCCCCAGGGTTTTGTCCTTGATATTTTGCATTCAGAGGTATAGTCCCTGAACCTGCACTTGGAGCTTCAGTTAGCTCATCATGTTAATAGCATCCATAGACTTAATCATCAGTGAATTGATGGAAACCTTTTTTAAAACCATAAAAGCTGGTGGTCATCACCACATCTTGTCAAGTAAATTTTATGTATGGTAAATTTCATGTTAGTTGCATATATAACGTTAAATTCTACAGTAGTCTTCAGAATTATTCCACCCTCCCTTGACTTTTCCACATATTGTCATGTTACAAGGATTTAATTGGCATTGTGCCAAGGATTTGGCATGCCAAGGATTTAATTGGCATTGTGATCATTTGATGAAAACAAGATACTCTGCATTGTGAAGGTGCAAACTATTTTTTACTGTGGCACAAAAATTAAGAAAAATCAAACTGGTACATATTGGTTTTGTAAATATTCACCCTCTTTGTAGTGACATTCTGACACAACTTAACTGCCTTCAGAAATAAGTAGTTGAATGGAATTCAGACATGCAGCATCATGAAGGCCAAGGAGCTATCAAAACAATTCCAGGATAAAGTTATGCAGAAGCACCAATCAGGCTTGGGTTATTAAAAAGATAATCAAACTATAAATATCCTTCAAAATACTGTTAAATCTATTATTACAAAATGGCCCAACTGTGACTCTACCTAGAGAAGGCAACCATCAAAACCCAGTGACCAGGTAAGAAGGGCATGAGTTGGAGAAGCAACCAAGAGGTCAGTGGTGACTCTGAAGGAGCTGGGGAGATCTGCAGCTGAAATGGGAGAAACTGTGCATGGGACAGCTATCACCTAGGCGCTCCTCAATGCTGGACTTTATGGAACAGTGGTTAGAAGGAAGCCACTGCTGAAAGAAACCCTTATCAAAACTCATCTGGAGATTGCAAAAAGGCATGTGGGAGATGAAGCAAAACATGTCAAACCAAAATGGAACTGTTGGGCATGGTTACAAAATGCCACGTGTGGCACTTAAAGCCGGCAGTGCTCATTGCCCTGAGAACACCACCCCCACAATGAAGAACTATGGTGACATCATGCTGTAGGGATGCTTTTCCTTGGCAGGAAGGAGGAAACAAGTCAAGACAGAGGGCAAGATAATGGAGTCAAATGCAGGAAAATTCCAGGGGAAGACTTGTTTCACGCTGCAAGAGACCAGGACTAGAGTGCAGATTCACATTCTTGGCAAGACAGTCACCTTAATCACACAGGCAAAGTTACACTGGAGTAGTTTGGAAATAAGAACCAGAATATCTTAGAATGGCTCAGTCAAAGCTCAGACCTCAGTCTCATTGAGAATCAGTGGCAAGACATGAAAGGTGCTGAGCACCTGTGCTCCCCATGCAACCTGACAGAGTTGGAGCAATTTTGCCGGGAGGAATGGACAAGTACTGTAGGATGAACATGCACAAACCCCATGGAGACTTACCCAAGAGGACTTAGAACGGTAATTGCATCCAAGGTGCTTCTGCCAAGTACTGACTCATGGGCAGGGGAGGGGGGATGCAACCAAGTGCCAGTTGTTTTAGGGTACTTTTGTGACACAGTAAAAATATTTGGCGTCTTCACAGTGTTGAATATCTTGTGTTCATCAAATGGTAACAATGCCCATTAAATCCATTTCAATTCCAGGTTACAGGACAACAAAAGGTAACTAATTGAAATGGGGGTGAATAATTCCACAAGGCACTGTACAACAATATTTGTTGTGATTGTTTTGAAATGACTTCTGGAATCCTCTGTTCTTTGTCTTTCAGGACAGAAGGCTTTTACCTGTGATCAGTGTGGAAAATATTTCAGCCAGAAAAGACAACTTAAGAGTCATTACAGAGTTCACACAGGTATAAAAAATCTAGGAGGCAAAGTGTATTCTGGTACTTTGTTGTGTCCCTAACGATGACAGATTCATCTGTGCTTTTTCACTAATTGTTTACTGTGCATTCCAGAGAAAGCATTTCAACCAGAGCATCAAAAATACTTTAAAGATGTTTTTCGCCTTACAGTGATTAAAAAAGAGGCATATATGAAAAATGTAGCAAGGTATAAGACATACTTATATATCAAGGAGGAGCATTTTTTGTTGGTGTTGTTAGTCACAAAGTTGTGTCCAACCCATCGCGACCCCATGGACAACACTCCTCCAGGCCTTCCTGTCCTCCACCATCCCCTGGAGTCCACTTAAGCTCACATGGACAGCTTCAGTGATTCCTTCTAGCCACCTCATCCTCTGCCATCCCCTTCTTCTTTTCCCATCAATTGTTCCCAGCATTAGGTACTTCTCCAGGGAGTTCTTCCTTCTCATTAGATGGCCAAAGTATTTGAGTTTCATCTTCAGTATCTGGCCTTCTAAAGAGCAGTCAGGGTTGATCTCCTCTAGGACTGACCGGTTTGATTGCCTTGCTGTCCAAGGGACTCGCAGGAGTCTCCGCCAGCACCACAATTCAAAGGCCTCAATCCTTTGGCGCTCAGCCTTCCTTATGGTCCAACTTTCACAGCCATACATTGCAACTGGGAAAACCATAGCCTTGACTATACACACTTTTGTTGGCAGGGAGGAACATTAGAATCCTCTGAATTCTTACTTTGGCTTGGTGTGGGTTGTTGAATTCTGAGTTGTTGTGATGTGTGAACAGAGCCACATTAACAAGCAGCAGTTTGTTAACCATGAACAATGCAAAAAGAGAATGCATGGTATGAGTGGCTTAAAAAATGTTTTATCATTGCATAGGAATACAGAAATATGGGTTGGTCAGTACCAGTTCCAGTACTGCACTGCTGCAAAGGCATTTGAGATACAAGGAAGGAAAAGGGAAACATACAGTGCAGGGACTGAGAAACCAGACTAGTTAGTTTGATTGTCTGCTAGACAAACACTAGGCAGGGCAACAACCCATGAGCAAAATAAATCACAAGGGTTCTATGCAAACCAAGCCCTTGAAGATTCAAGTCAGTGGCCACATTCACATGTCACATTAACCCACCATGCAAACAGCTACTCAGTGTGGTTTGTCTGTGGAAAAACCCACAGTACAGTAGACAGTCGATAGCACAGATGAAATCACAAAGAACATTAGGTGTTCTTGTTGCTGTTCCTGAGTAGCTCACTAAGCAACCCCTGTAATCCCTGATGAAATTGTTTTCCCTGGTTCAAATGATAACAGCGACCCATCATGGTGGAAATTACACATAGAACAAGCCATGGTTATCAAGCCTCAAAAAGCTCATGTTCTCAAAAACTAAGCCACCCTACAGGAAGCAGTCTGGATTTGAACAACATCACAACCCAGTATGACTAGTTACACCTGACAGGTTATGTTGTGAAAACCCAATCAGTGAGATTATTCTGGAGTTAAGGAAAAAGCCTCAGGGTTGTTTAGCACATGATAAAGAAGCACAGAGAAGTATGGGCGAGCCACATTTCTAGTAAAACATATGTACTCGTACTAAGTACCTTTCTTGAATAAAGAATGTAGATTCTAATTCCAAAGTGGGTGCTTATGGATCTCCCTGTGGGACTCCAGAAGTTTTTGCCTCCATTTCTCATAAGCATTAGCCAGCATAGTCTGTGGTGAGCTATAATGAGAGTTGAAGACAGACACATTTAAAGGGCTATAGGTTGCCCAGCCATATGCTAAATGATTGCTTTCAGTAGCTTTAAAATAGCAAATGTTCTTTTATACGGAACTGACTTTAATCACTGCTCTAGGCTAGAAGAATATAGTAACATTCATGCCATATTAAGGAAGGAAATAACTGCCTCTATTTTTTTTAAATAATGCCTTATATTGTTCATTATAGTGTTGATTCCTGTTTGAGTGTGTTAAATTTCAAAGTTAATGCTTCTGTTTGGAACACTGAGACAGTCATTTTAAATAAAAGAAATAGGTTCAGAATAATTAAGACCCCCTTTTATTCTTTTTATAATTAGGCCTTTCATTACCAGAATGTAACCAGTGTCATCGTAAATTCATGGACGCAGCTCAATTGAAGAAACATTTAAGAACACATACAGGTAATAACCCTCTCATTTTGTTTGCAAAAGAGTTGTCCTTTGAGTGATGCCATGATGGGTAATAGGTGTTTTGCTTCTTGGCCTTGCACAAAGCAGGAACACTCAAACAAGCAGTCTGAAAAAGAGTTACAGTGGTACCTTGGTTCATGAACGCCACAGTTCGCAACCAAATCGGTTCATGAACATTTCAGAAAAAATTTTGCCTCCATTTGCGAACTTCTATCGCAGCCATGTTCCCACATGAACACGATCGCAATCGCACCCATCTTCCCCGCACAAGCACGATTGTGATTGTACCCATCTTCCCCACTTGTGGTCGCAGACAGACCTGTGGTCACTTGCTGTGAAGCTTTTTTGTGTGCTTTTTAGCAGATACAGTAAAGTATTGTTCAATAATAATATTGAATAATGGCTCCAGAGAAAGTGCAGAGCAAGCATGGTGGTACAAAGAACATGCAGAGCGGTAATGAAGGTGACCAGAACATGCAGATTTTTCACCAAAATTGACCCTGCAGCTACGAGCCAAAGAAGAGAGGAAACCCCTGAAGGAGAGCTCCCTGATGTCTTTATGGAGGGGGACTCTCCCTCCAAACAATAACCTCCCCCCCCCCACCTAGGTCAGTGTTCTCTACTGTACTGTACTTTGTTGTTCTTTGTTACTTTGTTTCAAATTTTTGTGATTTAAAAAATATTTACAGAACGGATTAACCTTATTTACATTGAACCTTATGGGGAAATTTGACTTGGTTTGCAACCAATTCAGGTCGCGACCAAAATCGTGGAATGAATTACGTTTGTGAACCAAAGTACCACTGTACCTTCCTGCTGGAACAATTTCGCATGAGCCATTGTCCACAAGGGAAAGTTGTGCACAAATGAATTCAAAGAGCTCTAAAGAATAAACAGTGGCTATAATTAGGCAAATTACCACCATGCTATGTTGCCAGATCCATCATGTGCAGGACTTTACTGATAAGAAGTAGAACTCTTGTTTTATTCAGTGACAACAGATCACTGTGGTGCTCTCTGTTTGAAGACCATGAGCAGAGTGACAAAAGGAAATATTTATTTTACTAGTGCATTTGTATCCCAGGTTTTTCTCTCTTGTAAGGGACCCAAGACACCTACAGAATCTTCCTCCTCGCCATATTAATTTTACAAACAACCCTAGTTTGGGGGGACTAAACTCAGATTGCCTAAGTAACAGTCCAGTTCTCTAACTACCATACTAGCTTTCTATGTGAAAATGAATAAATTGTTTGAAGTTTTTTGTAAGGACAGAGCTGCAGAACACTTCAGGATATCATGCAGCATATTAGGATAAACTGGTAAATAAGGGTTGACTTAAAATCCTACACCACAGGTGCTTCCTGTTAAAAACAAGTCTCCTTTTGATGTTGCTGTAGTGTTCTGGGAACTGCAAACATACACTCCCAGACTCCCTTGGTAACTGGAAAATCTAAGTCATGTGGAAGGGGGTTCCAAGTGCTGTTCCTTCCTAAGCTACCCTTGGCTCAGTTCCAAGGGGCAGCAGCTTAGACCAGAAAGGAGGCTGCGTTGTTCGGTCCTCCCAAATGCCTTTCATCCTCTGACATTATAGGACAGCGCAGGAGGGATACATGAAGCCTCAGCTGTCATGCTGCTAAGTGAACCTCAGAAAAGGCCTTGAGGCATAAGAAGGGCATGGTGGCTATGCTTTCTCTTCCTTCTGTGTACCTATTAAGAACCAGAGTTGTTGAATATTACATACCTGAATGAGAGTCCTTTCCCCTCCCTACTCCTTAAATTCTAATGGGCTTTCAAAGCCTATTAAAAGTGGTACCAGTATCATCTGCCTGAAAGCAAGAATAATAATAGTTCTGCAATATTGCCATTAATTATTTCCTAAGCTTCATTCTAGTAGCTTTTGATATGCCCTATATTATGTTTTGGGGACAGTAAGGTATAGAGTTGAGCTGTTGTTACATTACTAGTGTAATTCCTGCACACTGCAAGTGGGGCTATTTTATTTTTGTAAGTAGTAATAGTTTGCTGTTATTCTAACCAATGGTTTGTGTAGGTGAAAAACCATTTACGTGTGAAATCTGTGGCAAGTCTTTCACAGCAAAGAGCTCTCTTCAGACTCACATCAGAATCCACAGGTATGCCATCCTTTGTGTTAATAGGAAACTAGTGTTTGAGAACTGGTGTTTTGAGTCAGCATTGTTACAGACTGTCTGTCCTGTTAGCTCTGTGTATGGCTGCAGGGTAAACTCAAAACAAGGGAATGTTGTATTCTGACACCATGTAAGATGAATGCCTGGCTTTATAGTGTATTTCAATTTGCGTGCAAACTTACTGGCTCTATGACTAAAGATTAGGAATTACATCATATTTGTTTAAGAACTGGTAAAAATAGCAGCCAAGCTCTGTCGAGACAAATGGAGGGATGGCCAAAGTGTTTCCACCAACACTGACACATTGATGCATACTAATCTTTTAATGATTCAGCTTTGTGGGTTTGGCTATGGCCTGCACTCCTGCCTGCTTACTATCCAGCTCAGTAAAATAGAGCAAAACTATACCAAGGAATGTGGGGGCAACATCTATACTGCCACATTCAGTGAGTGGCATTCGTTCATATTGTGGTCATGAACTGTAAGAGACTTGGTGTCAGGTGGCGGAAGATTAACTATTACTGAGTTATAACTAAGTTGCAAAGTAGTTGCAGCAAAAATTCAATAGGTGACATCTAGCTCCTTTAGTGCACACTATGTATGCTTCTTTTGAAATATCTGCTTTGTACATAGTATTCACATATCAGATTAATCCAAAATATTTTCCTTTGCAGAGGAGAAAAGCCATACACATGTAACATTTGTGGAAAATCCTTTTCTGATTCCAGCGCCAAGAGAAGACACTGTATCTTACACACTGGCAAAAAGCCTTTCTCTTGCTCAGAGTGCAATGTGCAGTTTGCACGCCTAGACAACTTGAAATCTCATTTAAAGATTCACATCAAAGAAAAGCAGTTACAGGAAGCGACTACTGCTCCCAACAGCAGCAGTCCAGAGGAAGTAAGAAACATTCTTCAGTTGCAGCAATATCAGCTCTCTGCCTCTGGGGCCCAGGAGATCCAGCTGCTGGTTACAGATTCTGTGCACAATATAAACTTTGTGCCTAGCCATAACCAAGGTATTAGTGTTGTCACTGCTGATGGTTCCCAAAGTGTGATGACAGACCATGCAGGCAGCCTTACCCTTCTCACTCAGCCGCCCCAGCAGTTGCAGAGCTTGCTTCTTTCTGCCCAGCCAGAACCGACAGATCAGATTCAGAATATCAATATAGTAAGCAGTCAAATGGAGCCTGCACAGGCTGAGCAAATGCAAGTCATCACACTCTCAAAAGAGGCCTTGGAACACCTCCATGCCAATCAGAGCCAAGCAGAAGTGCTTCAGATAGCGACAGGAGCGTCACACCCAACCCAACACCTGCAGGTGGCCCAAGAACCAAGCCAGCAGTTTCACATCAGCCAAGATACAGGCCTACCTCCTCAAATCAACAAAGGACAGACCCAGGCTGTACATGTTTCTGAATCACCCAAACAGTCTCTGTCTATAGAGCAACCATCTGGTGACCATCATATTGAGAGGCAGACTTTTTAAAATACAGGCTCATTTGCTTCTTAGATACTTATCAAACAGGGAAATCATGTCTTGCAGACTAGATCAAGTTTCACCCATTATCTATTTACCTTTGCATTTTGATAACACTGATGGTTGGCTTTATTGTTGCTGGGCGTTTTTAAAGCATTTTCTTAATTTAAATATATGTTGAGCTGTAGTTTCTTATCCAAAGTTTATATTCATTTCACCTGAACTGCAATAAATATTGATATTATGGATATGAGCCAGTTAAAGTACTTTGCCACCTCAGTAGGAAAGAGCTATGCATGAGCTTAGTTCTCCCACTAAAATGGGATGCATAAATTAACTTTGGCTAGATGATACTGTATATTTTAGCAATATTTAACAGCAGATTGATGTGTTAATTATTTTTCTTCTACATGCTCATTTTATAACAGCCCAGGCCCAATGCAGACCCAGTTTAATCTTGGATTCCAAAAACTAGGTATGGTCCCCCCAACCCCATGTTTCTGTTTACTAGGATTGTGTGAATGGTACCTCGTTAGGTCCACAGAGGACTTCTACAAATAAATGTGCAATATTGCAGGTTAAGCCACAATTTCCATTCCATTGATGCAGAAATGTGTGTAATTTCTGAAGAGGAACACATGTGCCTAGGCCATCCTAGAAAGTGCTAGCTGCAGCCTAAAAACAGTGTTTTGTTTCACCTGTGTTATATTTCACAATTGGCTTTGTCCATACACATCATGGCCCAATTCTAATTTTACAGAGGTTTGGTTTGTATCTAACAATTTTGGTCCAGTAAGCTATGGTTTCTCAGATCAAGAATGAGCATTATGACTAAGCTTACCCTCCTCCTTTACTTCCCATGCACATTTATATAATATTTTCCTGCTTAAACTACAGTTTTGTATTATGCTTGAACTGCTGAGTAACTATGGATTGAGCTCTGACTACAGTCTTGCTTTGCAAAGCAAGATCAAACTGGAGAAGAAGCATGAAGGTGCAATCCTGATTCTTGGTTTGAAAAAACATGGCTTGTTGACTCAACGTTGTTATTACTTAAATATGCTGTACTTTAATTGTGGAGAGGAATGTACATCAGAAAGCTTATCCTGATTAATGCAATCCTGATAGACATCTATACTCAGATATAAATGTTGATGTACATTCAGCCTCATGTTTCTTTCTCTACCTAATTTATACATTAGTTTGCACATGCTGATGCTTTTTGGCCTCAAGTTGAAAGTAGAACTAAACCTAATTCAACCGAACGTAAGGAAGGTTCAATATAATGGCCTGTACTGGAAATGCAACATTGCAGACCATATCAACATCCTTGTGTTAAAAATGCTTAATGATGATTGGATGTTATGCTGAGCTCTGTTAAAGAGGAGTAGTAGACATGTTCACATTAATTAGAGGGCAGGAAGCATCAAGTATTCAATCTTATAACCTATTCCTGATAGCTTGAGCAAAATTAAGGATTAAGATTATGATATATCATGCCCACACTCATTTAACTGTAGACATCTCTGGAAGCCAATCTTCTGGTTGTGTTTTGTCTGTTCCTCACTCCTATCCGGGGATCCTGGTGAATTGTATATCTTGAAATACTGCACAAGCAAATTTTTCTCATTTGCTTCAGTGAAAAATGTGTTCTGCACAGATGGTTGTGTTCGTGCAGCTGCCGCTTCTAGCAAAGTCAATGGTGAAATCTTTCTGGGTCAGGAGATCTCTCTATGTAAATAAGAGCCCCTGCAGCAACTTCCTTGTTCTGAACAACTCTCTTTTATGTAAACCCTCCAACTAATGCACAATGCAATGGAGGTAATTAGAGTCAATTAGTAAGACTCTTTGATTCAGTTATTGATTCTGCCATTAGTGTAGTTATAACCAAATCATATAAATTGTCTGTGCCTTAGCTTTCCAATTACAAAACAGGAATAAACATTCATCACCCTTGCCAAGCAAGTTAGTTATCCTTGATTGTTTAAGTGCTCGAAATAAGTGCAAAATACTGTTTAATCACAAAATAGAACTGTTCCTTCTAAATCTTCCATGTTTTGCCTTTAGAATGTGGCACTGCTTTTAAAATTGGCTGAGGTGCAAATAAACATCCTTTCAGGCCATAACAAATATTTATTTACTATATTACATATCTCAATCAGTTTCTCATCTCCTAAACCATGGGTCCTCAAACTAAGGCCCACAGGCCAGATCCGGCCCGCCATGCCCTTTTAACTGGCCTGCCCCACAGGTTTTGCACTCGCTGTGCACACACACAGCTTGCTCGCAAGGAGGTCGTTTTGGACTCGCTCAGAAACAATCTCCTCGCGACCAAGCCTGAGCCTCACCCCACACACCCCCCATCTGCCCCTCACCTCACATGCATGTGTGTGCATGCACGCCCCGCCCCACACCAGTCCGCGCCTCCCCACCAGCACTGACTTGGCGGCCCACAGCCACCACTGGCACCTGTCAACTGACCCCCTGTTAAAATAGTTTGAGGACCCCTGTCCTAAACAGTTTTACAAAGTGAAAAAAAAAGATACTAAAAATTATGTTGGTGCAGAGAGCTGGGAATAGACATGCAAATTGGAAATTTAGTTACTAGAAATTATTCTTATTCCAGATTGATGATTACATTGTAGCTAATACAGTTGCAAAATTAAATCACTAGTTTATTTTTAAAGATGCACTTTCCTCAGTTAATTATTAAAAATGTAATGCTTCTGTTTATCTAATTGCATATGTAAAGTGGAGCTATTTCTCCTTTAAAATAAAAACACAACACATAAATGTTTCCTTCTAGATGTTTTCTGTCTGCACTCAGCATATTCCAACTGCTAGTCAGAAACTCATTAACTGGGATTTTGTATCAGTTCTCTGATACACATTTTGGTGGACTTTTGACTTCACTTTTCACCCTCTACCTAACTTCTACAATAGTTTGCACATTCACCCACTTTTTCTCCTGAAGTTGAAAGTAGCAGTAGATCTGATTCAATTGAATATAAGAAAGGTTCAAGTTTGTTGTCTGCACCAGTGAATTGTGTTAGAAATGGAACACTGCGGGTTAGCTCTGCATATTTATGTTAACAACACATAAAGGCTGGATGTAATACTGAACTAATACTTAGAGGGAGGTGGCAGGAATCTGCACATAGTAACACACATGAAGTTAGAGGGGAGGAAGCATAGAGTATCCACTTCTTTAAAACTGCTCCTGATCTCTTTAGGCAAAATTAAGGGCCAGTATCATGATGGATAAGAACTGCACTGGGTTAACCCCAGAGTGTAATCTTTGCAATGCTCTGGAAACCAGTCTGCAGCTTTGTTTCGTCTGTTTCTGGTTTCTGTCTCCTATGTCCCCAGAAATCCTTCCCTGGGGGCTTGGGAACCAGTTAGAATGGTCAGAGAGGCCATTTTTTAAAACTGTTTTTATAATTTTATAGTATTTTAACTGTTTTATGGAGTCCTCCCTGGCCATGTTGCCGCTTATGTTTCCTGGGGAGTGCACCGGTGCCGCCATTGGGGTGATTATGGGCAATGGACGTAACAGCGGTGGGAGCTTAACGTGTCCGCATAGAAGAAGGAGGGACAGATGGCTGACACCTGTCCCTACTTCTGGTTTTGCTCCCAGCCAAAGGGTGCCAGGGAGTCTTGTCAGTCGCCCCTCGGGCCTGACGGTGCTGTTGCTTAAGGCCAGGTCGGTCAATAACAAATCTGCCCTCATCCATGCCTGATTGTGGATGAGGGGGCCAACCTGGCCTGCACAACGGAGACCTGGGTGGGAGGGGGGGGGGATGTTGCCCTCTCCCAATTGTGTCCACCCGGGTATCTGGTCCAGCACTGCTCACGGCCGGAGGGGAGGGGAGGGGGGGTCGCTTTGGTTTACCGAGCCTCCATCTATCTCACGGGACTTTCTGTCCCTTCGAGACCAGGGCTGGAGTGTCTCTACTTGGTGTTGGGCGACTGAGACAGACTGGGGATTCTGTTGGTGTACCGTGCACCCTTCTGCCCAACAGTCTCCCTGCCTGAGCTGACGGAGACTGTCTCGGACCTGGTGTTGAGGACCCCCAGGATGTTGGTCCTGGGGGACTTCAATCTCCATGCCAAGGCTAGTCTGACCGGGGCGACTCAGGACTTCATGGCCTCCATGACGGCCATGGGGCTGTCTCAACATGTCACCGGCCCGACCCATGAACGTGGACACACTCTGGACCTGGTTTTCTCGACGGGGCAGGAAGAGGGTGGTCTGAGGGTGAGTAATGTATGCTTGACTCCCCTGTCATGGTCAGATCACTTCCTGGTGAGGTTTGTGCTCGAGAGCAACTTCTCCCTCTGTAAGGGTGTGGACCCGATTTTGTGGGTCCGCCCCCGGAGCCGGATGGATCCGGAAGGATTCCTAAAGGCCCTGGGGGAATTTCCAGCTGACAAGACGGGTGCTCCTGTCGAGGCTCTGGTCGAACTGTGGAATGGGGTGATGACCAGGGCTGTAGACACGATCGCTCCTAAGCGTCCTCTCCCACCAGGCAGAGCCCGCTCTTCCCCTTGGTATACTCCTGAATTGAGGGCGATGAAGCAGGTTGGGAGACGGCTAGAGCGTAGGTGGAGGAAATCACGTGATGAATCTGACCAAACACACTTAAGAGCCCACTATCGGGCCTATGCTGTGGCGGTGAGGGCGGCGAAAAAGAGATTTTTTTCCACTTCCATTGCCTCCTCACAATGCCGTCTGGCGGAGCTCTTTCGAGTGGTGCAAGGCCTGGTTCGCCCAGGTCCGAAAGAAGATTTGATCCCACCCTCAAGGCCCGCTGTGACGACTTTGCCAGGCATTTTAGGGAGAAAATCACTCAGATTCGTCATGAGCTGGATAGCACTATTGATTCAGAGGCTTCAAAGGAGACACCAACGCTGCCGTCTGGTCCAGATTTATTGGATGAATTTCAGTTACTGCGGCCCGATGATGTGGACAAGGTGCTTGGGCGAGTACGTCCAACCACTTGCCTTTTGGACCCTTGCCCGTCTTGGTTAATAAATGATTCCAAGCACGGGATTGGAACCTGGATCTTGGAAGTGGTTAATGCTTCTCTGAGGGAGGGTCGGGTGCCTGCCCCTTTAAAGGAGGCGGTAATACGACTGGTCCTGAAGAAAGCGTCACTGGATCCAGAGATGGCCACTAACTATAGACCTGTGGCCAACATCCCGTTTCTGGGCAAGGTGTTAGAGCGGGTGGTGGCAGGACAACTCCAAGCACTCTTGATGAAACTGATTATCTGGACCCATTGCAGTCTGGCTTCAGACCCGGGTATGGTACTGAATCTGCCTTGGTCGCCCTGTACAATGACCTGTGCAGGGAGAAGGACAGGGGGAGTGCATCCCTGTTGGTTCTCCTGGACCTCTTAGCGGCTTTCGATGACATCGACCATGGTATCCTTCTGGATAGGCTTGCGGGATTGGGGGTCGGAGGCACTGCTTTGCAGTGGTTCCGCTCCTATCTCAATGACCGATTCCAGAAGGTGGTGCTGGGGGACTATGGCTCTGCGCCATGGCAGCTATGCCATGGAGTACCGCAGGGGTCCATTTTGTCCCCTTTGCTGTTCAACATCTACATGAAACCGCTGGGAGAGGTCATCAGGAGGTGTGGGCTGCGGAACCATCAGTACGCTGATGATACCCAGCTCTACCTCTCGTTTTCCACCAATCCAGGTGAGGCAGTGGCTGTACTGAACCGGTGCCTGGCCGAGGTAATGGGCTGGATGAGGGCCAATAAACAAGCTCAATCCAGACAAGACGGAGGTCCTGTTGGTTGGCGGATCAGGCTTCGGAGAGGGTGAATTGAACCTTGTCCTGAACGGGGTTGCACTCCCTCTTAGGGACAAGGTCCGCAGCTTGGGAGTGCTCCTCGACCCTGAGCTTTCACTGGAAGCTCAAGTAACAGCAGCGGCGAGGAGCGCTTTCCTCCAGCTTCGGCTGATTTATCAGCTGCGCCCCTACCGGGAGTACAACTGCCTTGCGAGAGTGACACATGCGCTGGTGACTTCCCATCTTGACTTCTGTAACGCGCTTTACGTGGGGCTACCCTTGAAGACGGTCCGGATACTTCAATTGGTTCAAAATAGAGCTGCCAGGTTGCTGACGGGGACTGGGCGTTATGCTCACATGACTCCAGTTCTCCGTCAGCTTCACTGGCTTCCCATTGAAGTCCAGGCCCAATTCAAGGTGTTGGTGATGACCTATAAAGCCCTAAACGGCTTGGGTCCTGGTCACCTGAAGGAGTGCTTACATCCATATATGCCCAGCCACCCCCTGAGATCGACAGGAGAGGCCCTTCTCCGGGAGCCCTCCATGAAAGAAATTAGGACGGTGGCTACTCGGAGGAGGGCTTTCTCAGCAGTGGCGCCTAAGTTATGGAATGCGCTCCCCAGAGAGGTCCGCCTGGCGCCGTCGTTATTTGTTTTTCGGCGCCAGGCGAAGACCTTTTTATTCAAGCAGCATTTTAAATGTTAATATTATTGAATTTTTCTGGCCAGGGCGGCTTATTTTATATTGTATATTTGCAATTTATTTTAATGTATATATTTTAAAATGTTAGTTAACTTATTTGTTGTAAGCCGCCCCGAGGCTTCGGCGAATGGGGCGGCATAAAAATGTTTCAATAAATAAATAAATAAATATAGAAGCAGTGGCCTGTAAAAACCACCTCCCTTGCTTTTTGCCACAAGAAGTTTCTGAGCAAAACTGCTTCAAGGATGTGCTTGCCAGTGGTATAAACTGGACCCAACCCATAGTATGTTATCTATAACCTAGATAACGGCAACAAATTATAAATAAAGCTATAAATGTCTACAAAACTACTTATTCTTTTAAGTATAAATATATAAAATGAAATAAAGTGAACTTACTTTGCCTGGGAATGCTTCTATCTAATTAGGATTGCATCATTAGCAGTTAAAGCAAGGTTTTCATCCTAACTTGTCAAACATATTGATATACTACTGTCATGTTACAAATGATCATTTTAGAATGATATTCTGGTTGCCAATAACTGGTTGCAAATTAAAATCAACCACAACATTCTACACAAAAGGTTTACACTGTAGTCTTCAAGATGTTGAAAACTGAATGTTGGCAGTATTTTGGACCTTCTGATTATTTTGACAATTAAAAGTTACATACTAAAAGGCATGTACAGGCCTCTTTTAAATGATGCAAATGATGCAAAATCATTCCACAATTACATGATAGAGGTTTATAATACTCAGTATTTTCATTGTTAATGTTTATGGATGCATAGTGGTCTTTATGGAGCCAAAACAGTAACATCCACACACAAAGGTGGGGGGAAGTAACTAATGCACTAAAGGAAATTCCTCTGCTAGCTTCCAGGGATCAGAGCTCGGAGCAGGGGTGGGACTAAAGGAAGCAAACTCTGGAGTTTTTCCATCCCTGGAATACAGTTTAATAGAAGATTGGCTGCTAGAGTCCTGAACAGAGGCCCCCACATGGCAACATTTTGTTGCAGGTCCAACTTGATCTTCTATATCCAATAACCTATTTTGTAATATGCTACAGAATTTTGCAGCTCTGGTTTGACCATGAATGGATGAACTGCTCTGTATCCCAGAACAGGAAAGGCAAAAGCAACCCTGCCATTGACTGAATTACACAGATTCTGCAAAAGGGTAGTCAAGACCAAGTAGAGGACACAGAAGCCAATGCACTCCAAGAAGCTAAGAACCCTGCAAAAATTAAAAAAAAAATACTGGAACAGGTAGTGATTTTTTTCTTGGGGTGAGGGTTAGGGATAGGAGGAGGAAGAGACTGGGAAAAGGAATGAAAAGATTGTTCCATGTTGCCTACGACTACAAAAGTAAGAAATTTTGAAGCTCATACCTAGGGTTAACATTCCCAACTAAATCCTTGACAACATGCCTCTAAATATAATTCATAAATATATAAATGTGTACTTCTTAATTGCCCTTAGGGCCCACTCCAAATCAACAATGATTAGTTCTTTTTTTGCATCAGTTGTCACAAACCTTTGTAATCACCTGTGTTTGCTGTTGCACGTTCTTTTCTCTCCAGAAACAAGCTTGCTGTTTTAATATAAAATTGTTAACTAGAGCCTGAAAAGAGGATTAACTGTAAGATTATAATTTTCAGCCCACTTTCCCCAAGTACCTATGATTTAATGTCTGTAAACTTTTTTGATAAGTTTGAGATTAAATCGTATAAATCACTCAGAAGTACAATGCATTGCATTCAGTGGGCTTACTCCTAGGTAAGAAGATACAGGGATTGCGGCTTAAGAACTGTACTTTCGATATTTTTATAGTATGAACCATACAACAACTCCTTTTCTGACTTCATGGCAAAAGACATGTATCAAACTTGCAAAAACAATGAAGATTAGTTAAAAGTGCACATGACCATTGTTGGAAACGAGGCCCGAATAAATCATATTCAAACCTCAGGTTTTGAGGATATAAGGTGGTTTTTGGAAAATAAGCTTAGTGCAACTCAGGAATCAATTTTAATGTCAGCTGAAACTATGGATATTTCCTTCCCTTCCCCTGGCTATGGGCCAAGAGCAGACTGGAAGAATTTGGGGTTTTCATTCAGTCAAATTCATTCACATTGTAGCTACCTAATCCCTTTTGGAATTCACAGTTTGTCAGGAAGTAGCTATTTTGTTATACTTTACTCAGGGTCTCAGACTTCCTGAATGTAATACAGGGGCTTATGATTTCAAGGAAGATTTCTCAATAACCTAAGTGTACATGTCTAAGCAGACCCGGAGATGGGTCTAAGCCTCTGGAAGTTACTCCACTGAAATGTCAATATATATTTAGAAATAGTGTAATCTTATTGTCACTGTATGATTGACTGACCATATACGTTCTGTATATGATGACCTCAGCATTTTATTGTAATGCCTGCATTCTGTCATTAATTGCTCTGTGCCTGTGTATGTGACTGGGAGGGTATAAAATACCCTGTAGCTGTATTGAAACTTTGCAGCGAGTTCACCTCTGCCCGCTCAGTAATGCATTATCGTGAGTCTACCACGGGAACCTGGGCCAAACAATAAGCCACAGATGGTCATAACGATTGATCTTTCCCACGAACCTGAGTTTTATTTCCTCCTCACAAATTGAAATTCTGGGATTCTGACACCATTTACACAGCTGTTTTATATCCCAATCCTCTTTATACATGACTTAGTTCATGACTTTCAAGATACTTAGAAATAGAAGCAAGTACAGTAGCCAGCTGCAATGCACGACAGTACAGTCAAAGCACAAGTCCTCACCTGCTTGTCTAAAACCATGAGTTTGTGTTCTGTAGTTTATGCATGAGACTTGTACTATTTGTCTGTAACTGTTAGGTACAGCTTTGTGGACATATAATGGTAGAAATAATCAACACACTCCCCACCCCACTCCAGAGCATTACCTTAGCCTCATCATGGCTTAGTTTTTCTGAAAATATTGAATATTAGTATCTCTTTACCACTACCATATAAAAAAGCGGAAAATTTGGGTACTCTACTTACAACATTCAGACTTGTGATCACACACAAGTTATGGCATCATTCAGTGTTGTGTGCATAGGACAGAAAGCAATAACCAATCGTAGGCTACCAGAACTCATTGGACAGAAGAGCGGCATCTGATTGGTGTTGCTATGGCACAAGGTATTGTTTATGTTCCTCCTCCTCCTGTCGGAGGGGAAGGGAGAAGCAAAGCAGCAGCAGCAGAGCCAGGAGGAGGCAGAAGTCCTTGTGAGCCATGCAGGCTGGGAATGCTGTGGAGCCCACCGGGTCACAATTAGTAGAAGTCATAGGGCTTCTTACAGAACCCTCTTTTCACATGGCTGTGTACGCAGCAGAGGTAATTCGCAGAATCCTCCTGATCTTGTAACAGCAACTTGCTCCCATTTTTCCTCTCTTCTTTTACCTGCGGTTCTACATAGACCGTGTGCCTCGTGAGCTGCTCCATCACCTACAGATATTTGCAAATAACTTCAATGTACAGCCCGTCAGAAAATGATTTTAGCTGGGGGCTAATTATTATTTTAATGATTTACTAAGAACCTCTCTACTTTTACTGCTTTATTAGAAAGCTCTAATGATAAGTAGCCATTTGTAAAATTTACTTAACCTGCCTTTTGTAAAATGTAGGTACTTATCATCCTAGCTATACCAATTTCAGCACTTCAATCATAGCATATACTGTGGCAGTATATTTAAATGCCTCTGTTTTAAGTGGAATGCTTACATTTCCCAGTTCAAAACAGATGCTTATTAATACTGGGTTTAAAAAAACTATTATTCTCAACCTCCAATTGTCTACCTTGGGTCACTTCAGATTTTGCTATTTTTGTGGATATGGCTACATGGAAGCAGAAACATCCACAGTTCAGCCGGCGATTCCCAGCAGTGATCTATGTGAACATGATTTTTTTTTCAGCTATAGTGTTCATGGATGTGTGGCTGCTATTCTATGTATGTCATTCCATTTCTTCAGTGTGCCTGCTTCCCTGGCAGATCAAGCCATATCTAGCTTTAACTGGCATTTGGCTGTTGAAAATACAAATCTCTATATATCTTCAGCAAAATATGAAGGTCCCTATCAGAAGAACCCCTGTCAACTTCAAGGAAGAAAAAGCTGAGAGGTCTAGAAGAGGAGGGATTGGAACTGGGTATCTGTTTATGTCTGTTTATAAAGCAAAATGTTTGTGTGCAGGGCAATGATCAGTATGTGTGCTTAAATTTGTTAAAAACAGGCATCCATGCAGGAGTGCAGTCAGCATCAGGTGGAACATGGGAATAGTCACTTGGCCTTGCTGGCATCAAGGGTAGGCACGGTTGGGCCCTGCCAAGGATCCACCACCCGCAGCAGGGTACCCCGAGCAGAGCACCCTGGCCTTGCTGCTCCGCTTCATCATTGCAGCCTGCTGGTTCACATGCCTCTTGCCCTGGCCCAAACTACCTTGGCAGGAATGAAGAGCCATGGATAGCGCGGCCTACTGGTTCATTGAATCTTTGCCTGTCAAGCAAGTTGTGGGTAGAGGCAAGATTAGCTGAGACTGAGGAGCAAGAGCAGCTGGTTGCTGCGTGATTAGAGCTTTGCATTTTGTTCTATGTTTTAAAAAAAAGTATGTAGAATTTCTTTGGAAGGTGACTTATAAACAGTATAAATGCAAAGGAATAAGATGCAGGGAGACAAGTGAGCCCAAAGACAAAGCTGGAAAGTAGGAACTGCCTAGGCAAAGACACAGAGATGACCCTGGAAGTATTCATGCTCAGTTGGGCCACTGAGGGCCAGGGGCTGAAGAGGGTCTGGTAATAGAGGAGCAAGCAGGAGGAGGAAAACTGAGTTTTTCACCAGCCATCTTGTGATTCGGGATTAGGAGCCTGGTGGCAGATTTGTAGAAGAGGTCAGTATTATCATCTTTGTATTGCAGGTAGGGTTGCAATTGCCAGTGTGGTGTGGTGGTTAAGAGCGTGGGACTGGGACTTGGGCAATCCAGGTTCGAGTCCCGGCTCGGCCATGGAGCCAACTGGGTAACTTTGGACCGGTCACAGACTCTCAGCCCAACCTACCTCGCAGGGTTGCTGTGGGGATAAGATGGAGGAGGAGAATGATGTAAGCTGCCTTGAGCCCTTTGTAGGAAAAGGCAGGATATAAATCCATAAATAGAGTGAGTGAGTGTGCTTTGACTGTCTGGTGAGTTCATTGCTGAGGGAAAAGGTGTTTCCTGACTCTTAATTCATGCTCTACCCACTGCATTCTGTTGCTCTTTCTGCCCTCAGTTGCTTCGCTGTTACATAGCAAATGGAGCACAAATTGATTTGATTTCATTTTTATCATGATGCCCTCATACAACCTCTTCATCACAAGTACATCTGAACCCAGATCTGTCACCACAGAAATATGGCTGCATCATTGACCCCAAAATAAGTGATACAAAATCACAGTTGTCATTGGAATATTTCCATGGTCATCAATTATGTGTGTTAACAGCACCATTATGAAAGTTAAGTGGATAGATATGCCAGGTACTTTTAATACTTTCATTTTATATTGAATACCTAGGCTCTGAGGAGAAATTTTCCAGACAAGATTGCAGAGCCTAAAGTGCTTCCTCTGCTGCAATTTGCATGGGATGAATATCTACAGGAGAAAAAACGGGTATGCATTATATCCACAGCAGAATAGATTGTCTTGATTTAGTCAGATGTTGGCCTTTTCTGGTCTTCCAGCAGACATTCTCCAACTGATGTTTCAGAATGAATGTTCTCTTGCTTTTCCAGGTTCTGTTCATAAAAGCTCTTCAGGAAATAAAGTCTCATCTGCATTATGCTGCACACCCAAATAGTTTTAATGTCACTTAAATTAGTGTTTGCTTTCTCTTATTTTAAACTTTGTTAGGTTATCTATTAGTGTTTCTGATGCATTTTGCAACTGTGAATCCATTCCTCATTGTCTAACCTTGTCCCTCTTTCTTCCCCTGCTCCTCTTTCTGCATTTGCTTCACACATTAACACACACAAGCAGCACAAGTTTAATGAGGAATAGGAGACAAATGGGACAAATGTTCTGCCTAAAACAGCAATTTGCTACCAACAGAATGTAGCCATAACCTAGATATGTTTGCTTAGAAGTGAGGCTTATTAATTTCAGTGGGAATTAATTTCTAGCAAGGTGCATACAAGTGCCACTTAACTGAATGATAAAAACTATAGCTTCGAGTTTGAGATAGCAAGCCCTCATTTCCAAGATCATGTTCTTGCTAGCTGATGCTCTACCCTGAAGGTAGACAGAAAGCAGATTCCAGATGTTTTGGATTTCCACTCTCAGAAGCCTTTACCAGTATGGCCAATCAATGGTCATAATAGTGGAAGATGACATCTTAAACATCTGGGGCCCATCTTCTGCCCACTCCACTCTACCTTATGAAAGGGCCAGTTTCCTTGCAACGTCCTTCTAAGGATGTTGTCCAGTTATTGTTAAAAACACTGCATTTCTACTGTCTTAGTCCAAAATCTCAGAAGTGGAACATGAATTTGGGACCATCTGCAGCATACACCAGCTATTCCTAGCATATAAATTGACAACCTGCTTCCCAGCTGATCCAAACACACATTTTGTGTCTTCAGGCACAGCATGTAATGGCTGTACTTCTCAATGGAGACACACCTTGCCCTTACAGGTCTGTTGTTCTATGAATTTCTAATGTTGTTTCCACTGTAAAATCTGCATATTTCATTGTTTTACTGTTTAATGTGTTCAATGTTGAATAATACTGATCCTGAACATTGTCATTTTGTCTTCTGATTACAGGAACTGAGAGGGGAAACATGGGAATATCCTTCCAATGTGATGTGCTTTGTTGATGGCCAGCTCCTTGGAGATGAAAAAATCTTGCTAAAGTGGGCTTTTGATGTTTGGGATTATAAAGACTTTAAACCCACCACACTTTATGAAGCTATTACACAGGATTTCCTCACCAAATACATGAGAAGCAAAAAGGTAGGCTCAAAAGGAATTTGACACACCTGAAGACCTGGGATCTGACAGAACGATATTTAGTCTCGGTTATTACCATATTTGAGAGAGTTCATTTATTTACTTATGTATTACATTTATATCCTTTCTGTTTTGTTTTCTTCTTTTTATTCTTTCAATAACCCAAGACAGCTCAGCTCACAGGATCCTGCTCCATTCCATTTTATCCTCACAGCAGTCCTGTGAACTAGATTAGGGTGAGAAGTACTGACTGGCCCAAAGTCATCCAGTGAGTTTCATGGTCCTTTCGGGAGTAAAATGCAGATCTCCAGAATTCAGACAAAAGTGTTGGAAAGGTGATGCAGACTTACATACAGATGCATCGTACCAATCTTTCCCCTCCTTTTCCAGCTTATTCTACCCATAGTTTGCTGTGATATCCAACCTGCTTAAACCCTAACCTCTAAATCATCGTTTTGGGCTTAGCACTAATCATTGTTCTCAGATTCAAACACTGCAGCAAACTACAGTTAGATGAAATCAGAAGAGGATATCAGCACAGCAGAGAGGAAAAGGGAGAGTGTGAACCCACAGTCTGTGCTTTGGTGTGTCATAATGTGATGTTTGAATCAGAATCAGGTCAGAGTATATAGCTTAACTTGCTTGCAGTAATAGTCTGTTAATGTACAGGATTTTATTCATAATATCTGCTGCCCAGTGAAGGGAACATGGAAATGCAGGGTCCTGATTGTATGTGATCTGAATGCACATGATTCAGTAACTTTGCTGAAGTTAATCAGGTCTAGAATAGAAGACCAGCTGATTAACTTTGCTGAAGTTAATCAGGTCTAGAATAGAAGACCTTATGTCTGGCACTCTGAAGCCCTGGAGGAACAGCACAAATGTATAAAAACCTTGTCCTAGGACTTGATTAGATAAATGGCAAACAAAATACTCTGCAGATCACAATGAAAGTCTTCTTGACTAAATGTCAACTCTCTTCACATCAACTTTTGGGATAAAATGGCATCGTGTGGTAAGTGCACTGGGGAAGCCTCATGGGGTCTCTCCTTCCTTGACAAAGAGGAGTGGTATGGTGCAAGAGGATTTCATATACATATATTTTGCTGCTGTTTTGACTCTAGGTTTCATTTGTATTAGGACAGAAATGTTATAAATATGTAATTGGGACAGGAAAGGTAGCTTTGGGGCCAGCCACGGCTCCTGGAAAGTGTCTGAGGGGTCATTGAACAGTTCAGAATTCCCAGATTTGAGGCTGAAGACAGCTCTCCAAGCTCACAGTGAGAGAAGCAGAGCTCTCTTACAGCTGTGTGGAAAGAAATGTGGCAGCTGCTCTCTAGGGCCAGAAAAGCAACCTCAGGGAACGGGGAATGGAGGTGTTTGGGGCAAAAAAAGGCCCATCCAGTGAAGAAGCAGGACAGGGGAATGATGCAAAGATTGCCTTCTCCCATTCTGCATAGAATGAATTTCAGCAGTGGATGGGTGAGCACTGGGGGCAGTGTGGGCTGTATGTTGCCCACTATACCCTGTACAGAAAACTTGATGTGCTTTATTCCTTTACTTCCCCTCAAAACTGTAGCATATGAAGCAGTAATTTGAGAACTGTGTAGCAGAAAACCTTGAGATTATCAGAAATTGATGGCACACTAGAATCTTGAATCTACGGGCCCACCCCGTCTGGATGTTTTTGTCCTCCCTGCCCAACCCCATCCAAATTGCACTATTCTAGGAGAACACTGAAAGTATTCTAGATGTGTTCCCAGTTCATACTAGATGCCAGTGTAGCCAGCATCCTATGTGAGGAATTTGCACTGTAGAAATCACTAGAATATTCTGGGCCATGCAGGTGTAATTGGGCAGACTACACAATGAGAACATTCCCTGAAAGGAGAAAAACTAGAAAAGTGCAGCTCCAGAGAAAAGCAGAACAAATCATCTGGTTTCTTACTGGAATTCAACCTTTTGCCTTCTGAAGCATGAATAATGGCTAGAAGGGAGAAGTCTTTGCTCAGTGAGTCAGTGTACTCTTCTATTGAACTCTGGGTTTCCTTTGTTTATCTTGACAGCACGTGTTTGTATTTTTTGAGATAGCTATTCAGGAGTCACCTATCGGAAAATTGGTGTTTGAGGTAAGTTGCTTGCAAAACCTCAGACTGTGGCACTGGGGACAGAAAAGCACAAATGCAGATTTCCAAGTGAATTTTTAAAAGCTCAGGTACTTCTGGAGGCTTTTCTTGTACAATTGCCCCACCTTATTTGTGAACAGTTACAGGAACGAGCCCAAACACTGTGGTCTTTCACTGATATCCTTCCTGTATTTTCTCAGTGCCCTATGCCCAGATTATCCTAAAACAGTAGTTCAATTACAATTAATTTAGAATCGCCATGAACAGATGTGGAAAATGCACAAAAAGCATGGCTGGTAGGTTCACATATAACCCTAAAAATGGCAACTTGTGCATCAAAATAGTTTCAAATATATAATGGAGCACTACTTGTAAAGAAAGCCACAGATTACCCCCAATTAAATTCCCAATTCACACCCACTTTCTGCCCCCAGATTTAATCCAAAAGATAGATCCAGTGGCAAGTGCCATCCTGGAATTGGAATTCCACAAGAGAGAAGCAGGGGGGGTGGGGGGGGGGGATGAGGCCTTTCCAGTGGTACCATCTGATGTGATTGTCCTTTAAAACCAAAATTATTTATTTTTATTTTGAAGGCCTGGGTTTTTATTCCTCATAGGTAGAGTGATTTGATGAATCAAATATCCAACCAGTCATATTTATAAATGAGTAAGACTCTAGATTGACTAAGGACATCATCAATCCATGAGTGGGGCCCATTATTTGCAGAAGGGAGATTTAGTGCTTCTGAGGCAAACTACAAAACAAAGTAAACAATTGTTTCTGGATGGAGCTGGGGGGCAGGGGGAGGTCCCATCGGATACTTCCCTAAGGCTGCAGTCCTATACAGCCTTATCTGGGAGTCCCACTAAATTCAACACTTACTTCTGAGTCAATAGCTGTAGTCATTCCTCCATTGTTGTTGCTAAGCTGCGAGTGAAGATGAACTGTTCTACTGAAGCAAGAAAGGAAGATAATGTGGGTTGTCAGTGACAGAAATTCTCGTTCTTGTTCTTTTGCCAGCAGGAGGCATGCCAGAGAAGGCATCTCCAGTACAGAAAGTCCAGCAAGACATTCATTTATTATTTCCTCACATTTTAAAATAATAACCACAGGGAACAGAATTTTGATTTTAAGAGATGTTACAGTTCTACTGCTGCATCTTATGCAAGTTTAGACAGAAACATCCCTGCCACTGCCAGGATGCCCCAATCCACATGGGCCTGCTGGCACTTGCAGGGCTTAGTTCTGTCTACACATGCATAGGATTGCATCTTGAGTGTATGCTTCCTGTGCAGGGTTCTAATCTATTGAATTCATGCTATGCATGTCTCCCTGGTGACAAGACAAAGGAAAGAAAGGTTTTCTCTGGGGTTGAGCTTGTGGAAACTTACCATGTTCTCTCTCTCCCTGCTGTGCAGCTTTATTCTGATATCTGTCCCAAAACATGTCGAAACTTTCAATGTTTGTGTACAGGAGAGAAACAGTTGCCTGAATCTGGGCTGGCACTCTCTTACCGAGATTCTATCTTTCATCGACTAGTAAAAAATGGCTGGATACAAGGAGGAGGTAGGTTTTTAATTCTGTTCACTGAATAAAGGCATGTGGCATCTTTAATGTATGCTTGTGTTCTTAACACCTGTTATAAGATTAAAGCCAGATTTGGGGATGAAACTAATATATAAAACAAGCCCTATTTTAGACTTTTCAGTCAAAAGCTTCCAAACAGATCAATCCAGTCATCTGTTGCAAGCTAGACTATAGCTGTCCCACTACTGTGGGCTTCCCCATTCACTTCTTCTGAGCTGAATGATTTCCACACAGATGCTTCTGTGCACAGAGATCTGGCTCTTCCACTAAAGAGGGTGGGACCAATGTGCGGAAGGGCTCTGGACAAATGTGCAAGACAACAACGCTTGCCTGTGCTGCTAGTGTATCTTAGCCAAAGAATGTCACAAGTCTGCTTTAAGAGAAAGAAGAGGATAATGCTGAAGGTGCTTTTGTATGGAAACCTTTTGAACACTCAGAGCCAAACCTAAAATAGAATAAACAGTGGCTATTAACATGAACTGTCAATTACCTGGTAAAGTTTTCTACTGAAAGTAGCCATTAATCATGCTATCTAGCACAGTCAATATCATACAATTAAGTTGAACAGCTTCATCCTAAGCTTCCACATTCTTCTTTCCAAATTAAAAATAGATAATGACATAGCCTTTTTTCAATTACTATCCAGACATACACGGAGGAAGAGGGGATGGAGGCGAGTCGATATATGGGCCTATCTTTGAAGGTAGGAATATGCTCTTTAAAGTACTTGTGACACAAGCTAGCAGGTATCTGCGATAATAGATGAAGATAGTGCCTGAACACAAAAGTTATGACAGTAATAGAAATGAGATTAAATTGCAACTGCATTGCTGAAAACTCATCATCTGCAACGACAGGACACTTTGGGTGTTTTCCTGTGCAAGACTTGATTCAGGTTAAGACTGTAGCACAAATCTGAAACCTCCGCATCGCTCAGAATGCTCATTTCCATTACAGATGCCTCTTTCCACTTTTTCTTCCACAAAGACAAGGATCAGGTATTTGTGTATGGAAGCGATTCAAAAGCAGCGTAAGATTCATTTATGAAAAACCTCTCTGAGGTTCTTGACTGCTTAAACCATGTATCAGTCTGCACCAGGAAAATTTGAACCAGAACATGTAAGGATTGAAAAGATAAGAAAGTGAGGCTGCAAACTTGCCAATATCCTATTGAACACAGTGAAACTAATTCTGAATAAACATGTTTATAAATGGTGTGCGGCATTTTTATGGACATTAAAATGCTGATATAAATGGCTCCTGTAGCAAAACACCACCTAAATATTTATGAACTCTTTTAGATGAAAATTTTGCAGTTCCCCATGACCGGCGGGGAGTTCTTGGAATGGCCAACAAAGGACGCCACAGTAATGGGTCCCAGTTCTACATCACACTACAACCAGCTCCTTACTTGAACGACAAATATGTGGCCTTCGGGTACGTGTAAGAGCTCTGTAGTAGTTCCCCAGGTACAGCTGTTGCAACAGAACATGTGGGAGGCAACACCATTTAATGGCAAAATAATGCATTTAGATTTGCCCAGCATTATCTTTACTTAATAACAGTTATATCATGCCTTTCTTCCATCATGGAACTCAAGGTTCCCAAGTTTGTCTCCTATCCAGGCACAGACCAAATCCAGTCCTGGGTAGCTACATGTGCCCTCAGGGCATGCCTTACCAGTGACTGAATTGTAAAAGTAACTGATGTGATTTCCCTAGTATTTACCTGTTTCTTCTTACTTTAGACAGGTGATTGAGGGCTCAGACGTTCTCCAGCGACTGGAAGCAACAAATACTTTAAATGAGAGGCCAGTTGTAGAATGTAAAATCATTAACTGTGGAGTTTTTCAGCCATGACTATGAATAGTAGATTTATGTAGTCTTACTGAAATGTATCATTATGTTGCTTTCTGATCATGGGATTTATGGTTCTGAAAAATGCTTGGCAAATAAAAAGTATACTTTTCACTTTTAGAAAAGAATGTAAAGGGTAATGTTTGGTGTCCTTTTCCTGACCAAATACTTTTGCTACAAAGGCAATCTTCCATTTAACAATGCATGATCTTGGAAGCCAAAAGGAGCAATCCCATTGCCCCTAAATAGCATCTGATGGGACACAGAAAATTTTGGATTCTCTGATCAAAGGTCAATGACAACTCCAAACTCAGAAGGGGAAACCAGCATTCCAACCCCTCTCTCCCTCCAACAGGAGCCATTTTGGTGGACAGGAAGGAGAGACCGGCCTCCCCAGCCTCCTTCCCCTCTCCTCCAATACACCCCAGCTAAATGGACAGAAAGTTTGCCAATAATGGATGTAAGCCTAGCAAAAATGGAGGACAGGGAAATTAAGGTCATCCTGCTGACCTACACAGGGTGCTTGTTAAGCCTCCAAGTCTGACAGCCATCAAGAGTGCAACCCATAGGGTTGTGCGGTAATGTCATGATGCAATGTGGCAACTATCAAGAGTGCTTTGTTGAGGGGGCACAAAGAACCATGCATGCTTAGAATGGCTCTGCTCCTTTTTCTTTTCAAACAGCAGTCTGCCAATTCACATTGGTTATGAATGGCTCCTGAACCTCAAAAAAAGAGTGGCTATTATACTGCAAGCCTATAGTCAGGGTCTGTGTGCTTGATTTTGTTTCTGTACATAGACCCTAGAAAATTGTAGGCATTTTAAAACAACTGATGTTGATAACAATGTAGCACACGGGATCCTTGCTGGAAATAAAAGCAGACCTGCTAGATGTGCAGAATTAGTTCTGCAGGACTCTGGATTGTTCCTGGATAGCTTTAGCTATTTGGAAGGTTATAGTAATAAACAATAACCTCCTGATGAGGACAGTGCTTTCACTATTCAAACAGGTGACACAGACACCACTCTGAAATAGATACTTACTTAGATATTTGGTCTGCTTTTGTTGAATTCTGGATCATCCTATTCTTCTTGTTTTACACTGTCACCCTCTGTTTGTAATGGGGTTCCAATTCATAAAGTGGTAGGAATCTTCTCTCTAAGAATCTTTTGTTTATAATTTCTATGCTAATCCTCTGGATTCAAACAGCCACAAATTTCTCACTTGCCTCCATGACAATCATTTGAGATAAAGAATCTTTGAACTCTTGCAACAGGAAGTGGCATTTCTGCAATTCCACTGTGCCTGAAATAGTTATTTCGATATTTAAATCCCACCTTTTTATGATAACATGAAGGCACTTTAGAAATAAATAACTTACAGCATTAGTAAAAAAAATCTCAACTATATAACAACTGTAAAAATGTCCTAAAACATAATAAAAAACACAATCACAGCAAATGGAAAATTTATAATCAAGGGTTCTAATGCTGGCTGGAATAGAATGGTCCTAAAAGCCCATTGAAAAGTGCTAATGTTGAACTTTTGCTTTGCAAAAAGTCAGTCAGGAAATTCTCAATTTCCCAATGAAGGAAAAAACTGTTCCACTCACCCCAGTTCTCTGAATGGCAAGTTCCCAGGAGTACAGAGCATCCCACTCTTTGGCATGTGGTCACTAGCAGGTTATGAATGGTGTTTATTTACAAATATACAGGTTAGGCATGAGTGGGAATTCATACCCTGATACTCCAAGAGCTGCTCCACTGTTCCCAGATTTCTGAGGGTGGAGTACCAAGCTTAGCCACTCAATGACCTGATTCACACCTAACAAAAACATGGAGTATGGACTATTGACCTACCCATGATTGTTCTGCTAGACAATTACACAATGCTCAGGTTACTCTTTTCATTACTAGTGTTGCTGTAAGAATTGTTGGAGCCTCCTGCCACTGCTGAACAAGTGCATTGCTCTAAGCTTTTGGGGGGAACCAGTAAAGCCTGCTGCTTCTACCTAATAGACTGCTATATTACACTATTCACTTTTTCTTGCAAGTGAGAGACACTGTTTGCATCCTTGGGATAATCATGAATTAAAGTCAAGGACATAAAGTTTCATTGGTACATGAACTCAGAGATACCTTTGTGAATTTGTGTATACCACTATCTTGTGCTGTAGCATTTAATTTGAATAAATACTGTTTGGTCAGCTTAGGTGTTTGCAGAAGTGAGGCAGTTAACCCTAGCATCTACATTTTGGGGGATGGAGGTTTGAGTCAGAACAGATGATAAATGAGGGAGAGTCACCCCCAAGCACTGAACCTGGCCCCAGGTTTCTGCCACAAGGATTACACCAGGCTGCAGTTTTGGATGAAATGCAAGATGGTGCATGCCAGGGCTTATGCCCAATATCCTGTCCAATAGTGTGATTGGTAGGAATTGTAATATTACATGTGGTGCGCCTACAACACAGGAGTGCCAGCTACTGGGATTCCTATCCTGTCTGGCCAGTTCAGGTGTTATAAATATAACTGTTCTTTTGTTATAGACTCATTGTGAATTCTCTGGCCAGTCAGTAAGTCCCAGCCTTGGTTAACTGGTATATCTAATTCAGAGGACCATTGGAGTAAATGTTGAAGGCCATATGAGATGTTTTTGCAAATAATTTGACATGTCAATGATAAAGGGTAGCCATCAGGAGAGTTGCTTTGGCTCTTCTGAAAGCACAAATAAGGAAGCCCAAGAAAGAAAGAAATGAAAAGCAAACACAAAAGATAGTGGGGTTAAAAAGAATTAGCTCTCACAGTTCCTTATCAAGGAAACCCAGAAAGAAGAGCATTTCTCTTTCCACCGCCTATGCTGCAATGAAAAGATGAGAATTTCATCATCTCTCCGCGAGACGTCAAAAATGGATTAATCCCTTCGTAGTAAGAGAGGAGCCACAGCGTCTGACTCAACCGCAAAGAGCAATGGTAACAGCACCTGCGTGCCTTCCGACTACAAGGTAACTCGTGGCATGTTGTTTCCGGGAGAGAGGACTTTGACCTACTCCCAGCCCCCCGTCCCGTCCCATCCCGCAGCTACGAGATTTTTCCAGCTCAGGCGAGGCTCCGGTCATGTGACAAGGAAATTGTCTTCCGCGGGAGACAGTCCGATTGCAGCAAAAGGAGCAGGGCTGCCCTGAACGGTGTACGTAGAGTGGACGAAACCATTTCTCATTAAACGGGGGAGACGGATCAGAGATAGAAAGGCAAGGCTAGGCCGCCGCCTCGGTCCGCGCGTCAGTCTCCTCCCGCGAACCGCCCGACGGGCCGTGCTCACGTGACTGCAGACTTTGGCCGGCCGGGAAGGGGACGGCTGCGCGAGCTAAGAGTTCAGCGGCATCGCTGCGAGGGAACGGCGCGTCCTCCTTCCCCTCCTCGCTGCTCGCGTCGTGCGGCGTTCGCTCGGGCTCGCTGTCATGAGCTGCGGTGGCCGCCCCCTCCGGGGTCCCTTGGGCTGGGCGCTGCTCCTGCTGGGTCTCGCTTCTTGCTTCATCTCGCCCCTGGCAGCGGACGCGGAGAAAGGTGAGGCGAAGGAGTGGGCGGTGGCCTTGGAAGTGCCTCGGCGCTGCTTGGGTGGAGAGGCTCGTGGCAGACCGGGGGAACAAGAAAGGCTCCGGGGCTTCAGCGGTCGTGCTCCAGCTTGAAAGCCCCTTACTGTGACTCGCAGAAGAGGAAAAAGCGCAGGGATGGCTGAGGGTGGGCTCACGCGCCCCTTCCTTGCTTCGTCTATGGAGAGGCGTGTGCGCTGGCCTTGAGGACAGGTGTCGGGTTTATAACCTTCCCCACCCCTGTCCTGAAGCCGTACGAATACGGCGCATGGGGCTGTCGGGTGGCGAGAGGGGAAGGAGATGTTGGAGCGCGGGAGGACAGGGCGGGGCTCGCCCCACAGCACCTTCCCTCCCCCCCCGCCACGCATGCTACTCGCACTGTATACTGGGGCGGGGGGGGCTGCACGTATCCCCCCCCCTTGCGGGCCGTCCCGCATTTCTCTGTTGGGAGGCCAATGCGGATGGTCGAATACCGCGCACAGCCAGAGCTACTCGGGACAAATAGGACCCCACGGCTACGTTTCAGTTAACTGGCGCGCGGCAACGGCCGTTCTTCCGCGTATAAATAGAGCCGAAACTAGATTCAAGTTGCCTCTGCCCGCATTTAGGACCTCCTTGCTCCCCACCCCCACCCTGCTCCCTACCTTAAAGAGCACTTTGCAAAGGAACTTGCAGGCAGGAGTGAAAGCGGGAAGAACGAGGCGAGACGAGTTATGATGCAGCGAGTATTCGAACACTGTTATTCTGGGAAGGGCCAGGCGCTCCATATTCTTTGGTTAGAGAAACGGGAATCTATGGAAGTTTCTGTGAACTAAATCTGTTACTCCTCTCCTTATGCAAAACTGGATGCTTAATAAATTTACTTGTTCTGTTGAAATGATGTAAAAGCTATTGCTACATGGTTAGCTTAAAGGAATAAAGTGCTTGGTTCGAAAGGCCTGGTTCCTTCCATAGTAGGAGTTATTCTGAGAGAAATATAAAATTGAAATAATCTGATCTGATGATTTTGGCATTGTATAAATATTTCAGTTTTTTTCAAACCTGTTATCATCATCAGCTTGATTGCAACTGAATGATCTGTCTGGCATAGTAGAGCCAGGTCTGCTTCTTTGTATAGGGGGGATCTGTGGACAATGAAACCGACAAAAGACTGTTAAGGGAAGATAACCAAGCACACTTGAGAGCATGTGATTGTGTCTGTTGTGCTGCTGTTCTGACTGTTTTAAAAGGCTTACCTTGCTGCTATCTCCATTGCATTCTCAAATAGCCATCCAGTGGATCACTTTTGGATTGCCTATGGGTTGTTAACATTCTCTGGGGAATGGAGACCTGATCCTCTCAAGGACCCACTGTGACCTTTTTGCATCCCGCTTTGAGGACAGTATAACTTGTCTGCACAGCAGTTTTAGTTGCTGCAGCTGGATGATGTGGGCAAGAGGCTTGCACCAATGCAACTAACCATGTGATTTCTTAGTCCTTGCACTTCTGGCTATTAAGAGTTAGCTCAGGAAGTATTGAGTGGGCAAGTCCAGGGAGTAGTAAGTGTGTCTTTTTGTGATGGGAGGATTCCTGCTGTCCTTAAGAAGGCAACCACTTCTGAAGAAGTCCACTGTGGATCTAGTGGTGTTCAGCCAATACTGTTCAGTCACAAATAGTGTCTTCCTTGGGTAAAATACTAGAAAGAGCCATGGAAGAGCAATTTCAGGCATGCTTGAGAATATATAAACCCATCCCTGGGTTTCAGCCTGGTTATTGGGCCCAATTATTCTTGGTCACCCTGATAGATGACTTTTATTCAGAAATGACCTGGAGTGTGAGGATCTGTTAATTCTGCTCTATCTCTGGTTGGCATTTGATACCATCAACCATGATATCCTCCTGATTGATGCCATGGGCTATTCTTTCCTGCAGAGTAGATTTCCGAGATTAACCTTCAGAGACCATTAACTCCTTCACAATAGAGCTACAGAGCTCTGCAGCCTACTATCTTATCTCTAATGCTGTTCAATGGCTGGGAGCAGCCATTCAGATTTGGAGCCAAGTGCCATCAGTATGCTGATGACACACAGCTCATCTCCCTGTGACATCTGAATCAGGTGAGACTGTGCAAATCCTGGTTCAAAGCCTAGACTCAGGGATGGGCTGGATGAGAACCAGTAAACTGAAGTTGAATCTTAGTGTTTTGGAAGCTCTGCAGATTAATAGTTCCTCAGTCTGGGAGATTATTTTATTCCCTGTTGTGGATGGGGTTGCACTCTGACAGATCACAGTTTGTAGTCTGGGTCTACTCCTAGTCCTAGTTCCGTTGCTGTTGCTGGAGGCCCAAGTCACCATAGCAGCTTAGAGTATCGCCAGCTTTGACTGCTGTGCTGTTCTCCTGGAAAAGGATAGTTTGGCCATGGTGGTAGAGGTGCAAGTAACCTCAAGCCTAGATTGCTGCAATGCATTCTGTGTGAGGCTGCCTTTAAGGAAGGTCAAGAAGCTGGAGGTAGTACAGGCAGCAGCAGCTTGGCTATCATCAGGAGCAGCCCCTGTCCAGCATGCAGCTGCAACTCCTGCTAAGGGAACTGCTCTGACTGCTTATTGCTTTGAGGCCTGTTTTAAAGTTTTGTTATTCAGTATATAGAACCCTAAACAGCTTGCAGGGGACAAGATAATTGAGAATGCCTTCTCCCTTATCAACTTTCCAGGTCACTGAAGTCATCTGGTGTATTGTTTGTATTGGTTCATCATGGACCCATGACCCAACTGGAGTGCATGCGGAGTAGGCCCTTCAGTGAGGTGGATCCCTTTTTATGGTATTCCCTGACACTGTGGTGTTTTCAGGCCCTGGTGAAGACATTGTTGTTTCAAGAAGTAACAGGTTTTATTAGTCTTCTGGTTTAAAAACAAAACACTTCTATGGTGTTTTATTCATTTTATTATTTATTGTACTAGAATCTGTTTAGATATGGAGTAATATGTGAATGTTAATAAATGATAATGATTAGCGCTTGCAGTGTGCCTGACAGCTTATGGAGACTACACCAAGAATTGACTTATCCAGTACATTTATTCTAGTAATGTAGACTTCAGGATAAATTTCTTCATGTCATTTCTCTCTGTTTTTTTCAGCTGCAAAGCTGATGTAAGTCAATAATTGCAAGAGTCCTAAGGATTTTTTTCCCCTCTCAGATCTCCCCCCCATCTGTACATTTTAATGAGTGTTGCATCTAACATTGCAGAATAGACTAGGTTTTTTCAGAACAAAATAAACTCCCTAGAGTGTTCTGAATTTCTGGCATGTACTTCTGCATGTGTTCACACAGCAGACTGCCTGCAAAAACAGTCATTAATGATTATTGTAAAGTATTCTTTGTTATAGAACTGTGTGACTTGAATTAAGCTGAAGGTCATTTAACTGAGTTTACTGTGCTGACATTGCTATGCTTATATGCACAGAACTTTAACAGATAACCCATATTATTGAGTTGGAGAGTTAAAACAAGATGTACAATATCACAGGTGTTGATATGGCAAACATGAGGTTAGTAAATGAGAAATGGAAATAAAATTGTATCAGTGAAGTAATATAAGTCTGAAGTTGCTAAAATCATTCACAATGTTTTGATTTAACTTTGTACAACAATAGATATATTGTTTTTGTATGGCAACATATATACATATATCATGAAGATGCAAACTGGAAGCTGAGGAATACAATGAACGTATTAGTACACACTTAGTTTATCTTGGGGCTGTGGTGTAGGAATCTCAGATTCAGTACTATTTAATTTGAGGAATTTTCTTAGCTTTCTGAATCACAGAACTTTGTTTCTTCAATATAGGAGAGATGGTTCTGTCACAAGGGCTTTGGGGGCACCACCCCTTTATTTATTTAATGTTCTTCCTTTTTTCTGTAAGGAACCCCAGGTGACTTGCATAATCCCTCTGTTCTACTTCCATTAGTTTAGACTGAGAATTGGTGAGTGATGCAGAATCATCCAATAAGCTTCATGTATACGTGGAAGGGTCACTTTTCTTAACATGACTGACAACTACTGTGGCAGTAGGCAAGGTCCAGTTGTCAGTAAACATATATTTCAGTTTATCTCTTATTGCAAGTTAATTCATTGCATTATCTTTTCTATCTTCCATACTTTAACAAGTTGTAGATCTTTGGAGACTTCTACTTTTCCAGTGGCAAACTACAGTTAACCTCACAGCATGCATTATATTATAAAGCAAGAAAGTTGTAGTATTATGTTTAAACCTTTCTATCAACAATGTCAACATGAGTGGATAACAACCCATAAGAAAGAAAAGCCCTTACTTAGTCTAAGATCTTGCTTCCCGACCACATGCCTCCAGGAAAGCCTGCAGTAGGGTTGAAGGAGAACAAGCACACATTTGAGCCTTTCTTCATAGTAAAATTCTTCAGCTTCCTGATTATTTTTCTTTTCTAAGCCCATTTTTTAGGATCACATTGCATATATCTGTTCAAAGATAAGCAGTTCCATATTGACTTATTTAAAAACTCAAGGGTGAAAGCGATCTGGATCCAGTTACTTACTTTTAACTTTAAATACTATCACTTTTTTAAAAAATCTGTGACAACAATATGTGCACATGCTACTGTCTGTAAACAGTTAAAATAATAATAAGCTATAAGAAACGCACAACAAAAGAAAATTTCTTTTCAAGCATCCTCCATAACCCAGTGGAAAGGATTTGCTTTAAGTGAATCAGTTACTTGCATCTTTGTACTTTTCAGTAGAAATCTGCTTTTCTAGTAATCTATAAAGAAAATTCAGTCTTAAAGAACAGCCTTCCCCAACTTGTTGTCCCCCGTGTGTTTGAACTGTAATTTCCATTATCCCCATGTTGACTTTTCAGGACATATATGGCTGTTCCAGACAGATTTAATCTTACTCTGGTTGGTGTGAATTACTATGCTGGTTTTGGCCATAATAATGGAATTTCAATTTGGAATTTTCATTTCTGGTCACTTCTGCGTTTAACTTTGGAGCAGCAAATTCAGCCTGAAGAATTAACAATTTGGGGACAGTTCTTACATACATTTTTTGCAGTAGAGAGAAGGCAAGTAATTAATTTCAGCTTTTCTGAAATCTCTGTTTCTTCTTTAAGCACTGTTTCTATCGGTTCAAATTGGCTTCCAGGCTAGTTTTCTGTTTCTGACATATTTAAATAATTATTGTTGCTCTTAATGTTTTGAACAGTAAGCACCTCAAATTCTCTCTTCAATTTCTGCATTGAATTTTATTAAAATGAAAATATAAAATTAGTTAAATTTGTATGTAGCTTGTATGAGCAGGGCAGGAATCAATAAGAATTGCAAAAAGATTTAAAATACAGCAAATGGGGAACCCTCATGTAGAAGATGATGATTCTTTATGAAAAATTCTTCTCTAATGCCCAGGCTATTTATGGTAAACTGAACAGCTGTTTTCAGCTCCTTTCTCAGTGGCCAGTGCAACCTACAGCAGCAACAAATGGAGGCAGTTTTTGTTTTTGTTTTTGTGTCCTTCCCCCACAAGTGCTAGTGTTTGTGGGGGGGTGTTTTGCTGAATTAGGGCTAATACAGTAACCCGCATATCATTCCTATATAATGTCATGTTTATATTGAGCAGGCCAGCTTAGTGGGAAAACCATTTTGTAAATTTCAGTCAAAGACATTGTGTTTTATCCTATGTTGAGTAAACTGTGTAAAGTCAAGTTATTTTCTGTCTTCTGTTAAGTTTTCTTTATATTACAAGAATTAGAGCACTATTAAGTTGACTTGGACTTTTCATATGGTCATATTAGATATGGGGCTGCATGTTTTAGTCATCAGTCTGCCCCATTTGTATATAAATCAGGAGTAAGGAAATTTTAACATGAAAAGGGAAACATGTTTCCCCTTCTCTTATCGTCCAACATTCTGTTGTGTTGAGGGTTTTCTCTCCCTGGCCCTGCTGGCTTCTACTATTTGAACTGGACTGGGAGGAAAGTGGTAGGAGGTAAATTGGCTTGTCTTTGTTGCACTACTTGCCACTTAGCTTAAAATAAGATTGTTACATGCATATAAATACGTCATTTGTGAATTGGACAGACATGTCAACAAGAAGCTTAGTTGCTTGATCACATCGACTTTAGGATTTAGGTCTAGTTGTTGAAATCTTAAGACGTGAGAATGCAACAAACTTGGGAGCTGAAGGAGGTGTTCATAATTTATACTTCTATATCATTTCCCCCTTTCTTGGGCAGAGATACTACTATGGTGAAATTTTTGTTCAAAAGTAAGAACAGTTTCTGTGTTTCAAGTGGAAAGCACTTCTCCATCTCAGTATTGCCATTGTCTATTGTCTATAAATTGTGATACTTTTATTTTTAAAAACCTGTTATTTTTCTTTTTTAGTTGCCTGTGAAAAATATACCAACTGTTCTTCCTGTATCGAAAATAGTGAGACATGCATATGGCTTCAGTGTAATGGTAAATTGAATTACATTTAAATATAATACTATTATTCTGTAGTATTATAATTTTAAGAATTATAAATTTAAAATATGAATGTAAAAATAATTATTAAACAGTCTTTGCTGACACGGGCAGTTTCAGTGGCTCCTTTTGGTTCTGAAAGAAGAGATAAGGTAAAGGTTTCCCCTTGACATTAAGTCCAGTCATGCCTGACTTTAGGGGGCGGTGCTCATCTCTGTTTCCTAGTTGAGGGAGCCAGCGTTTATCTGCAGACAGTCTCTGTGGTCATGTGGCCGGCATGACTAAACATCGAAGTGCACAGAACGCTGTTACCTTCCCACCAAAGTGGTACCTTTTTATCTACGTGCATTTGCATGCTTTCAGACTGCAAGGTTGACGGAAGTTGGGACAAAGCACGGGAGCTCACCCCGTTGTGCAGATTCGAACCAGCGACCTTTTGATCAACCAGCCCAGCAGCACAGTGGTTTAAACCACTGCGCCACCTGCAGTGCCTATAGATATAATGTGTGTAATGTTTCCTCTTGAGCTGCAAAGTTGGCATTCAGACTGTTACAGTGGAGGGAGATGAGTTTTAAGTAGTCTGATGAGCAAGAGGTAGTGAATTGAAAAACTGGAATCTGAGACATCGCTGATGGAGAAATAGATTGGAAGGGGAGGAAGAGTCAAGGAGAAAATAGAGCTGAGACAAAACCAACAATGGGAGAGTCTACATTGACAGGAAAGAAGCTCGCAGGAAGACAAGGATTGTTGAGCTTTGGACTAAGGGCCTAGGGCGTGGGTCCTCAAACTGGGGGCCGGATCCAGCCATCATGCCCATTTATCCAGCCCGCCATGGCATTTTGGACTTGCTGCGCATGTGCCCACGCCCACTGCTGCCCACCACCACCCAGTTCGCCCTGCTTGGAGAAAACAATCTCCAAGCAAGCAAGCAAGCCGCTGCCTCATGTGCCCGCCTCACGGTGCATGCCCACCCCTGCCCGCACCTCCCCTCCCCTTGCCGGGCACGTGCACCCGCCTGCACCTCCCCTCGCTATGCGTGCCCACCCACGGCTCACCTCACCTTGCCTCGTCACGCACCCTGCGCTGGCCTGCACACACCACCGACACCACCTTTCCAGCCCACGCCCAGCACCGGCAGCTTTCAACTGGCCCCCTAGCCTAGGGAATGAAAGCTGCATGGCTCAGATAGGCCCTCAGACCAGAACTTGATAAAACATGATCCTTTAAGGTTGTATAGAAGATTATTTTTAGTCAGTTTTAACTTCTGGTATTGCTTTATCATGATTTGATAACCCAAAGCAAACCATGAGGGTCTAGAAGCAGGGAAATGGAAGACAGGCACTTAATCTCACATACTGGCTAGCCATTTCTTTAACTGCAGGCCTGTGGAGTTGCGTAGAGTGGAGGAAAGTAAACAGTAAGATTTTCCTACACACATTTTTGAGTGAATCCAGTATCATTATTCGAATAATTTCTAACTTAATACTTTCCTTGTGGAGTTTTTCTGATTCTCAGGGGTAATATAAAGGAGTGTCTCCTTCCATATGTGCCTGCCTACCTCTGAAGATCTGGGGCAGAGGCCCTTCTCTGGGAGCCCTCCTTGAAGGAGATTAGGAGGGTGTCTACCCGGAGAATGGCCTCTGCAGTGGTGCTCTGATTGTGGAATACATTCCGCAGAGAGGTTAGCCTGGCACTGTCTCTTTATTCTTTTCGGCGCCAGACTGAAGCCTTTTTATTTTCCCAATGTTTTAAGGTTTGACTGTTTTAATATATATATTTTTTGGTTAATTGGTTAAGAATTTGACTAGGGTGCTGTGTTTTATTCTACTTTGTCTTATTGTTAAACCATCCTGAGACCACAGTAAGGGATGGTCTAAAAAGTTTTAAATAATAAATAAAGTTTCCTGATTTTTCTCTGACTTGCACAAAAATGTGCTTTAACTTATCCAATTTATTTGTTTTAAATAAAATCTTTACTAAAACACATTGAATAGTTATTAGCTTGATGTGGAAAAGGTTAATACCAGAACGCCACAAGTAAAGCCTACTAACATTTCTATAACTTCCCTAGGGCAATGTTTGTATTGAGAATTAATAGACAAATTATTATGCTGAATGCTTTACATGTTTGTATTTGCAAATCCAAACCAAATATTATTCTACAATCTTCTTTGACAGAAATTAATCAGTCCCAATGCATAAATAAGACAGAAAAGCACATCAATTGCACTGTTGTTTCTCAGAATGGAACATGTCAAGGTAAGCATTTACATCTATGCCTCTGTTGTTTTAGGGCCACACCACAGAGATATTTATCCCAGTACAAATTGAAAAGAGATGAGTTTTAGATAATGAATAAAAACTGAAAGTGACTAATGATGCTTGGTCTATACATGTGCTCATATTAGACGTTCCGGACTGCAAATTTAGGGAGACTCCTTCCTGCCCCTTTTAAATGATCCAAAGCAGGGGATAGTTGTGTCCACCCTGGTGGGACGTAGCACAGGTTTAAAGCTACAAACTGGTGCCCCAGTAATGTTGACTCTGCAAGTGCCAAATCCACTAGCTAACTCCCTGCTAAATGTAAAGAAGACTAAGTTTAACATTGACTTTGAAGTTCTAGAAAATTTAATCAGTAGTAATTCTCTGCTTTTACTAGCCTTGCCTGAATAGTTGGGAATAGTACACTACCTTTCACGTCTGTCTACTTAGGACAGAATGTCCTGAACTGACTACTCAGAATGTGGCCTTGGCTGCCTTTCTTTAGACTTTGGTCCCTTTATGATATGTGTTTCCTACCAATTACAGTTGTCATTGTTATGACACGTGACTGTTATGACAGCTACACAAGAACCACTAGAGTAGGAAATAATATTGATTGATGTTTTTTTATTTTTTTCTTAATACTGTTTTCTACTTTGTACTTTTTTTTAGCTCCTTCTAATGGTTCCACAACCATTACACCTGTCACAGCTGGTGCAAATACTACAGCATCCACCATACCTAGCACAACCCACACTCCTGTCACAGGTAATAAACTCATTTACTTCTGTGCAGTAATAATGTAATGCGATATAAATATCTATCATACATATTTGCAAGATGACGATACTGAACCTGAAATGAGTCAAAAGTCCTTGCCTGCAGCGCAAACATAACACAAGAAGTTGTCTAGCCTTTAGAGTGATTACAGCCATTTGAGTAAAATGGATGAAAAAACTGGTAAATTAAGAAAAATCAGCATTGAGAATGTGATAGCATGGGCTGTTTTGTCCATAAATGTGCTCAGAACATTTATGCAATATTTGTGTATCTTCCACTCATTTCTGAGGTGTTGTCTCTTTTCTCTGCTGTACTTGCTCTGACTTCTACGTGATTGGTTCTTCACACTGTCTGTGATTGCTATAATGGTAATGAAAAGTAAAAGTGACTTATGCTAAGTTCTGAAAATGCTTCAAGAAACTTTTTTCAAAAGTTAATAAGAATTATCTAGATAAATAATCAGTTAGGGAAGATGCTGTTTTTCTTGCCTTTTCCTAAGTCTCTAGGGTATTGCAGTACATCATCTTACTTTCTCTTGTCAATATTGCTAAGGCACCCTAGGGTGAGACAAAGCAATTAGCCAGATGCCATTGAAGGAGCTAAGGAGCTGAAGCGGGGCTTGAATTGGCATGTCTGACAAACCACCATAAAAGGGTTGTCAGAATCATGCAAAACATTGTTCTTGTTAAGCCACACAGATGTAGGAAGGTACACAACTGGCTTAAAATGTTAAGAGTTCCCTTTTGCTTCCCTTGCACTCATACGTTCTGCTCTAACAAAAGTATTACAGTTGATTAAGGCTTTGTTTTTACATCATGAGATTCTTTCTTGTTATACAAGTATATTACCTTTTCTTCTATTTCTGTTGTTCAGGCTGTAAGTAGTGTTGTTTTTGCAGCCAAAACAGCACTACCCATCTGCAAGAGAGTGGTATGAGCAGAACTGAGGGAATCCTAAGCTTTTCAGAAATACATAAAATCTTTAGGAGATTTTCTAATGGTTGGATCTCAAAAAACAGACCAAGGAGGGAACGCATATTCTACATGAATCCAAAATATCTCTTTCTGTTCACCCTGGAAGAGTGTGTGGTTGGCTAGAACCATGAACATGAGTACTCCACACTGCTACGTTGTGTTGCAAGTCCCACTAGTTCTTTTTGTACCGAACGTGATGATCCCTGTTGTCTAGTCTTACCCACTTGGCAGCACAACTTTTCTTGCTTCTGCATAGTTGAAGTGACTCACAAGGTAGACCAGTCAGTTTATTGCATTTAGCCATAGGCCATTACAAGTTAATAAGGTAAAACATTGAATTAACAAATAAAACCATAGCTCAAATGTATTAAAACATAATGCTAAAAGACAGATCGGGTGTAATTCAGGATAATGTCCCCTTCAAAGCTTCCCTAGCTCTTATCTTTTTAGCTGCAAGAGAAAAAAGATACTTGATAAGACACGTGTGCATCAGCATCTGACAACAAAAACACTAACTTCTCTGAATCGGAGTAGGCATTAAAGGCGGGTAGTATACTAGTCAAAATTTTTTCCCTAGGTTCACAATATAACAATGAGTGAAGAGGTAGACAGAAATACATACACTGGCAAACAGAAAGAGAAACAACTCAAGGAGCCACAGAATGCTAAGGGTTTGAGCTCGCTTGAATAGAATTCTGGAGGGGAAATTAGGTTTGGAAGAATGCATGCCATAATGGTAAGCTCCCCTTCTCAGGATTTGAGGAGGACAGAAAAGGGGAAAAAAAGGCATTTCGTGTTCCAGGCACCCTCCCCTGCCAGAGTATATCACAATATTCAGGATGCCTTTTGCCTCACACACATGCACGCGCGCACGTGGACAAACTCCAGCCTTGCAGCACTACAAAGCTTTTATTCCAAGCCGACAGAAATTCTAAAGAGAATCAGCTTGACACTGGTTTCCAGTTGCTATGTAATCACGCCTCATAATGGTGTTTTCTCCGAATGTTGTTAATATTTGATGAAGGGCGGTTTTATATATTGTCTTTGGGATATTCTTTTAAAAGCCTTAGGCCTCCAGAATGGAGGTAAGGACAAATTAAAAATTCTATATTCCTATCCAAGGATAAAAAATAGTTTAATGTATTGTGATATGCACCCTGTCTATAGCAGGGATCCTCAAACTTTTTCAATAGGGGGCCAGTTGAAAGGCAGCGGCTACATGTGGGGGCCGATGAGGCGTTGTTGGGTGCGCGCAAGGTGGCGTTTGGTGCGCACGGCAGCAGCTTGCTCGCTCGGAGATCTCCCAGTGAGTCCAAAACCATCTCCGAGTGAGCGAGCCACTGCCTCCAGCCCGTGCTGTGGCAAGCGCGCGTGCACAGGGGAGGCGGGCAGCGGTGGCGGCTTGCTTGCTCAGAGATGGTTTGGAACTTGCTGGGAGATCTCCCAACGAGTCCAAAACCATCTCGCGAGTGAGCAAGCCAGTGCCTCCAGCCTGTGCTGCGAGCACATGCGCGGGTGGGGAGGCGGCGGTGTGGGCCGAATGAATAGGCATGGCGGGCCGGATCCGTTCCGTGGGCCATAGTTTGAGGACCCATGGTCTATAGTCTTGAATAATATAAAAGTTTCCAAAAAAAAAAAAAAAAAGCAATTGACTGTTGGTTCCAGCTTAACTTGAATTTTCTCTTAAACAGGTAATGTAACTCTTTCACCTTCACTTGCACCAAGACCTACCTCTGCTATAGTAACCACTGCCAGTGCTAGCACACCAGGTAAGATCAAGACCGATCATGTCCCGTTGGGATAAACTGTTTTGGAGATTATTTTTTCCATATATATATAATAGTAAAGAAGTAGAAATCAACCGTATTGTATATTGAACTAGTTAGATAATTTGAGTTTCAAAATGAGGGGAGAAGCTGAATCTGGGTTTTCTTCTTTGCTATATTATAAATAGCAGCCTAAAGAGAGGGCTATATAACAGCTGTTCTCGCCTTTCTATGGAATATCACGGGATAAAAATCTCCTGTTGCAGAGTTGTTCCAAGTTCTGCATCACAAGACACAGAATTGTAGGGCTTTGATTTTTACATGATTAAAATAGTATAAAGTGCTATAACAGCAAATCACTAATAAACTGTAATCCTCTTATTTGACAGGCTCAGTGTCTCCCAAGCCTACATCCAAACCATCTCCTCACAAATCCACGTTTGATGCTGCCAGTTTCATTGGTGGTATTGTCCTTGTGCTGGGTCTGCAAGCAGTAATCTTCTTTCTGTATAAATTTTGCAAATCCAAAGAACAAAACTATCATACGCTCTAAGGATATGTTGCTTTTAAGTGGACTTGCCATGGCTCAATATTTGTGGTTAGCTGCACCAAAAGATCTTTATTCCTTAAAGAAGACAGCAATTCAAAATAATATTTTTCACTACTTTTTTTTTGAGAAAAAATGTTTCTGCACCATGCTTGGAAGAAGGTTGTGCGAATCATGACTTGCTCTGCAAGAATACTTGTAATATCCTGCATGAATCCTTTTTGACTGTCTTAAATTCCTTTAGTAGCTGCTACTGTGGAACTTTTTCCTCTACCTGACATGCCAAATGTAGTTGTTAATAGATACTGTATTCAGTGGCAGCAGTGTTCTTAGTAGATAACCTTATAGTTGTGATGGTTAAATTAGCTAGCCTTAGATGCAGTACCCCTTAAGGTGTTTTTTTTTTTTAATTAAAATGTGAATTCCTGGTAACTTGGCATAAAATACTATTTGTGGGGGAAATTATGGCTTTTTATTATGTACTGCTAGGAAATTGGACAGACCTGTAGAATATTATCTTTTTTCCTTAGGAATTATGGAAGCCCATATTTTTCTATACTAGATTATTTCAAAAGGATGATTGTTTTGTAATTAAGTGTAAGCAGCCATAGGAAGAATTATGATCAAAGGATGCAAGTTCCTTGGTACTAGTGCCTTAATGAATAGGCTGCAAACTGAAATGTTTGTGCCATCTTATTCCTTTGAGGTACAGTGAATGTCATTCCATTTGCAGCAGTTCTCCATACAAACATGAATTTGAGCATTATTCATATGCCAATCTTTAATTCCATTTAATGAAGTCATATGAAAGGAAACTAATGTAGCCAATCTTCACGTGCTACTGGTAAAGCCATGTGTGTCTAGTCTTTACATTATTTGCCTTGGAAACTACCATTACATGCTTTACATTTGAGGGCACTTGACACACTCCATGCTGCTCCGTGATGAATGATATTTCAAAGCTACTGTAATTCTGCATGGATTTGTGAATCTCCCATATAGCAAGATAGGTTTTGTCAGTTTCATAAAATGTCAGTAGTATGATGATGAAAGGGAACAGACTGAGGTCTTGGAGCTACGTAAGCTTTGGATTATGGCCAAGCTAGATTGCCATTTTTTTCTGTTTTTCATGTTGTATGACAAGCATAGTTTAAATATTAGAAATGTAACACATAGGTTTAAGTGCTACTCCTGGGTAAGCACCAACAAAACTCATGGAAGAAGCGCAGTGTTTGATATTAAGCTGATAATGGCAAATCTGGTTTATGGCTTATGTTGAAAACTTCTAGTGATTTCACCTTTTTACCCTTCTAGCTTGAATAATATTCACTTCAATGATGTTGCATATAAAGTTTGTTCGTAATAATATTTAGCTTATGGTACTGTAATGTTAAAGAACTTCCAGGCAACTGCACTCCTAAAATATTATCAGCTCAGGTGTATGAAATAGTAAATTAACCAGCCAGTTTTCAGCAAGCGAAACATGTCTGATATGGGTGGTATTTAATGGCCTTATGATAATCATTTAATCTAGTTCCCTATCTGTTGTACTTTAATAAGTGTAGGCTAAATATCTGCATATACTCTAAAACATAAATTAATGCACTTCTAAAGAGTGATGATTTTAAAAAATTGCACTGTTAACTCAGTCCCTAATAAATGTACACTTAATAGTGAGACGTAAAAGCTATTTAGGATTGCTTCCTTACTTATTTTTTAATGGCTGTTAATGTTTTGTCTTGCAATATTGAGATAGAAGGTTCCAAGCAACAATAATACATCCAATTTGAATCACTTTTGTTTCTGAGCTGAAAGTAACTTCTGTTTAAAACATCCCTAAACAGTCATATTCTGTGCTGTTCAAGTGCCTTAAATTTTCTTAATGTTGGCCTCATGTCTGTTGAAAAATGTGGGGAGGGGGAACATTTGTCACTATACTTTTTCCTTAGTGCCAGCAAGTGCTGTTTTCCAAGGACTTTAGGAAATTCAGGTGTCATTGCTACTTTTCAGGATGTCTTTTTTCTAATTGGTTAGCTTACTATTGTGCATTCGGTCATTTCTGATGTTTTCATGGAGTAGCATAAAGGTTTGACTTTCTAGATCAAGCTTTATCTACAGCTTCTGAAAGTCAGGCTAAAACTGTGTGGAGATTTCCTCTTATCCACTTTTTTTGTTTGCTTATTCTTATGAAAGTTACTTTGTTTTCAATCTTGTAGTTCTGATTAGCTGGCTATTGGCAAATTAGATAAGAAATAGTTTTTCATCACCTGTCTGCTGTTTGAAGTTTAGTATAGAGTTAAAAAAAACCTTGCCTGTATGAAATAACTGATCATATGACCTCCAATTATAAGGCAGTGAATTGTGATGTTCACTCTTTCTGGGTTGTTTCTAAAATTCCCATGTGCAAGTGTGTTGCATCTGGAATGAAATGTTACAGACATTACTCTATTGCATACATGTTGTCTTCATTGGAAGAAATGCAAACTACTTATATCACAAAATCAAAATAATAAATCAGTTATTAAAATGTTTGTCTATTTTTTAAACCTTCCAATCCTTGTATTTGGGCCAGATTTTAAAAGGCCATGGAATGTTCTTTACTTTAGCAACTTGAAGGTATGGTGTACATTTTCAGTGACAGGGATTCATCAGGTAGTCCTGCAGATTTGTAATTTTAAAGCTCTATCAAATGCCAAAATGATGAATCACATTTTTTAAAAAGTACAGTGTGTGTGCATGTATAGGTAGTTATGCCATGTAGGAATATTATAAGGCTATCTGTAATTAATTGAAGCAAACACCAACCAGCTGTATTTTTTAATATTGATCATATTGCCTTGCAGAATCAGGTTGTCCTAATCCATCATTCTGTCTTCCACAATGAACAGCTAGATCTGTTAGTGGCCACATGACATCTTATCTCTTCGGTGTAGAACCGCTGATTCTTGTCTATTCTGAATCTACTGTTAATTTCCAGGTTTTGTCTGACAGAAAAGACCCATTAGCAGTAATGTACTACTTCAGTTTTTTATTAGTGAAAATATATCCCAAGGATTCTTCACAACAAAAACAAAATTAAGATTTTTAGCTTCCTGATACTAATACAGGATACAGTCCTGCTTTCACAAGATGACAAGCTCAGTTTGTTCTCTCCTGCCACTGGTCCTGTCATCTTTTCCTTTTCTTGAGGCAGCAAGGTAAGTGCAGGTCCTAATCGATCAGCCCTCACTGCTGATTCTGACAGGCATAGCATGTGGGGGCTTGCACTGATGAGTCCCTGTGTGAGGAAGCACATGGCATTGTTATGCTCATGGTGCACTACTACATAGCAAGACGCACATACAGAGCAGGGCTGCATCCAAAAAGTATTTACAGAACTTATTATTTTGGCCACTAAAAAAAGTGTTAGAAAAAATCTAGTAAAGTGGTTTATTAACAGTTAGGGATAGTAACTATGTACAAATTATACATTAACATCCCATTTTCAAACTTAACCAGTAACACATTCTCATTTGAAACTGCTTCCACTATGTTGTGGCGTTAACCTGGTGAACAAAATGTTTGTAAAAGCAGTAACAGCTTATTTCTGAGGTGCCTTCTGTCCACAGAGTTGCACGGGAGAATAAATGTGTTCTGTAAGATCCGGCAAGAGGGAATCTACTATTCTGTTTTTCCATCCAGTAGGTACCTGAAAGTGTAAATAAAATTTGTTGTAATTTTCATCTGCTGTTTTCTGAATAAGAAAAACTGCACTGTTTTCGAAAGTGATTGGTTGCTGCTGTTCCTCTAATGGGCCAAAGTAAGTACAGGAGCAATTTCCTGGGAAGCAAGGCTGCCAGTTAAGTCAACAAATTGTTCTTTGTATAGAACAATTTATAGAAGACTTCATCTGTAGAAAAACTTGCATCATAATTCATTTGTTGCAATCTTCTAATAGAGGTTCACACAGACATTCTTTGCTTATTGCTATATCTTTTACTACTCACTGTCTTGGGTCTTCCACCCTTCTTTGACTTAATGCTACTTGCAGAGTAAGCAGACAAAAGATGCGGCCTGAAATCCCTGGTTAATGTAAACATTGACATTCCTGTATTCTGGCTCCATGAAGCATAGCCTAGAAGATAAATTACAGATTGAGATGTGCAAAGTATTTCCAGGTGTCCTTGTAATTCTTGATAATTTAACATAGGCTATGATTTCTCTACTTCCTTTTTTGAGTTTTCATAAAACCACCTTGAATTAGGCAGGAAAAAATTGTGGTTTGTTTGCTATTGAATTATTGTATCCCTGCTAAAGTTGAAAAAGCAATACACTGCTTTAAAGTCTCACTACTAGTAGTGATGAGGGTCATATATCTGAATGCTGTCTACATGGAGGTGAGGATGGCTATACACAAAAAAGGTAGCTTGACTGTTTTCCTTATTTGCTAGTTTCCTGTGTGCAAACAATTTAATTGCTACCAACAGTTAGTGATGCAGTCCAGGAACACTTTTATTATCACCACTTCTACCGTGTTTCCCCAAAAATAAGACTGGGTCTTATATTAATTTTTGCTCCAAAAGACACTCTAGGGCTTATTTTCAGGTGATGTCTTATTTTTTCATGTATAACAATCTACATTTATTCAAACACAGTCATGTCATCTTCTAGAACATCATCATAACTCTCCAAACCCCGAATTGTGTTCCAGTGGACATATTAAATGCATCTATCTGGCTGATGATCTTAACTGGGGTTTATTTTTGGGGTAGGGCTTATATTACAAGCATCCTGAAAAACCATGCTAGAGCTTATTTTCCGGTTAAGTCTTATTTTCAGGGAAACAGGGTATTTGTGTAGCTGAACTTTATATTTAACAACGTACCAATATCCATAGCAACAAAGAATTCCATGCAAACAAACAGGGTAGCCTTCTCAGTGCTTAGCATGGGCATGGAGCTCCTACTCTTATCAAACGAATTACATATTACTATGCCCTATTTTTCTTCTTTCAGGTGGTAAAATGTTTCTAATTCTCCATACATCAAAAGTAGTATTTGAAGACGAATGACAATATTGTTGGTATTTATAGAGATATTGGCATTCATTTTGCTAGGAGCATGATAATTTCTCTGCAGTAGCTAATTTTCTTTTTCATATCTGTTAACCTTGTGCTCTAGTTACTGTTCCTCACTAACTTTAATACTTTGAAGAAAACAATCCTTGAAAGAAGTAACCTAGCCACTATAGGTGTTACACTATGAAATCTTACAATATATTCTTTAAGAAAGTGAACTAAGGCATATACAACTTGAGGGAATGCAGTGGTGCCTTGTACTTCAAACTTAAATCATGTCAGGAGGCCATTTGAACTCTGAATCATTCAAAGTGCAAATCAATTTTACCCATTAGAAATAATGGCAAGGGAATTAATCCATTCCCAGACCCCAAGCAATACCCATTTTTGTAAACTTATTCAGCAAGTATGTGGCCTCCTGAAACAACTTAAGTTCAAGGTTATATACAAGGTGTGATAAAAAAACTGAATGTTTAAATTTTAAAAAATACAGTAAAAGACACTGCTATTGATCCCCCACAAAATACTCCTCCTTGCTTGGAACAGACTTATACCATCGTTCTTGCCACTTTCTGAAGCAGTTCTGGAAGTCCTCCTTCGTAAGTGTCTTTAGTTGCGCTATTGTGGCTGCCTCGATAGCCTGAATCGAACTGAGCCAAGACTAATCAATTCAAGTCAAGATGAATCGAGTTGAGACAAATCAATTCAAGTCAGGGTGAATTGATTCAAGATAATTCAGGTGAGGGCAAATTGATTAAAGACAAATTGATTCATTTTTCTGTGTTTGACAAATGTCTTTTAAAAAGTATATTGTGATTGCTTATGGGGCTGTTAATCTAATTAGGTTTCAAATCAGGATTATTGGTTCTTAAGAGTAGGTTAAGCAAATCTGATCCATTTCAAACTTTTGCTCAGCTGTTAAACACACTAATATTACTACTGGTATATAGGTAGAGGTCTAGTTGACCAGTCTTGCTGGCTCAGAAATTTCTCACATCATTCACAGTTTTTCAACTCAGTATCCAAAGCATATTTGCTACAAACCAGTAACAAACTGAGGATGAAAACCAAGTTCAACATGTAGATAGTGCTGTAGGTCAGGGAAAAAGCTTGTTGCAAGCCTGCTCAGGCACTCAGCATGGCTTTCTGCAGGAGAATATGCCTAGTACTAGCTTGAAACACATTAGAGCAAGGAATCCCTCAGGTATTATTAGAGCTTGGAATGCGGATCTCATCAAGTATCTAAACAAGCACAAATGAAAACCCAATCCTGCAGTGGGGTTTCTGCTTCTCTTCCTTCTCTTGTACCTTGCTGTGAGAGTGCTGCTCAGTGATAGAGCACTTTGCATGTAGAAAGTCCCAGGCTCAAACTCTGCCCTGGGGTCTCCAAGAAAGTGAACCTCCTTCTCCCTTTCCCTTCCCTTTCTGGCCTCCCATGGCTGATTTTGATTTATTTAAACATTCCAAATGTACTGGCAACTTCATGCCACCCATAGTTGCAGCCAGCTATGTGTCTGCATTTTTTATGTTTGGTTTTGCTGTTGCATGCAATAACAACTATAAAAAACTGACATTTGTACCTGTGGAGGAAGGTTTCTGAGATGTTGCAGCTTCCAAGTCATAAAGCTGACACTGCAGCTCATCTACCCGCTGGAAAGCATTCATTTTTAAACTGCGTTCCTGGGTCAGCTGGGTTCTTACCTATCAATATATATGAAATAAGTATTCTGATAAATATTCTGATGTATAGAATGTCTTAGATACATGGGACACTGAATATCTGTATTTATAAGCTTACTTGCTGGATTTCTCTCTTAGCTTTTTTCCCCTCAAGCTGCTTTTGCTTCAACAATTTTGCAGTGTCCTCTGACAGGCCCTGCATGCTCAGCTCTCTTTCTCTGAGGTTTTCCAGCATTCTTTCCAAGTTGGTTGTCCTAATCTGATCTAGTTGCTGCCTTTTGAGAGCTTCTTGATTCATTTTATGCTTTGCCTCCTGTAGCAGGTATTCCTGTGTATGCAAATAGACAAGATTTGTATCACACAATATGATGTAGCTCCAAGAGGGGAGATCACATATTTATTGGATTCGATCCAAATTTGGGCTTATATAAATGGGCTGGTGCAAGTGGAATTCTCTGCCCCCTCCTTCCTACAGCAGTCTCTCCAGCCATGAGCAAATACTGTGTAGAAGGTGTGGGAAACAACTGAATGGAGTGAGTTTGGGGGGAGGGAGATGCCACAAAATTGGAAGGAGGTATCTCCTGTGAGTAGGGCACCTGAATTGTAGTTGCTTTCCAAAATGCGTATCTTACCTTTAATCAAACAGAGCCCAAAGCATATGTAAGTCATAGTTTTAAAATACCATAAAATGTTCTAAAACACATCAGACATACAATAAAAATGTAGAAAATTGCAATTAAAATAGGCTACTGCCAAAACCCCCTCTTCATTTAAAGTAAAGGTATTAAAGCAGTCACTTTTTAAAAGGTTGAATTAATATAAAAATCCTTTGCAGAAATAAGATATGACTTGAGGACAATTCCAAGTATGATAGCAGATCTTGCTGAAGCATGTTTTGCAGCTTGCTCATGCCAAAGGCAACATGCCAAATAGCTGGTTTGTAAAAAGTAGAAAATGAATTAGGTATGTATAACTTAACACCACCTTGGCTAGCAAAGTTGTTTTGAATAGTTTACGTAAAAGAGTGAAATGCAATAAATCTTGAGCAACATCTGTTGACAAGGCAATGTTTTATATGAAGAAGAAGCAATTCCTCCCACTTTCTTTATACAGAAATTCTGACTACTCTCTTTTTTGAGTGCCCCTGTGGAAGGATGTAATGTTGAATGTAGCTGTTCTCCATTGTTCAATGGTGCTTCCAAACAGTTCCTGCTGCTACCAGAAGTCCTTGTACAACTATCCATTTTATTTTATTTATTATTTCATTATCTCTATCCCATCTTTTTTCCTTTCAAGGGACTTGAGGTGGCTTACATAATCCTCTCGAATTAACCCTAACAACAACAACCACAATCCTATGAGGTAGGTTAGATGAGTCTGTGACTGGTTCAAAGTCACCCAGTGAGTGCCATGACTGAGTGGGAATTAGAACCCATGGTTCCTAGATCCCCAGTTCAGTACTCTAACCACTACTCCACACTTTCACCTCTTCTTCCCTAACTACTTCTGGAGAGAAAAAAGATTGTATGATGGGGAAATCAGGGAGGAGGGCTTACAAATGGAGGTTAGCATCATCTGGCTGGATCCCCTGTAAAATCCTGAAACACTTGGGTCGTGACCCAGATACAGGGAGCAGGTGTTATCAGAACTGAGATCTGAATTGGAGAAATCCTTGCAAGTAGGAGCTCCAATGCCCATAAAGAATTGGTAGATCAGGATACTGGTACTTCCTTTGATTTGTTAATTTCTCCAACCTAACGTGAGATTGAAAACTACTACAGAGTTTTTGTTTCCTCCAGCCACACCTCTGTCCTTAACTATATTTGGAATTCTCAGATTTAAACCTTTCCAACAAGATAGCTTGAGCACCATATTTATGAGAATTACTCCTCTGTACCCAAATAGACTTGGGGATTAGACAAGTTTCTTTATAAAATCTGCACCTGAACCTACAATGAAAGTATTGCAGGGAATCTAACTGAAAGCTTACAAGCTCTTCAGCTTCGGTTCTATTCACTGCCTCTGCAAATAAGGGTCTAATGCCACTAGAAAATACTGCAGGAATGTTGAAAAGCACACTGCTGGGATGTCTGAAGCTACTCTTCTTCCACTCTGCAATATGCAGACAATGGAATACATTTGCCTTGTCACTTGCATTATCAGGTTACTTTTTCAATGTTTTACCCTAGTTCTATAGGCAGGTCTCATTTCCATGTCTGGCTTCTCAGTTTTAACCAGGAAGTCACCATATTCCTGTATCAGTGGAATTCCTTATCCATTTCCCTTTAGTTTGAGCAGTAGCTGGCCGTTGTCCTCCATGGTGGTGTACTGCTTTTGGGGATGGGGTTCAGCACCCTGGATGGCTCCCACAAAGCTCCGAATAAAAGCTGCCATGGAAAGGGAGCCCCACTGACGTGGGAGTCACCACCTTCCCCTGTATGTATTTATTTTATTTATTTATTAAAACATTTTTATGCTGCCCCATTCGCCGAAGCCTCGGGGCGGCTTACAACAAAAAGTTAAAATAACATTTTAAAATATATACAATAAAATACAAATATATAATATAAAACATACACTATAAAACAAGCCGCCCTGGCCAAATAAAATTCAATAATATTAACATTTAAAATACTGCTTAAATAAAAAGGTCTTCGCCTGGCGCCAAAAAACAAATAACGACGGCGCCAGGCGGACCTCTCTGGGGAGCACATTCCATAACTTAGGCGCCACCGCTGAGAAAGCCCTCCTCTGAGTAACCACCCTCCTAACTTCTTCCATGGAGGGCTCCCGGAGAAGGGCCTCTCCTGCCGATCTCAGGGGGCGGCTGGGCATATAAGGATGTAAGCGCTCCTTCAGGTAACCAGGACCCAAGCCGTTTAGGGCTTTATAGGTCATTACCAACACCTTGAATTGGGCCCGGACTTCAATGGGAAGCCAGTGAAGCTGACGGAGAACTGGAGTCATGTGAACATAACGTCCAGTCCCCGTCAGCAGCCTGGCAGCTCTATTTTGGACCAATAGAAGTATCCGGACCGTCTTCAAGGGTAGCCCCACGTAGAGCGCGTTACAGAAGTCCAGACGGGAAGTCACCAACGCATGTGTCACTGTCGCAAGGCAGTCATTCTCCAGATAGGGGCGCAGCTGATGAATTAGCCGAAGCTGGAGGAAAGCGCTCCTCGCCACTGCTGTTACCTGAGCTTCCAGTGAAAGCTCTGGGTCGAGGAGCACTCCCAAGCTGCGGACCTTGTCCCTGTGAGGGAGTGCAACCCCGTTCAGGACAAGGTTCAATTCACCCTCTCCGAAGCCCGATCCACCAACCAACAGGACCTCCGTCTTGTCTGGATTGAGCTTCAGTTTATTGGCCCTCATCCAGCCCATTACCTCGGCCAGGCACCGGTTCAGTACAGCCACTGCCTCACCTGGATTGGTGGAAAACGAGAGGTAGAGCTGGGTATCATCAGCGTACTGATGGTTCCGCAGCCCACACCTCCTGATGACCTCTCCCAGCGGTTTCATGTAGATGTTGAACAGCAAAGGGGACAAAATGGACCCCTGCGGTACTCCATGGCATAGCTGCCATGGCGCAGAGCCATAGTCCCCCAGCACCACCTTCTGGAAGCGGCCATTGAGATAGGAGCGGAACCACTGCAAAGCAGTGCCTCCAACCCCCAATCCCGCAAGCCTATCCAGGAGGATACCATGGTCGATGGTATCGAAAGCCGCTGAGAGGTCCAGAAGAACCAACAGGGACGCACTCCCCCTGTCCTTCTCCCTGCACAGGTCATCATACAGGGCGACCAAGGCAGATTCAGTACCGTACCCGGGTCTGAAGCCGGACTGCAATGGGTCCAGATAATCAGTTTCATCCAAGAGTGCTTGGAGTTGTCCCGCCACCACTCGTTCTAACACCTTGCCCAGAAACGGGATGTTGGCCACTGGTCTATAATTAGTGGCCATCTCTGGATCCAGTGACGCCTTCTTCAGGACCGGTCGGACTACCTCCTCCTTCAAAGGGGCAGGCACCCGACCCTCCCTCAGAGAAGCGTTAACCACTTCCAAGATCCAGGTTCCAATCCCGTGCTTGGAATCATTTATTAACCAAGACGGGCAAGGGTCCAAAAGGCAAGTGGTTGGACGTACTCGCCCAAGCACCTTGTCCACATCATCGGGCCGCAGTAACTGAAATTCATCCAATAAATCTGGACCAGACGGCAGCATTGGTGTCTCCTTTGAAACCTCTGAATCAATAGTGGTGTCCAGCTCGTGACGAATCTGAGCGATTTTCTCCCTGAAATGCCTGGCAAAGTCGTCACAGCGGGCCTTTGAGGGTGGAATCAGGTCTTCCTTTGGACCTGGACGGACCAGGCCTTGCACCACTCGAAAGAGCTCCGCCGGACGGCATTGTGAGGAGGCAATGGAAGCGGAAAAGAATCTCTTTTTTGCCGCCCTCACCGCCACAGCATAGGCCCGATAGTGGGCTCTTAAGTGTGTTCGGTCAGATTCATCTCGTGATTTCCTCCACCTACACTCTAGTCGTCTCCCAACCTGCTTCATCACCCTCAGTTCAGGAGTATACCAAGGGGAAGAGCGGGCTCTGCCCGGTGGGAGAGGACGCCTAGGAGCGATCGTGTCTACAGCCCTGGTCATCACCCCATTCCACAGTTCGACCAGAGCCTCGACAGGAGCACCCGTCTTGTCAGCCGGAAACTCCCCCAGGGCCTTCAGGAATCCTTCTGGATCCATCCGGCTCCGGGGGCGGACCCACATAATCGGGTCCTCACCCTTACAGAGGGAGAAGTCGCTCTCAAGCATAAACCTCACCAGGAAGTGATCTGACCATGACAGGGGAGTCAAGTATCTGTGTCCCCTTTGCTTATTTCACTGGGAGATGGGAAGTGGAGAAAATTAAGACATAAGTGTCTGCTTTCCAGTCTTCTCCTTTCCCAATCCCTGCTTCTTGCTTCCAGCCAGGTGATCTACAGCATTCTGACAAATGCCAAACTACCGCACCCATCCGTCACCAGCCATGTCCAGCCAGTCCATTCATTTCTACACCATTTTCTTTTCCAACTGACTTCATGATTTCATTTGCTGTATAAAATGGTTGACCACAGAGCTTGGAAATATACCTGTTTGTCTAGCTGCAGCTTCAGCCTTTTATTCTCTGCCTGAAACTCTGCCAAGGCTTTCCTTGCAGCCTTCAGTTGCTTACCAAATAACCTTGTCTCATGTTCGGACATCATCTTGGATTTCAGGCACTCTTTTTTATTTTGAATGGCTTCCTGTGAAAGCAAAGGATTTAATAGGATATGAAGTACAGAATCAACCCGCAAACATTTTGTAGAAGTTATCTCAGATTACTTATGAACAAGTATACTGCAAATATTTAATAATGAAGTTGGTGTTTTTTATATGAAAAAGGGACCCTTTGTTGTTTGAATTTCTTGATGGTTCTGTAATACAAGATATGTTTACAAATGGTGCTTCTTTGATAGATATCAAAAGTTAAACATATACTATAGCATATACAATATATTTTCCCTGTCTTTAGGAAAACAATTGAGCCTCTCACACACTTTTAGGTGACAAGGTACCTTTAATATATGGGAAGTGAACTAATAACTTTTCAACTGTAGCCCACGCCAGACTTCTGATTTTGCAACATATTAGTTAATCCTATCTGATGCTCAGCCTATTTTTGGAAGCTCTGATGTGGTATGATAAACCAGGATTGGTATAGTGAAATCATGTGACTACTTCCCACAGCTAAGAAAAAAGCAAAAGCCAGTTCTACTCTTCTCATATCCTATTAAAATGCAATTGACAGAGAAACTGAGTTCCATGTCACACATATCCATGCACGCACGCACGCACGCACGGACATGTGCACATTCAGACACACACACCCCCACCCATACACCCAAGCAAAGCTCTATACTCGGTGGCTGTGCACACACTCATATCCAACCCAGGCTGTAAGTAGAATTGTTCTGTTTTTCCTCAACAGGAAACTCATGTGCTCTCCAGTCTGGATTTCAAACTGGTTTGCAGGATTGAATCAGCCTTGATCATCCTGCTGGATGACCTTTATTTGAAGAGGGACATGGAGAATGCAACCCTATTAATTCTGCTCAATTTCTCATTGGCTTTTGATACCATCAGCTATGGTATTCTCCTGAATACATTCTGTGGGGTAGGCACTGGAGACTTGATGTAACAGCAGTTCTGGGCTGATTTCAGAGAGTAACATGAAGTGCTATTATCTTGGCCCTTGGCAATTGACCTATGAGGTTCTACAGGATGCCATCTTGCCCCAGTGTTCTTCAACATCTATATGAAGCTGCTAAGAATGGTCATCAGGGAAATCACAGCTCATCTCCCTGTGACATCTGAATCAGGTGAGGCTCTGCAAGTCCTGGAACAATGCCTAGACTCAATGATGAGCTGGATGAGAGCCAATAAACTGAAGTAGATGCTTGGCAAGATACTGCACTTTTCACCAGCTTCAGCTGTTCTGTCAACTGCAGCCTCTCTTCCACAGGGGCAACATGGCCACTGTGGTACAGAAACTAGTAACCTCAAAACTGGATGACTGCAATGCTGTACAGGGAGCTGCTCCAGAAGTTGGAGGTAATACAGAATGCAGCAGCTGAGCTGTGCTCGGGATCTGCTTGGGGAATGGTACTGGTACTGGTTCTCCTACCAGGGCAGATTTAAGGTTTTGGCACTAGTGAGAGTACCTTCTTTATTTTATCATCCTGCCCTGTCACTGTGATGGTCAGGTGGCATGTTCCAGGAAGTTCTGCAAAGACCTTTGGCCTGATTGTTCCAGCCAGAGAAGAGCCTTCAGCTTCAATTCTGTGAAACTTCCTGCTTTTGTAGGTCTCACACAAACAATGATATTACATTGTTTCTGGTGTCCCCTGAAGACATACTTATTTCAGGCAGCTGCCTCTGCTTGGCCAGCCACAGTTTTTAGTGATAGGCTGTTTTAATAAAATGTGTGTGTGTGGGGGGGTACTTTTTGTGTGATTTAAATTATTGTATGCTACCTTGATGGCTCTTTAAATGAGACAGTCTATAAATGTTAATAAGTATGTTTGTATAAAAGCAAGTCATGAGATGATATACACAAGGTTCATATGATGGATGACTCAAAGTTAATTGTTCAGATATACCTGCACAGAGCCTAACATCATGTGAGAGGCCCTGCTAAATGAAGTAATGTACATAGCAAACAAGGAGAGGGCCTTTTCAGTGGTGGCTCTCCCACTGTTGAAAGCCCTCCCCAGGAATGCTCACCTGGCCCCTTCATTGTGGCCATATTGGTGCCAGGCAAAGACATTTTCCTAGGTATTTGTGATCTCCACTTTCAAAAATTGGGTTAATGCATTATTAGTTCTTTGCAAAACTGTTGGGTTTTTTTGGCTCCAACTTCAGTTTTATTCTATTGTAAACATGTGGCTTTTATATTATGCTGTTGTATGTTATGGTTTTAAGTTTTGTTTTGTGAACTCCCCACACAGCTCTGACTAACGGCAGTATAGATATTTAATAAACAGAATACATAAAAATTGGCTTCAAGACTTCAACAGAAAAGTTTGTTTTTTCTGACTTTTAAGAAGTAGATAAGATTATTCTAATGTATAAGGATTCAATTCGTTATGCACTTGTACTACTTCAGCTACCCAAATGTAAGTATCTGAAACCATTGGCCCTTCAACTTTTCACTTTCATGATTTGGAATGACTTTATTCCAACATGCCTACTAAAGGCAAGGCTCTCACCTTCTCCACTTCTCTTAACAGAACTGACATGCGTCCTTTTTGCATTGTTTCTTTCCAGCAGCTCATGGCCTTCAGTTTGCAAAGTAATTGCTTCAAGTGGCTGTTTTCATCCCGTAGCTCCTGCAACTGCTCCTGCTAAAAAATGCAGATAAATCCTGTCAAGGTTCTGATGAACACACCATCTCTCTGGCAGCTTTTTGACTATGCAATTTTAAGAACAAACATTGACTTCTTTGTCAGGAACAATGGGAACACCAAGCAGAAACTCTAGACACTACAAGCTGCACATCAGTAATGCTCCATCCCTAACTGAAATCTAAAGGCTCACTTCATGGGTAGCATGAGTTATCCAATTAGTGGCTTTGGCTTGTCACCATACAGAGCTTGGGTCTGAACATTTTATACTTGGCATTACACAGCTTTGCTCACAGCTGGTGAGCTGAATTGAAGCGCCTTGTCCAGCTTCTGGCTTAAGTCTGATATATGAGCTCTTTCCTCTATCTGTGCTATATTTATCTTTCAGAACATCTGCTTTATGATAGCAAGCTGAAGAGTGAGTATTTCAGCTGCTCTAAGGATTGTATAGTTCTGTGTGAGAAAAACATTTAATGTTGCAACCCAACATAAGCTAACCTGGGAGCAAGAGCTACTTTTGAATAGACCTTCATAGGATTGCACTATGAGAATATTCTAAGCAAGCTAGTAAGCAAGAAGCAATTAATTTATCAGATACCCTAACCTTAGAAACGACAGCAGATTATAAATTTAAAGCTGCTATTATAGAACAGCACAGTTCAAATACGGAAGAACATGTTTCAAACCTATACATTGTAAACACAGATCTATTTCAGTTTCAAGATTGCTAAAGAAGAGAAGTGCTTCAATTTGTTTTGAGCCAATTCCTATTCAGATTCCAATTCATTTGTGTAACAGATTACTACCCCTTCCTTTCTATTCATCTTGGGATTATTAGGCAGAAGTTGCTGGGGGGGGGGGTGATGATGACCTTAAGATCTGAGTAGCACTTTCAAGTATTCAAAATGTTTCTAATGCTTTCCCTAATTGTAATCATTACAGAAAGCCTGCAAGGTAAGTAATATTATTATCTCATATTGTAGTGGGGAGCTGAAGCTGAAAGAATGGTTTGTCTAAAGGCCATCTAATGAGTTCATGGCAGAGGCAAAATTTGAAAGGAAAAAAAGAACTGTAGCTTATGCTCTTAAACACTACACAAAAGTGTTTAAGAAAATTATTTTAAAAACAACTTTTATAATATACAATAGAAAGCTACAAAGTTAATGTTCAGAAGTCTGGTGAAACAAACGGATCCACCTGCTTCCTTATGGCAAAAGCATGCCGTAAATAAGAGGCCATGGCTAAAGACTGTTCTAGAGGAGGATTTTATTGTGTGCTCATCATTCCTCACTCATGGCTGTTCACATGTTCACTTTTGACAACTTCAGTATCATATAGTTTTGCTTCTGTTTTTTAAAAGAAATATCATTAGGGTTTAGCAGTGGGGAAAATCCAGTATTTTTTTTTTTTTTGCCTGAAGCAAATCAAAGTACAAAACCCACCAGAACAGTTACATTATTGTACTACACTATGTGGCAGATACCAATTATGCAGCACAAAAACAGGAAAGGAAACTAATAATACATAGCACAGATCTTAATTCTGCAATGAAACTAGAAGTAGAGAGAGAACAGGTTAAGCAACTTCTGTGTAAAAAAAGCTCTAGATTTGCTCTGTGCCTTGTGAATGCCAACCTTATCTCATTCAATAGTATGATGGTATGACTGTGGCAGGATCATTCCTTCTCAGCAGAGAGTGAGGATGGTGAACCAGCCAAGAGTGAAAAAAGCAATCCTAGTGTCAGACAAAACTTGGGTACCCAGGAGCAAAGTCAAATCTGGGAAGTTCCCTACCACTGTGACCTTTCCCATACTGTCCAGAACAGGCCCATCAACCTCTGGGCAACTTTTGCAGGGGGTTGCAGAATTTCCCTTCTCTCAGTACTCTTGAATTTATGGTTCTTGGGATCCAAGCCATTATTGACACAAGGTCTAAACATAGCTAGATGTCAGCAAGAATGCACTCTTCCAGGTTCTCACACTGGATCCATCTTGAAATGTACCTTCTCTAGAAATGTGCACTCCTCTAGGAAAAATAAGAAATGAAAAGAGCCTACATATCAACATTCCTGAGTCAAAGGTTCTCTGAATGAATCCTTATCTTTTGTGCAGCCATATCAAATTACAATCCATGTTCATAAAAACTTATTTATAAATACAATATACAGGGTTTTGAGGAACACAATTTTCCAATTTTCTCTAATCAGTGGATTGTCACTTTGGTGTTTGTATTTGAAGCATCAGCGGATCTTAGGTTATATCTTACTTTAATAAGGTTTTGTATAAACTGGTTAACTGCTGGAGATACAATGCTGCTAATACTCCTTTCAAACATGCTTTGGCAATGTCCAATGGTTGCCTCTTTTAGGGAGGAGTTTTTAATATAGATAAACTTTATATAGGAATATTCTTCAATATTTACTGGCATGCACGCTCTTCTAAATTATCTCCCTGCTTCCTGAAAGTTAATGCACTATCACCATAAATGGATTTTATGTGCTTTCTTGACAGCTAAAATACAGGTATTGAAATATTGGTAAGATAAACGCTCATTTTCTAGAATCACATGAATTGAGGACCCAACAATTCTCTCAACATCTGAACACATTGTATACTTGCTCATGGACACATACATGGTTTTGTTGAATCATGTACATTTTCTCCCTTTATTTTTGTCTAGAAAATTGAATTTTTATGTAGATAGATGTATGGATGGGTACATCCTGATGTATCATTATACATACATTTCGTATATATTAATTGAAGTCGACATGTTCAAATCTGTGCAGTTACTTTTTTCTTTCTTTTTATCATTTGGGTAGCTGAAATAATAACAAATATACCTGAGTTAAATGTTCTTTGAGTGCATCATTATCTTTTGTGGAGCCAAACTTTTTCTTCAGGTCGATCATTTTCTCTATCCCTTCTCTTCTTACTTCACTGATTATCTCTAAAATGTGACTGTTCATGTTTAAGCGATACTCTTCCAACTTCCCCTGCAGCCACAACAAAAGGCAGCATTTTATGTATCATTTAAAATCTATGACATGTCATTCTAAAAGATTTTCAAAATTCAAAAACAAAAATTGCATCCTTTGATTTCTAAAATAATACATGCTTATATAAATGTTGCCCATATTTTGCGAATGCCCCTTCAACTCCCATTTCCCCCCAATTTTTTCTCTATATGAGACTGTTAGATTGACAGCGATGTCTCTGAGAAGTTGCCTTGCTGAAAGTGGACAGGCTCAGGTGACTTTGCTACTTCATTTTGCTTTGTGGATGCATTTGCTGGAGCTCTGAAGCCATGGGAGAGCATAGCCATCAAACATACTTCAAGGGAACGTAAAGAAGAAAAGGTCAGTGATATAGCAGGATAGTGCTAGGAGTGGATAAGTTAGTTTACTGGAAACTGCTGTCTCCTCCCACCAATTTTGGCTGAATTACTAGTTGCATGTTTCTATCCTTGAATGGTGCAAGGAAGTAGGTGCAGGGCCTGTCAGCCTTTAATAGTTAATAAAGATACAGAAAGCAATGGGAGCACTGAGGAGGAGAAGCTTGTGATATCACAGGCAATATCTAATATGTTCTCAGGACCAAAACTCCACACAGCAGGCACAACTGCAATATAGCAAGGAGTGCAAATGATAACGCATCTGTTTTGTCATATATGTACCTACTTCCTCCTGGGTCCAGTCCAAGGTTTTGGGGTAAGGCTATCTGAAGGACTGTTGACACTCAAATGATCCTGCCCAGGGTATTAAAGTCAATGTCAGATGCCCTGCTTTCTGGCCCACAAGCAAGAACTTTTTATGTTGGTCAGGATGGCAGATAGGTAGAGTTCTGTCACTGGCAGCCCAATATCTCACCAGGGAAACATGTCTGGCATCAGCACTGCTGCTATTTTAAAAGGTTTTTCTTCCAGACCACATCTGGTTAAACTGTGCTGTTTTTAAGGGAAAATATCCTTAACTGCAGTGGTTTTCTTCAGTTATGTCCTAAATATCAAAATCGTAATAAGTGTATTACCTGTATATGTGTTGGGGCACAATCCTACTGGGATGCCCACAAGCCCCAAAACTGCGAGGCTTCGGGGCATAGTATACAGGGTGGGAGGAGTGATGCAGAGAATCTGTGCCTCCCCACTCCGCCTGCTCTGCATTTTGGCTAGACTGGCTCTTTTGCCCATCTAAAAAGAGCAACTTGGAGCAGGGCTGAGGGAGGCTGAAGCTGGTTCAAGATGCCTTGTATCTTGGCTTCTCCAGGCTCGTGGGGCACCCCACAGTTGGAGGCTTGTTTCACTGGTGCCCAAGTGCCTGCTAGAGAAAACAGCAGCAGGGAAGGAGAGCGACTACATGGGTAGGCAGGTGGGGAGGGCAACAATAATGAGATGGAACAGGACGGTATGATGCAATTCCGTGTAACATTTTTTGTCTAGCACAGAAGTTGTGAAGCAGGCAGATATACTGGTCAGAAATTGATCACACGGTGCAGACTGTCTAAGACTGAACCTCTCCTCAGCAGAATGCTTGAGAAACACAGCGCATGCTTATCTAATTTCAGTCTTTAGCTAGCACAGTTTATGAATAAGCAATAGACTGATTTAATAATCTTCCCTGTATTTTGTAAGCATATGTGTCTTCCGTACTTTCAGTTGCAGACACATCATAAACATATTTTGCACTAATGCTTCATCATCTTCTTTCACTTCTTTTCTTATTTTCTCTTTTTGGATGTGACCTTCTTCTTGTAAATCATCAAGTCTGGCTCTCAGAGCCATTATTTCCATAATCATCTCATGACTCAGTTCTGCCACCTAACATGACAAGAGAAAATGCAATAAAAGACTATTTACAAACCCATGTATAACTCAGTTTCTCAAAAACTTAACAACTGAAGCCAAGTACCCTTCCAGGTGCCTCCTGAATGAAAACAGGAAAGTTACTACCACTAACCTGACTAAGAACCAGTTCAGCATTTCCTCCCTTGTCTTCTTTGGCATGCATTTCCTGAAAAACGATTAAATAGCATCCATTAAAAATCTCTACCAACTATAGATTAATTTCCTTGGCACACCAACATACAAAGAGCTTCCAGTGCAAAGAAATTGATGCAACTCGCTGCCCCCTTTCCCACCACTGGATCAACAGCATAAGAAATACTTGTTCTTTTTGATAGAGAAGTTGATGTTGCTGATGGAGTATATTTTCGTAAAACATGGAATAGGTTTCAAAGTTCCTGCGTTCTCTGGCCATGATGTCACAACCTAGGGTAGTGAGGCATTTTTGCAAATGGTCTTTCTGAAAGGCAATCTGGAAAACAAAATGGTCCCAGAAAATATAAATGTCATATGAGCACATAGGTGAAACTATTTGCGTCTAGTCTAGGCAGGGGCAACCTTTTTAGTCTTAAACCTCTGGGAACCACATGCCACAAAATGTACATCATCCCACATTCTTTCATGTGCATGCTCACGCATGTTCTAACGCGACAGAGGGTCTGTTCGGGAGAAGTCATAAAATGCAGCCGAGGAGGGTCCCCTATCCCTCTCAGCAGCAGCAACTTCTCAGAAATCTGTAAACTATCCTGTCAGTGCTGGCTGAAGCTTTTAAACAGAATGGGGGAGCCTGCTGGGGACAGAGGGATGCCACAAGCCAGGCTGCAGGCCTCCTTCTCCTTGTTCTAGTGCTTCCAGTTTACTGGTGCTAAAGCAGATGTTTTCAAGTCTCAGGACCTATGTTCACTTAAAGATTAGATAAACACCAAAGCTGATCCTTGAGAGCCTCTCCATTCAGGGTTGACAATATATCTACCTCTGTCTCAGTCTCTCTGTGATTTTCCATTAGCCTCTGTATAAATGACTCAGCTATTTCTGGCCTTGTGACAGAGAAGATTTCTTGCATGCTACGATGCTTCCAAAGCTCTGAAAGAACAGGGAAGAGATCTTTGTCAGCAGTCTTTAGCGTAACAGAACATGAAAATTGCATCCATAGGGCTGAACCAGGTATTACTTTTATTACATGATTAGTAACCATGCCATGCCTGGATGCTTTTTTTAAAAAATGCAATACCTATGTGGGTTTTCACTGGGACTGTAGTGCATGGGGAGATGCAGTTTAATGCTTCCCTTTCCAACTTTAACCCAATGAAAATCAACTGCCCATCCCCAGTAAAATCAATTAAACTCCAAACCAGCTTCCATTAGTGCTAATTACCATACAGGGGCCCATTTCATTTGGGACTGTGACAGGAGAACAAAGATTTTGACCTCCCACCCTGAGTATGCTGAGTAAACATGCCCCCTTTCCCATGTGAAATATTAAATTTAAAGCACCAGACAGTGATCAAGGTTTGAATGGTTCTCCCTAAATGAATCAGTTAGTATATTCTCAGATTCCAAAATACTGTTGTACTGCTTAGGAACGGAACATATAAATTCCCCCTCATTGATTACAGACTGATAGGTCTAGTTTCTTGGATCATTAGCTGGACCCTTTCAAAAAAAAAGGATACTACTACTGTTTTAAAGTCAACTTAGGATTCAAGCCCTAACTTTCTTCTTTTGTCCATTTAACACCATCTAATGTTTCACTCAATATGTTGCACTTTGACAGTTCTCCAGATGCCTCCTCACCAAGATAAATTAGTTATGGAATGATTTAAAGTGGTCTTGATTTTATATAGTGACGGTGGTTTGTGCACTGGTTCTCAGATGCACTAGCCAATTCATTGTGCCAGTGATGAGCTTGGTCTCCCAGGTGTGGATGACACAAGAAGCTGTCATGGGTGCAACAGCCCCACAGCAAATTTATTTGTTGCCCTCTAACAAACCACCCAGCAGGAACCAGCCTAGGTCAGCCCAACAAAACCCACTGCAGTTCATCATGTGAATCATTGTGTCTCACTTTTCATGCTCCTTCTGCCTTCATTCTCTCTTTTCAAAACAGAACTTAAAACCAAAGATACAAGTTATTGTGCTTCCAGAGAAAACTTTTTTGGCAGGATCGCCCTGCTCAATTCATAATATATTACATGGAACCAGAATCAGATAACTGTGTCTTCCACTTGTAAGCCCCCCGTGTCTTTTCACCAGTTCTTCCACTTTTCTCCTTATATGCAAAGCATCCATGAGGTCGGGGGAGAAGCAACTGATGCACAGTGCTTGCTGATGATGGTACCAGGAGCCCTGTCTAGAAGAACCTCTAGATAGTAAATAGGTGCAGTTGTTACCTGTAGGGAGGTTACTCCCCTCTCTTGTTTTTTCAGATATAACCAGTGTCATTTCTTTGTTAATTTTCTTTTGTACGTCATGGATCATGTGTATTTCTAGACTTTCCAAGAGTTTTTGAAGCTAGGGTAAAAAAAACAAAAAATAGTTTACTTAGGTATTTTTCCATTAAGCAGCTCCGTTATTCACAAAGTACAGTGGTACCTTGGCTCACAAACTTAATCCATTCCATGACTCTGGTTGTGACCCAAACTGGTTGTGACCCAAGTCAAATTTCTCCATAAGATTCAATGTAAATAAGGTTAATCCATTCTGGCCCCTCTGAATGTGGTTGTGAGCCAATTTTTGGTCACGAGCCAAGTCAAATTTCCCCATAAGGTTCAATGTAAATAAGGTTAATCCGTTCTGTAACTTTTTTTTTAATCAGAAAAATTTAAAACAAAGTGACAAAGAACAACAAAGTAACAAAGTACTGTACAGTACAGTGCCTGGGTGCGGGGGTGGTTATTGTTTTGAGGGAGAGTCCCCCTACATAAGGACATCAGGGAGCTCTCCTTCAAGGGTTTCCTCTCTTCTTTGTCTCTTAGCTGCAGGGTCAATTTGGTGAAAAATCTGTCCATGGTCACTTGTTTTTTTGCAATCTCAGGTGCAGTCTCGGCCATCTCCCTCCCCCCGCAACCAGCATGATCACGGCCATCTCCCCCTCTTCCCTGAGTGGGGAGATGGCCACAATCGCAGTTGCATTTGTGCAGGGAAGATGTGCGTGATCACGGGCGCGCTCCTGCAGGAAAGATGGGTGTAGCACAGCACAGTCGTGATCACGCACATCTTCCCTGCACGAACATGACTGGGATCATGGCGATCTCCCCACTCAGGGGGGTGGGGAGATGGCTGCGATCTTGGTCGCCACCCAATGCAGAGTTTGCGACCCAAGTCAAATTTTTCATGAAATTTTTGTTCGCGACCCGATTTGGTCATGAACCAAGGCGTTCGTGAGCCGAGGTACCACTATACTTACTAAAAGTGTAAGGTAAGGGTCAAAATCATGTATGCTTATATATAATTTTAATGAACAAATTGGCTTGTTTAATTTATTAAATCCCTTTTAATGAATTAAATACTCCAGTTAAATAAGGCAATAAAATATACTAATTATTTTAAATCTAAATGTATATAAACATTGAAGATGGCAGGCTCCAGCTTAGAAGAGAAATTCTCTCTTTATTCTTACATAGGAGAAGATGGTCTTCCAAGATGGTACCTGGTATGAGATCTATGTGAACCATCTGAAAACAGAATATGTCTTGGAAGAAAAGAGGTGGGAAATAATTATAGTTATTGTTATTATTTGGGAGCTTCATGGGGACTTTCAGATATAGAGGAAATGGAAATGGGTAGACTTCTAAAATATTACATCAAATGTATTTTCTCTCCTTTTCTCTTCTTGTATTCTGCTCCACTTATTAGATTGGCTCTACCTGGTGTGTTTTTATCTCAACTTCTGAGGCTTCATTCAGGGAGAGCATACACTGAGACGCAGCTTCAAATCCATCAAATCCATCTTCTATACCCCTCTGCCTGGCTATGGACCTCATAGCAGGGTACAAAACTTCAGTACTAGAAAAATGTAAAGGCACAGGTGTTGTACATATTCACACATTTGATAAATATTATCTAACCTACTTATCCCAGGCCCTTACTTGTTAAAGAAACAGAGTAATTCATGTAATATTCTCATTCCATTTCAACTGGCTAGACAACAGCAAAAGTCCAATGAATGAAGCAGAGGTGAGAAGGTTAAAAAATGAACATGAAGCAGACCCTAGCCTTTCTCAACAGGTGTGGAAAAAAACTAGGCTTACCTTGGTTGGACAAGAGGAAGACCAGGGTGGATCACCTGACAATATAGTGGTGGTGATGCAGGGGAAATTATGTGAAAAATATCCTCCCCCTCTCCCCTGCCACACACACCTATTCAGAGAGAATGCTAGGACAGAATGCTTCTCCCCAATAATTACCTTTTTTTAGGTTCAGGAATTTTTTGTTTGGATGAAGTAGCATTCTCACCTTTGGAAAGTACAGTCCAGACCCAGACCTCAGTCTGTTGACATTTCAATAGAAATGCTCACTCTGGCAATAAACTAAGTCTGAAGGACCTTCTACCTTATCTCCTACCTTATCTCCTAACCTATTTCTTAAGTAGAAGAAATGCAGCTGCCTTGGTGACAGGACACTATCTGCCTCAGAAGAGGGCATCGGACATCTTGGATCTAAGAAACCAAATATTTTGTTATATTTGGACTATCATTAGAATCAATCACAAGAGAATAAACCCCCAATTTCTCATGGATTCATAGCAAAGAACAGTAAGTGGAGACTGGGAATAAACAGCAACTTGTCCCAGTGGAAGGATATAACCAGTGGGGTCCCACAAGGCTCTGGTTTAGGACCAATGCTTTTCAACCTATTCAGAAATTATCTAAAATTCAGAGCAAGGAGTAAAATGGCCAAGTTTGCTGATGACATCAAACTATTTAGGATAGTTAAAACCAAAAGGAATTGTGCGGTGCTCTAAAGGGACCTCTCCAAGTTGGGATAATGGACATCAAAATGGCAAATATAGTTCAGTGTAAGCAAGTGTAAAAGAAGGAACTTGGGATATTTTTGTTGCAATATGCAAGTGACCACCCTTAGAATATTGTACATAGTTCTGGTTGCTGCCCTTGCAAAAGGACATTATTGGTTTGGAGAAAATGCAGAGAAAGGCAACTAAAATTATCAAGGGATTGGAGCAACTCTCCTATGAAGAATAGTTACAACAGCTGGGATAGTTTAAAACAGTAAGGTATGCATGGTGTGGAAAACATGAAGCTGGATTTTTCTTCATCTCCCATTGGAATGCTAGAGCCTGGGGGTTATCCCACAAAGCTGACTGGTGGGAGACTTAAGGCAGATAAAGGAAGTACTTCTTCACACAGCGCATAGTGAGGATATGAAATTAACTGCCACAGGAAAAAAAATTATGGCCACTGATTTGGCTTTAAAAGAAGACTGGAGAAATTCATGGAAGACAAGACTATCAATGGCTACTTGTCCTGGCGGCTATGTGCTACCTCCAGTATCAGAGGGAGTATGCCTGCATACACCAGTTGCTGGGAAGCTTGACCATGAGGAGCTGTTGTACTCAACCTGCTTGAGGGATCCTGTTTGCCACCATGTGAAGAGAATGCTGGATTGGATGAACCATTCACTGGTCTGATCCAGCATGGCTCTTACACACTTCTTATGCCTTAAATTCTTCTACAGTGCAATCTTCCTTATGGTAAAGTATTCAGCAACCACTATGCTTACCCCCAGTGCATCCTATTACAAAGGAATGCAAGAGAGGGGAGATGATGCTCAGGTAGAAAGGCCACAGTCTGGAATTCCCAAAAGGCATGTGGTGGGAGGAGAAAAAATGAATGAGGCAGGAAAAAAGAGGTGTGTGCACAAATGCATGTGGAAGAAAAGACAAAATATTTAGTTTCTTGGGAATGAGATAGTCTAGTGTCTCAGGTGGGTGGGGATGCTAGGAGTTCTAGTCCAACACATCTGAAGATGGCAGATTTAAGGATTCCTTGTCTGACTTCAAGCATGTCACTTTCTGTTGCCCAACTCAGGGTTGTTATGAGTCTGAATAGTATGCTGTGCTGCATATTTTCTGCATGAATCACATATTATAAATACTTAGTCATGATGTTCTGTGGGCATGGTGGGTGTGGCGGATGGTTTGCAGTTTTCTCTGCATTTTATTTTGTGCTCAGTTTATGTTGTAATGCAAAGACCAAGAAAGAAAAAGGAAGCCTTTAGTCCCTTCCCATATTATACTTTTTATGGAAAGGTTTTTGAAATGCTGCATTTCCTATAATTCTTATTTTAATTTTTGAAACTCAAATTAATATTACAAAGGAAGCCTAGGAAAACTAAAAAGCACTGAGTACTTATGTTTTATTTTGGTTGTCACCTGCTCAGTTGATACAGTCTATACAATTTTCACACAAAAATGCAGCTTACCCATATAGGTCAGAAAACTGCTTGTACAGAGGAACTGTATTGATATCTTCAACTTTCAGTTTTAGTCTTCCCCATTCTGCTTTTACCATTTCTAATTGCTTCCACAGGATAAGGTAAGATCTCTGAAAGGCACAGGAGGCCATGAAGTCAGGCAGCTCCGGCAGTTTTTTCAAAGGCTTTGCACTCGCTCCAGCACTGGCTGCTGAATTCTGCTGAAATTTGATTGAAAATAGAAGACAACAATGTATTTGCAGAAGTAAAATAAAAGTGAGCACACTTTAAACACAGCTACTGTTTCCTAGTGGTTTCGCAGGTGGAAACTCAAAATAGTTTGCACTTAACAATTACAAATTCTGCCGTTATCACCTTACAATCTTCATTAATATTGGTAGCAAGCAAACATCAAAAGATACAAAGGTGAACATAATGGTTGGTATCTGGATGTTGAGGGCTTCCAAACAGACTTCCTGCAACACAACACTAAAGGCATTATGTAGCTATCCTTTCTTCTTCCCCTTAGCACGTTCTTATTCTTGTAAAGCAGAATAAAATGAAGTAGTGGAAGAATATGAGGAGGTTACTAATGTGAGGTGATATCATCTGGACACCCTGAATAAATCTATATATGTTCCAGAGCACTTCTGACAGCCCCGAGTCATACTTAGAGTAGACCTCTTGAAATCAGTGGGATTGACTAACTTACATCTTACTGATTTCAGTACTCTACTCTCATTATGACTGACTCTGGATCCAAACCTGTATTTATGAGCAGTCTGAGTTTATAATCCTATACTTGCTTCTTCAAACTGACATATTTCTAAGAAACATAAAGGACTGCAGTGTTATCAAGTCAATAATCTAGTGTGCCACTAATATTTATTTATTTATTTATTTATTAAAACATTTTTATGCCGCCCCATTCGCCGAAGCCTCGGGGCGGCTTACAACAAAAAGATTAAAATAACATTTTAAAATATATACAATAAAATACAAATATATAATATAAAACATACACTATAAAACAAGCCGCCCTGGCCAAATAAAATTCAGTAATATTAACATTTAAAATACTGCTTAAATAAAAAGGTCTTCGCCTGGCGCCGAAAAACAAATAACGACGGCGCCAGGCGGACCTCTCTGGGGTCCAATACAAGCCATATTGCCAAGCTGACAGTTAGTTTTCTACTTTCAGGAAATTTTAATATGGTGGACTATTCCAATATGTGATCTGGCACACTGTTTCCAACATGGTACATTCCAGCAAGGGTTGTAATGTGTGATTCTGCCAGACTTGTAGCTTGACTTTCATCTGCTAACAGCACAGAAATTTAAAAGTATTCTCATGTTAGAGAAGTTGAACTGAGAGTGTTTAATGTGAAATTGCCAATATATAATTTTAAACAAAAAATGTTTAGCTGAATTTATTTTACCTTGCTGAAAGATGTTTGCTGTTTTCTGGGATCTTGCAGACCTTCATAATGACTTTGGAGCACATCATCCATTATAAAATGCACCCTAACCAGCTCTCCATGTGCTACTCTTCGATCCTCATCATTCAGTCCACATAGGCATAACTAGAAAGAATGAGACACCTTGAGATCCCAACTTATTGGGATCAAACCAACAAGTTTCTATATAAGAGGATGATTTTAGATAAGCCTTCTGGCACTGATGGTAACAAGACAAAGAAATATTTGTTTTGCTGAACTTCAGAACAATGTGACAGATTTATTTAACAAACAGCAAAAAGCTATTTTATTTCTATAGTGATCTGTATGTTGTTGGAAACACACAAGATAACTGATTTAATATGTACTAAGTATGTGCAAGAATAAACATTGGAAGGCTCGTACCTGCATGCTGTAATTTATGGGATTTAGGTTGCTAATAGTGACAGGAAATGGACCTCCATTTGCTAGGAATGATCTCCAGGGAAACAACATCAGGGTCTAAAACAAAAAGTTGTGATCTTAAACAATGAGTGTCAGGGAGCCCAAGAACATATAGAATTATAGAACAGTGGAGTTAGAAGGGGGCAGTGCATGTGTGGTGTGTGTGTGTGTGTGTGTGTGTGTGTGTGTGTTGGACTCAATATCCATAAATACAGCTTCACTGACAGGAAACTGTGCCCAGGCCCCAGCTAGGCAAAACAGGGTGGTAAGGCCAGAAGAAAGAATTTCTCAGGACTGGTGATTGTGTGCAGGTTCTGGAGGTTTTGAGGACTGATTGTTAAGCAGGCACAGAGGCTGTGGGAGGGAATTAACTGGTATTCCACAGTTTATTACCATTCACTTTATTGCTGTTATGTATTGAAGCTGACATGCTCATTCAACAAAATCCCACAAGAATCCTATCTGGGTTGTACCACTTCATACTGCAAACAAGCAGACCACTTTGTTTTAAGGTATTTCTCCATGAAAGGGGAAAAAAGGCTTGCTGTATATAGAAAACTAACAGATTAAGGACAGAGAACCCTTGTTTCTAGTGAAATACTTGTGCAAATTACCAAGAAAGCTTTAGCTGATGAACAGTAGAGAAATGGAATAAATAAATGTTTTCTACGCATGTGGGGCATTTATGAGCCAGAGAACAGCACTCATAAATGTAATGTCCCACTTGCAATGTAAAGTGGTACAATGCAGCAAAGGTCACAATGCGATCTGGCTGAACATTTAGGCTACCTCCTAGAAAGTTAGGTCCAATGTGCATGGCTGCACTCTTCCTTCCACTCATGAATAGCATCTTCTATAAACAAGAGCTCAGAGGTCGTAATGGGATGAGCAGTCGTGCCTGGCAAAGCACAGGGTCTGTGACTGCTTCGCAGGCTACCCACATGGCGGGAGCCTGCAGTCACAGCTGAGACCACAGCTTGAGCTCAAAATGTGTTTGGCCTCCTCCTGGCCACCAAATGGATCTGCAACAGGAAGGCGAACTCTCGCTGTCATAAGAGAGGAGGCCCTAACCATGCTCCCAGCTGATCTCCTTTGCAAGAGGAGGCCCAAATACAAGGCTCAAATGGTATTGAATTCTACACCGGTATTCTCACTGCTGCTATTATCGATAGCTTATTATCACTGCTGGTAAAAAAGAGAATTGTTATGATCAACAGAGATAGCTATGATGTATCCTTTGAAGTGTGAAAAAACACCCCATGGAATTACATTGGTCATGTACAAAAAGATAGGCCAGCCTTTCCAAACATGTTGCCCTCCAGATGTACATATTCATGTACTCTGGATGTAGCGAGTGAAGCCAACTGCCACTCCTGGTAAGCATCCCAGGGTCAGCATCACCAGGATTCTGGAGGAGGAGGGGACCTTGGACAAGCAGAGACAGGACGTTTGGGAACCCAGAGAGAGGCACAGGACTTTGAAGCATTTTCAAGGTTGCTGACAACAGGTTTCAAGGCCAAGAAGGGGAGTAGGAATGCTTTGGAAGTGACAGAAGGGGCCAAAGAAGGGGAGGAGGGAGAGCCATTGCCTTGCGCGGTCCCTGACCTCAAGCCAAGGTGTCAAGAGAGATGAGCTGCCCAGTTAGAGGGCTTGCATAGGTCTCACCGGCCAGCCCTTCACCAGCAGGAGACACCCTGAAGGTGGAGCCCACAGAGTTAACAAAAGGGAAGGATTTGGGGGAGAAGTCCCCAGTTTGGATTTAACTTTCTTGATATAAGAAAACTCAATAGAGGGCTTTTAGAGTTGCTTTGTCCTATAGTTGTGAAGTGCCAATAAAGAGCAGCTTTGCAAAGAGATTGTCTGGTGTTTTGGAACCTAAGGGAAAGAAGGGGAGGGCCAAGTTCACAACACTGTACACCTTTCATAGATAATAGTGAATACTTTAAATAAAAATACTTTAAAGTCTGTTTTACTCACTCTTTGGCCATGTGGATCTAGCAGCTGTGGAAGTCGGAGCTGAGAACCAAATGCACTTTTAATAATTATATTACTTATCAGGGGCAACCCATGGTAGATGTTGTCTGTAATGCTCTGATAGGCGGAAACATTCCCAGATGATAAAAATGCTTCTCTGAAAGGTTGTCAAGAAATTAAAAAGACAAATCATTATATATTATCTGCTCTGATTTTCAAGCCGCTTCACAAATCCATCTTTTTAAAGTATTATGAAAACCCTTGTCTGAAAGCAATATAGGATTTAGTGAGGGACACTGCTTTGCTAAGAAAAGTGAATATAACAATCCATCTTAGTCAATGACTGAATGAGAATCTTCTTGTTGAAAAATGTGTTCCGCTAGAAAACCCACCAGCTACATCACTGCAATAAAAAAGCAGATCATTCTATAATGTATATACACCTGCCCCAGACATGCAGACACATAATTACAGCAGGGGCTGCTCCTTGCCCTCTTCCCTGTCATTGCTACTACTTGCTGCCTGGAGTGTCAGGCAGCACCATCTGCTGCATCCCCCACCTCCACTGCCATCTGGGCCAGAGTGAGAGGCAGGTGAAGAAACAAGTTGCAGTGGTGGGGAAGAGGAGCAAGTTCTTCAAGTATTATTTTAAAAGCCCCTGTTCAATTATTTCTAGATTAAATGATCTGAAAGATAAGAATTGGCTAGCTAGATTGAATTCATATATTACAGCAGTGTTCCACTAACAACCTGACACTAAATGTATTTATGTAATACATGTATGACTCCCCAACTGGATGTTGCAAAGTGGTTCCAGTGCAAAGAACTGAAACTAGCTATTAATATAAATGTTGATTTTTTTTTTAAAAGGTTTCCATTAAACACAAAGCACCAGGTGCAAGTAAACACATATGTGTAAGTCATGTGTGTCACTCTCCCCTGATAAGTTTATTTTTAAAAGCAAAAGCAGCTTCAGGAGTCTACAAATTTAAATAAAGGAACAGTGCAGAAAAGAGACCATTTACTTCTCTTCCCACACACAGAGAGCAGCTTTTCGATCTGCAAGGGGAAAAGATGCAGATAGCTGGACTGCTTCTTTAGTAAATGGGAAAGCAGAAGTGAGGTATTTGAGTAGGGAAAAAAGCTACTGGCAAAAGAGTTATGTACCCCCACCCCAACTTTTTTACTGAATTAAATTCACACAAACACCCCCCCCCCCCACACACACACACACACACTTGGCTGCTTTTGGTTAAAATAAAATACAGGGAAGTTTCTCACAGTGTCCACTCTTGTTTAGCTTCCGCCTTACAGAAAACACCTGGGAGTTCTTTTTTTTTTTTTTCACATCTTTTCCAATTTGTATCAGTAAACTCATTCCTGAACTACGATAAACTTCAGCCTTCCAGCATTTAATGCATTTATCCGTTACCTAGGACCTGCTGCGCTGAACACTGTGGACTTACCGCATACAATGTCTAACTGCGGCATGAAACTGCAGAAGCATCACCTGTCTGTGTATGCTCAGCATCTGAGCTACTTTATTTGGATCCAAGGGATTATGAAGACTGTCTATCTTTTTCTGCAATTCTTGTAGTTCAATTCCTAGAATCCAAGAAGAAAAATAAATGAAATATGCAGAAGATTTTTTAAAAATATGAAATATGGCCTGCTTGGGGGCAAATCTGGCCCTGTGAGGATCCTCAGCTGGTCACACCTCCTTTCCCGATCACCTGCTCCGTTTTCCATCAATGGCCTGTGGTTTAGTGGCTTCCCAGCTTTTCTAAAATTTTCCTATTCTTAAAGGATGAAATACCTCCTTAGCTTTAGCTCAAAGCTTTAGTGCATACACCAGTGTCACCTTCCTGTCAGCATAACCTGACAGCTGGATTGAGTCCAGACAAAGGCCTCCTAGGAGAACTAACTGGAAGGTCTTGCGTAGCATTTTTGTCTCCTTTCCCACCGAACAAGGAAAGGAAAAAAGGAGGGGGAAAGCTGTAAGAAGTGGTGGAGAAACATGGGAAGGTTGCAAACAGGAGTTAACATTGCTTGGACTCCCTGTAAATGTTTGTGTATGATACAGGATGAAGGCACTATAAAAGTCTTACCTGGAAACACCTCTGGAAAAACACTTAAACAATCCATTCTAGAGAATACTGAAGTAAAACCCAGCAGTTACCAGTGAAATCTCTAATTTGGTCAGAATGGTACGAGACTGCTAAACAGTCATGAAAAGTGATCAAATGGATTACATGTTTTGCTTAATCTCCACAATCTTATTAATAAATGTGAATTAAATATTTTGCTATAACATCATATTTATTCACTTTCAACACTGACGTCAACAACATGATTCCTGCCCTTTCATCCATCAGTCCGAAGTATGAAGCCCTCAGAAATTAGCCAAGCAGTTACCACCTTGTTGCAAACCAGAAAGAGTGTATGTGTGTATGTGTGTATAATATTAAAAATATTAAAGAATATCTATCTATCTATCTATCTGTCTAAAGAATATATATATAATAAAAGAATATATATATTCCTGCCACATCTTGGCATATCCGCAGTTGTCCTAGGACAGGTCTGGTCACAGAAAGATGTGCCTGAAGAACACACCTCATGGACAACCCAACATTTAGTAGGCCAGGGCTACCTGACTCAAGCTGTTCCAATGCCCTTGTTTCTTATGCTGACAATAATATTAAATACAGAAAGAACTGGTTCTCTCTTAACACAGCAGGACTAAATAATGCATGTATTAACAAAAATTCAGGAAAAAAAAGTTTCTTATCATCAATGCACCTTTCACTTAGTTCCAATATTAGATAATTAAGGCTGCAAAAACACACACACCTACCTAGAAGTTCCACTGTGGGACTTTTGAGTAAACATATAGGACTGCAGTGTTAATTCTTTTTTCCTCTTTGCTACAACTTCTTTATTGCTTTACTTATTTAAAACTTTTGTATACCATCCCCCATGCAAGGCATCTCGGGACAGCTCACAATTAACACATTAAAACAATCAATAAAATCACATACATGAAAACAATCCAAGCAATAAAAGCAATTTGTTTGTGTGAATTTGCATGCTTTATTCCTGCTTAACAGTTTTAGTCTTAATTGTCTGTGGTTTATTCAACAAGTAAATAAGTTCCAACAGACAGGTGTAGAATGGCTATGGGTTGGACCCATACTAGCCAAAATGACCTTAAGAAATATTTCCCAGACTAGCGGGGCCTTTTTAATTTGAATATGTTTATATCTGCACGTTAGCTTTTAAAAGGCAGAGGCTGAGTGTAAACATATTTGTTTATAGCTTTTATGTACTTCCCTCAATTAGCCAAAAGGCTATCTGAATGGTTTACAACCAAGACTTTAAAAAGAAACCCAATACAATAAAACATGTACAATAAACATGTATTTCCAAGTATTATTTGGAACAGCGCATTGAAAATCTGCTATTGTAACTATGCTTAATTGAAAAAGGGAGAGCAAGCATTACTAACCAATCTGTTCTGTCCCTCCCCAGTCTGCAGAGAGATGGTTAGGACACAGGTAATCGAAGCAGCCTGGTGCACTGCCTAGCTGAGCAAAGCTGAAAATGTATGAGATAATGTCGTGAAAAGCTGCCACAATTTGCAGGGTCTGCCTCAGGGCTCTGTAGCTAGTCTATGGAGAAGGGATGAAGAAAGCAAATCAGGAAAAAAAACCTCAAATCATTAAGCAGCTGTTTAGCAATTGCAAATTGGAAACAAGCTTTCACTAGTTTCCTTGGACTTTGTCTCTCTCACCCTCAAACTCCCCACCTCTCAGCCATTCTATCTGGGTGGAGAAGAGGGAAGGAAAGAAGGAGGGACTACTCCATCAACTCACCTAAAAAGACCAGCAAGTTTTGCTTCTTTGGTTTTCTATGAGCTTTTTCTATCCCAGCTGGCAACATCCACATGCATTATGAACTTTACAAAAACCTTATGTCTCTAAGAACTGGGGCCTGAACGGTTTTTCACCCCTTTTCCCTTCTCTTTTTTTAGCTTTCCTGCCATGTCTTTTCACATTGTAAACCCAAGAGCAGGGATTGTCCTACTTTTTTTTCTATGTAAGTTGTTCTAAGAGTCTTTCCCATTAAAAATCATGTTATTTATTTATTTTATGCATGTATTTATAGGCCCCCTATAATGGCCGAGGCCTTCCTAGGCAGCTTACAATAAATGCTTTCAATTAACAGATAAACCCCATTCCTGAACAAGATCATCAATATGCATTAGCCTTTCTGTATTTGCAGGAGTTTCTGTTTTAATATTAGGAAAGAAGAGGTAGTCCACATGAAGTGGTGTATTTGGGGGTAACCTACATTTTTTGTTTCCATGAATAAAAACTACCAGTGTTACTTTTGTCCCTTGCATCTGATTATATAACAGCACATTCGATATGCAAAAGAATAGATTCTCTTTTATTTTAAGGTCTGTACTTCCTTCTCCTTATAACTGAATTTATGGCTCTGGCATCCAATAGAAATCAGAAGACTCTCTGTCACATTTTCTGGAAAGCAGGCTATCACCAGGTCAACAAATGCCTGCCTCCAAAAGTGTAGGCTGGGATGCCAAACCTCTTTCATCCCATGGGCCAGTTTCCATTGGTGGGAAGACTGCAGGCAGATGGGATGGGACTAAAAACTCCATCATATCTTAGGTCAAAGGTCTTGTTGCCAGTAACTAAGCCTTCCTTCAAACTTTCAGAATGTGGAAAATTGCACAAAATCAGGGTAAACCTCCAAACAAATGGTGGTTGCAGAAAGGGACTGGGGCCAAGCAAAGGGGAAAAGGTTTCTGTGGAACCCCAGAAGGCCAGAGTGGGAGATTCCATAACCCTGGTGTAGGGACTGATGACATCTATTCTATATTTCTCACAGCACCCCTCAAAAAACCCTCCCCTCCAAAAAGAACAGCCTGCAAGCTGGATTACATTTCATCAATTTCCAGGGCAGAAATGACTGAGACTTCCACACCAGCATAACCTTAATTATATTGAGTTGAATCCAAATGTTGTACAAAAGGCAGCAGTAGGAAGGGGGGCTGCCCAAAACCTTGGTGGAAGGGGAGGTCTGCTCACACAACATGCTTCCACCAGATATGGTACAATTCTCTCCTCTCACTGCAGCCTCCTATGCCACAGCCTGCACTGTCAGGGAAGGTCTTTCAGCCTCTACAAGAATCTTTTTCTTGGTGTAACAGGGTGATGGTAAGAATTGAGGCCTTTGAATTGTGGTGCTGGCGGAGACTCCTGCGAGTCCCTTGGACAGCAAGGCAATCAAACCAGTCAGTCCTAGAGGAGACCAACCCTGACTGCTCTTTAGAAGGCCAGATCCTGAAGATGAAACTCAAATACTTTGGCCACCTAATGAGAAGGAAGGACTCCCTGGAGAAGAGCCTAATGCTGGGAACAATAGATGGCAAAAGAAGAAGGGGACGGCAGAGGATGAGGTGGCTAGATGGAGTCACTGAAGCAGTTGGTGTGAGCTTAGGTGGACTCTGGGGGATGGTGGAGGACAGGCCTTCCTGTCCTCCA